TTTCCCACAGTAATATTTGTAATGTATGTAGTGATTCTGAAAGCTAAGAGTACGTACTTATGCATGTCAATGCCAGCAACATCTGTCAATTAATGTAATGTAAAATAAATTGGTACAGAGGAGCTGATACACCTAAGAATTGTCTACAGTGTACACAGAAAAAAATCATTGAAAAAGACATTTGAATAATGATGTACAAAATAGAAAATGGCAGAGAACTGTCAACCATAGTCTTACAGCAAAAGGGATATGAACTGGTTTTGACAGGATTCCTTTTGACAGCAGAGGGAAAGCTTAGTAGAAAAAAGACATCTGGATAAAAATTTAACTCCCTCACACAAGCAGGTCTCTTCTCAGGGCAGAATGGGCACATTGAAAGTGCTAATGTAAATACAGTCTGAAATGTCAAAACTCAGTTTTGTTTCTCCATTGCCACTTCTTTCCAATTGTTCCTCATCTTGCTGCTCCTGCAGATGATTCCCCTGCCTCTTTGGCACAATATTCTATACAGTATACATTTTCTCAACTGCTGATTAACTGTATAGAAATAACTATAGATAGATAGTAACAGTTTGCATTTTGATGTCACGAACCCAATTATCTTTGCTCAAGGACAATTTCTGGTACGCTTATATTTCTGCAGAAATAATTCTGTGGTATTCAGCCTATGATTTTTTGTTATTTTCAACAGAAGGGGTAATAAGTACAAATGTCTAGTAATTAAAGATGTGATGTCACTTCACCTTTAAAAATATCCCTTTACACCTGGGTTACACAGTAGGCCCGGCAGGAGCTGTTGTCTGTGTCACTGTGCACTTTGAGTTCTCTGATGTGATTCTGCTGATTTGTTGGTTGGTATGGTTACTGCTGCGTGAAATCTCTTCTGAGTCTGGTGGCCAAAACTGTACTTCTGTGAGTACATTTCTGTGACTGTGTGACTCTGTGAATGAACAAGGCTCTAAGACGTCTGGGTGACACTGGCATATAGCGTTCCCGTAACACTTTCTGTGTAGCAGACCCTGTGCACATTAAGTTACATACTGCAGGGGATGAGTTGTCTCTCTCATTCTGGCTGCATAGGTTTGCAAGGTCAGTAACACAGCCAGCCAAGAGTCATCCTAGTTTACACTTAGAGGTGGAACTTCTTGTTTCCTATCATGACTACCTCAGTGATGCACATGAGATAGAGCAGCACTCATCTTTCCAGGTTTCCATTTCATGTCTGCTAGTGTGTCAGATCAGAGTAGCCTCTCAATGTTTTTCAATTTATAGTAACTTGGGTGGAGACTGATTAAAATCACATTTTAGTGGGGAGACCCTTATGAGTGTTACCACAGTCGCAATATCTCTTTGAATACAATTTTTATCAAGTTGATTAATGAAACAAAGAAAAAAAAAAAAAAAACACCCAAATTTACACTTTCACATACCAGATCTAGTTCATCTTTATCAAAACAAAAAGAAATATTTATTTTGAAATTAGTCCCTACTGCAGCCATTTGTGAAAACAAATATTTACATTGCTGAGGTCCAGTTAACACAATTAATGTACAGCTTCCTAAGCCTGTCATCTTCATAGGCTTCTGGGCTGAGTACTGGGTTGATCAAAGTCAGAGAGGCCAGTTCAGGCCATTGGTCTAATGATGCTTGGATTAATGAGGCCCACATGACCAGAAGTCTTTCCTTTCTGCCCTGGAACTAGCCTACACTCTCTGTAGCCATGAAATGATGCACAAGCAGCTCTCTTATTTCTCCTTCCAGGAAAACAGCCAAAATCTGCGTATTTGTCTATATATCCAACTATTTTATTGTCTAAATGTTTTATCAGCAGTGTTAAATAGCAAACGTTTCTCCTCCACCTCACCTCCACAGACTTTTTCAATTAACTTGTTTTTTCGTTTTTTTTTTCTTGGAAAAAATACGTTTTCTCTGCTAACAGGATAATCATTTCGTTTCCAGTTCAATTTAATTCCACTCTTACACTTTGTATTTGTGTGAGAAGAGTCACTGGGGATTTTGTCTGACTGCTGTGACTTTTCTAATATGATTGAGAGTGACTTGGCAACTGCATCAGTCAGTTCCTTCAGGACCCTGAGATGCATTGCCATCAGTCCCCATAGACTTATACTCATTCAATCTCATGAGGTGATTTTGGATTTGCTCTTCTCTTACTTGTGGGAGGGATTTTGTTCCCCCAGCTCCCATCTAGAAGTTCCAGGTTCTGAAAGGCACAATGAGTCTGGTTGGCTGTGAAGACTGAGGCAAAGATCCCATTCAGTACTTCAACCTTTTCCATGTCTATTGTAAGCTTTCCCTTGTCATTTATCATGGGGCACTGATCTACGTGTTGAGTCCATTCTCATTATTTTTCACATCCCTCGCTAAGTTTGGTTCTATCATTGCATTTTTCCCAGGCCACACGTCCCTTCTTGCACTGCCCATACGTGCCCTTTTTTCTCAGTTTGGCCAGTAGGTTCTTGCTGAGCAAAGACACTGCAGACAGTTGGGTTTTTAGAATTAAGTTAAAATTTTTAAACATTGTGGAAATTAAGCACCTCTACATCTCTCTCTACTGATACATTGCCACAGCATTTAACCAAGACTAATGTCTGACTTCTGTGCTGTATTGAAGGGAAAGGTCATAGATAGCTGTGTGTATAAAAACTGTGCTTAATCCTCTGCATGCAGCTATTTTAATATAAAGACAAGGTTAAAGGGGGGCTCAGTCATGGGTGAAGTGCTGTTCAAAGTAGCAGCCTTGCCAACTGTTTCATTTTACAGTGACTCTCATATAATAACGGCAGCTTTCATTTTATTTTACCCACACAAATCACAAATTCCTCGCTCTAATGAAAGATACCAAAGGACAAAACAAGAATAGTGAGCAAAAGCTAGCAAAGATTATTGCTTCAGATTTCATAGTATGCTATGATAGCTCTGTTTTCCAGATGTACTGCTGGTGTAGTCACCGGTACATTGCCCCAGTCAGATGTAAAGGACAGCATCCTTCATACACTAGGATGAGCCTAAACCCAGGATCTCATAAACCAGTAATTTCTTACAGGCATGTGACTTCAGCTGTCAAAACAATGAAATTCTTAATAATAATAATAACAATAATAATAAGAATTAAAGGAGTTATTCCTCGTAGAGTTCTGCTGAGTGCTGTTTCTCACAAGTGTTTTTGTGAAGAGATGGCCTTCAACTCACCCTTGGATGCTTGACGAATGGTAGCAAATGCAAAGCAAGCTCTGGCGTTCTTCAGCTATGTTAAGGTGCTATCAGATAGAACAGAATGGTCTCCATGTACCAAAACTAAGTTTTGTTGTAGTTCTTAGCTGTATTCGTAGTGTCTGCCTCTCAGATTTTGCAGCTTTATTTCAACTTCTATTACTTCTTCAGCATAACAAAAATATAACATTCTGAACAATTGCATAGAAAAAGCTTAACTCTTAAATTTACTGATGTCAAAGCAGGAAATTAGTGTTTAGATGATGTTTAGAGAGTGAAAATAAAATAAGAGAAAATAGGAAAAGCTAAGAGTATACATCGAGAATTCCAGATACGGAATGTATGTCATGGAACTGAAATAATATTTTCAAAAAATGTAAAACTTTCTATTATTTTTCTGTATTTTGTTAGCATATTGATGATTGTGTTTAATGTGTTCAAATATTTTGCAAGCCTTGCACTTTTGAACACAGGAATTTCATAGTATTTTTTTAAATTTTGAACAAAGACATTTCCAGTGCTTTAAAAAGTTTCCCCTTGAATGCGAGCTAATTAGGGGATATTTTCAAGTGAAAAATCACAGTAAATTAAGGAGTTTTAAATCCCTAGTAATAGAAATTGTTATAGCCATTTTCTTTATTTATTTAGATCTAGTGTAAGATAAATAAGTTAAATTGGAAAAAGCTTAATTTTTAATCTTGAGTTAATACCTTGTTCAAAAGATGGTTATCTGCCCCTCATCAAACAGGCTGATACTCAGATAAGTCAGAAAATGCTTGATCCTTCTAGCAAACTGAGTTATGCATTTGGAGATTGCGTATCAGCGTATCAGACTGAGCATTTTAAGAGTCAGTGTATGAAGTGCGATGCAAGAGCTTACTTGGTATTTGTCCTGAGACATTCATACCTAAGGGCCTTGTAGATTCATGGGGTGATTCAGGTTGGAAGGCTGCTCAGAAGGTCATTTTATGCACTTGCTTCTCAAAGACTAAATTAGTATGAGGGTCATTCCATGGTATTTCAGGGAGCGGACCACATCACAAAGCTAAACTAGGCTAAGTCAAATGCTGTATATTTCTTGAGATGGGAGCAACCAGGCAGAGGATTCAACTCACGAAGAGAGGTGCAATTCTCATCTGTAGAAACAGAATTTCCAGGATCTACTACAGAGAGTAATAGGGCAAAATATCCAGATTTCAAACAGCACAGGCATCTCTGCCTGGTGTAATAGAAAGAGAGCTTGTTAGTGATGTTCTGTGAATGAGATTTGGCAGTGAGTATGTATCTTTGGACATGGACAGTGAGCCATAGCTGGAAGAGGAAGGAAGTTTTTTAAGACTAAATGCCAGAATTTCCTTTTTGCTGAAAGTGTTACTCAACTCAGTTCTCTGAAATCACTTTATTCATGCAATCCAGTTTATCTTCTTAGCCATTCTATACAGTTGATCTTTAAAGCTATTTATAAAAGCACATAAACAAATGGTGGTGTATAAACTGTCTTGGAAGAATTAAGAATCTTGTTTAATTTTCATTTAAATCATAAGATCTCCGAAAGTTCTGGTGCAGTACAATGGGGATTTGCCATGACTTCTTTGCATCACTGTCTTGTTTTCAAAAAACTTTCCAATCTTCTGTGTGGTTGATGCAGTTCATTATCTATGTCAGTATGTAATTCTGCAATGTCAAGACCTAGATCAAAATGCCTGGCAAGCTGACAATTAGTGTTTTTTTTGTTTTTTTGTTTTTTTTGCTTTATCTGAATTTGATAGGGAATTTTCCAAGGAAAGAGAAAAAGCCAAGGCCCGAGGGGACTTTCAGAAGCTACGTGAAAAGCAGCAGCTTGAAGAAGACCTGAAGGGATATTTAGACTGGATTACACAGGCAGAAGACATTGATCCTGAGAATGATGAAGAGGCTGATGAAGAAGGCAAACGGAACAGTACGTGTTCTTTACTCAGTGCTGATTCTGTGTGGAATGGTTTGATTGCTTTCAGTGAGTTACTGTGGAGAATGCAGCCTAGCTGGTGTTGATCTCTGATTTTAAATTTGCATAAGTTTATTAGCAGAACAATCATGTCTATTAATATATTGATATTTGAAGTTATGGAAAAGAATTCAGAATTTTACAATAGATTTAGAATTTTCCTCTGACCTGTGCATTTACGACTCTTAGCCTGAACTCAGCCTACTCAGATTGAAAAACCTTGCTTTATTTGTATTCTCTAAAAAGTTAGTGCATATAAGCTGCATACTACTAAGTATCGTCGTAAGTCCTTGATCAAGAAGAATATGTATTTATGTGTAGTTGCATGCAGTAGAAGCAATGACTTAAAAAGCTTAAAGTATACAGTCAAAACTCCAGTAGAAAAATAATCTTGTGCTAATAGGACTTTTTTGAGTTTCAAAGTGAGGAAATGACACTCTTGATCATTCTGATATTCAAGAAGACCATTATATTGAATCTTTTCTACTAGAAGTTTTCATATGCAATTAGAAATTGAAAAATTTTGGGGTACCTTAATGGAATGGTAAGAAGTATAATTGTCACTTACTTACGGCATATTAGTGTATATAGTAGTATACAATGGAAACAGTAGTCTATTACCACAATAACTTTCTAGTGCTTCTGATTAGAGTTCCAACATAAAGAAGCAAGTTAGTTTGTGATCTTGCAAAAACTATGAGTTATCATCTTGTTTCTGTATGTGAGAAATTTTAATTAATAGCAGTATTTTAATGTAATAATTTTATATAAAGTATTTTAGTTTCTTAGCTGTGTTTGCATAGTAATAAATAAAAAGAGAGCTTATAGTGCTGTACATAAATGAGAGCATGGATGTTGCTGGTATAATACTGAATGTAAGATTAAAGCCCAAATTCCACTATAGGTATTGATCATAAATAGCACCTTATTATTCGGTTAATACTCCACAAAGTATATGTAAGGCAGTGTGTTACAAGTAGTTTGTCAAAGGCAACTCAGAAAAACATTTCTTGTGTTGAAATAATTCATTTTTACTGTACTCCTTTTTTGCACTAGCACTGCTTCTTTGTGAACTGCTCTTGAAAACTATAGTCCTTTCCAGAAGCTTAAATATTGACTGTTGAGGATAAGAGCAACAGTTTTATACTGCAGTAATTTATAAGTGAACATTACAGATAGAAATGTGAAATAGATAGAACATTGCAGATAGAAATGGGTCTTATCTAGGGCAGTGCATAAAAGCCAAAGAGTTCAAGGAGTTGACTATATTAGTTATTGTTAATAATTTTGTTTGGAAGGTATGCATAAAATAGGAGTTTGTCAGTATGCAATCCTTAAACTGAGAAGTGAATAAGTGCATATTTTACAAAGTAAATATACTGTACAAGTCCACCATACGGGGTTGTGGATGATGTCAACTGTGCTGTGACCTGTGGTCACCATTGACTTGGTTTGCAGGTGAAATTCCTGGGAACTTTTTGCATCCTGTTCCAATGGTCTGCTTGTTAATACACTGCAGAAGAACCTTTTGCTCCAGCATTCTTTAAACAGTTTATAGATCATGTTGGTCTTTCATAAATCAGATATACTTGTTTGCTCAGTTGTTGGTTTTGAGAGAGTTTTTTTAATCTACATTGTTAATGTAGGCATTCTGGGGTGATTTCAGAGCTGAAAGAGATTTTCAGCGGAACAGTAGGACAGGAGATGTAATCAATTAATTAAATTCCAAGAACTGAATTTCAGATGGTTTCTTCTATTTTAAATATAAAAAAGTCAAAGCCAAGTTACTAACATGCAAAATACCAAAGAATACTAGAAGCCTCATTATCAGAATTGTAAAACTACTGAATACTTTATGTGTTGTATCTTCAAAGCCCTGATACATTGCCTGTCAGCTGTCCTTATACCCCTACAAAGCAAACGTTAGCAGTATTCCTTTGACTTCTGAAAAAAGTAGTTGAAATGTAGATCTTCGTAAGTGAATTTACTGTAGGGTGATCAATGCAGCATTGCTCTTCAGTGAATGATGTTTCTTTTGCAAGTGGTCAGCTTTGTATACTTAAGGGATATCTATTTAGTCCCATCAGCTTGATGTCTACTATTCTAGCAGTAGAGCATAAAGAGAGCTGGCAGACCTGATGTGTTTCCTGCTTCTGCAGCTCTGCTGGCACTGTCGATGTTGTTTTGAGGCAAGAGAAGTAAGAGATCAGGGTGGTAAAGGTTTCAGTATACTGGGCCCTTAACTGTGGCTGAGATGTTGTGAACTGCTTCTGGCAAGATACTGATCTTAACATCAGTTTTCCTCCACAAAGCAGACACAGCACACACAATTATCTGGAGTGGTCTCTAAGTTGTACATTCCAGTCACATCACAAAAATCATTTCTGGTTTGGCTGAGTCATAAAAGGTTCAAAAAATGTTTTGCGCAAGCTCGATGTTTTGTTTTACAGTCAACTATTGATCTGAAAGCATTCCTTTGGCACTGAGCAGGCTTGTGTATGTATGTGTTGAGTGGAAATTTCCAGCAAATAGTCTCCTAGCACTCCTCTGGGTTTATGCACGTGTGCTTGAATATGGGGCTGGGGATTTCATTTTTAGTACCAAATGCTGCAAGATGTAAAGGAGAAAGGTTTGCTCACCTTTACTCCACCTCATACTGTCTTGCATTCAAAAGTGTTCTGCTGCACGTAGCATTGTGTGGCAAGGTGTGATGAAAGAGCGTGAGCTATCTATCCAGTTACTCTAGAGAAAGTTTTTGGGTTTGGAGTATAACGGTAATAATAAGCTACTTGTTTGTGAGCAAGGTGAAATTCAGCTAGCTATCATCAGGTTAATAATATTGAGTAGTCAAGTTAGAAAATAAATGTAGTTCAAATATACCAATGAATGGTATATTGGATATATAGAATGGTCTTTGAAGCGAAAGAGAGAGCTGGGCTCCGGTGTGGGTGGAAGAAGCCACAGAACTACACTGAGTGCCTCTGGACAATCAAGACTGCCACTGATGTTATGGTGATGGAAGATCACCATAATGATCTTCCAGGATGTCCCAGAGTTTTGGGTGTAGGATACAGAAGGTCTCTTCATGGCAGGAAGAGGTGCAGATCTCAAAGGCAGTTAAATCAATAACTACTGGTTTCTTATGTGATCCGGTAAAAATGTTCAGGTTCCTTTGGATTTTAAAAGTCTAACTAGAGTTATTTAGGTTCTAACGTAAGTTATTCATGTATGAAAACCATGTATTTGTACTTTTTTCCTCCTGGTGGGCAAGTATTCATTGCGGTTGAAAAAGAGAAAACCTTTTAACTAGTAGAATTGCCATTGTGTCTCTAGGAAAAGACTAGCTGTTACATTTATATGAGCTAAAAGCTACTTACTCGGAAGTCAGCAAAAAGAATCTCCCATTGACTTCAAAGGAATTCGAATTTAGCTCAAATTCCAAAAATCCTGAAAGGTGAGGTCTGTAGCTCTGATAAGCTTTTCTGTTGGCAGTTTTAATTTGTTTTGTCTAATATTGCTTGTTCTGTATATATGGACACGTTTTTATTTTTTTTGCGTTGCAACTGCTGCCATCTACTGTGTAAATGCTGGGATTACATGTACTTAACGCGAAGGGGTTACACTGGCTGACTTAATGGAAGAAAAGAAGAAAAGAAGACTTAGTTTCTTTGGCCGGTCTTCCAATAAACATGGTAAAACATGTTCGAGTTTGCAGTTGAGCTTTCTCTGCATTTGATGTGGTAACTTTTGAAAGCACATGCTGTATGCATTTTCTGTACCACAGACATATACACCTACAGCATGGAGATACTGGTGCATGCAGTTCTGCTCTTCTAAGTGCATGTTTCTCATAGACTGGTGCTGCAGTGCTCTGCCTTCTTAGAGCATAGTTTTTAATCTGTTTAGATTTTAACTGAAGTGACTTTGAGTGTTTTTATTTAAGTGCAGGCTTTCTTTTTTAAAGATACCATATACAAAATATGCTTTGAATTCAGGTGTGAAAAAATCCATGACTGTATGTCACAAGCTTTATAATTTACTGCAAGTTTTAAGTAGCGTGGCTATAATATAATAATTTTAGTATTTGCTATTGTAATTCTTCTTTTAATGCAGAATCTAGCAACAGAAAAAGAAAACTCTTACTGTATCTGCTCTTGTTTTTGATAGTTTTCTGTAATTTGTGTTTTGTTCATTTTCTCTCTCACCCACAATGGAGGCAGACAAGGGTTCTTATGTGATACATACTTTCAGATCTGTTCCCTTTTAATACTGGTGAATGTATTGATTTGACATAATCACAGTGATAGCAGTTAGGAGATCTGGTTCCATGTATAATGAATTTTCTGGAGCAGCTGATATCCTTGCTGTCATGAACTGATCACTGTTGTGACTCAGACTGAGGATTGCAAATCTGGTCCTTAATAGAATGTGTAAGATTAAGTCAGGGATCGCTAGAACGTTATGGACTCATTTTCAATAAATATTGAATCAGCTTAAACTTATTTACGTCCTCATATATGGTAAGACAGATTATTTCATTCTCCTTCCACCGTCATGTAACCAAACCATTTCAACCTATCGGGAGTTATTGAGGGCTGACAAAAAAAAAAAAAAAAAAAAAAAAAAAAGAGCCCACAAAAATGAATGCTGGCAGTATGAAAATTAAACCTGCGCTGTGTAAGCAGACACCTCTCTACTGTGTCATGTGCAACGTCTTCCTGGCAGCCTCTCCTTAAGCTGAACTTATCCTGAGGTGCTTCACAGTCAGAGCAGTGAGAACCCCTTCTTTCTGATGTGCTTTCTTTCCCCTTCTTTCTGTGCTTTACATAAAGTAGATTTAGGGAAATTTGTGATGAATTTTTGATGAATTCTCTTCTGGGATTTTTTTTTTGTTCTGATTTCCTTTGTGACCACCTCAAAGACGTGGCATAAAGAATTCAGAAAATCAACATACTGATTTGACAAAGAGTTAGGACAGTATTGAAGGTAATGGAACCATGGAATTATCAGCCAACCAGTTATTGACAGGCACAAGGAGAGCATTCTGCAAGGTTTACTTTAGAATGTTGCCAGTATAGCACTGTTATTAGCGATCATAAGATTCTCTCCAGTAGCTGTTTTCTTATCCTCATAAATAAAATGTAATAGCTGATACTTGTGACCTAATTTCTCTATCCTCAGGAAGGTATCAAGCTGCATGCTGTACGGGTTAGCTATACTGCCTAATGCAAGCATTCTTTCCTTTAAAATAAAGGCCAAAAAAAACCAAAAAAGACAAATAAAGAAAATCTGCTATCTTCTTGTGAGTGCTGGGGTACCAGTTTAAAGAGCTCAAAGCTGGCCCTCAGTGTGCTGTGCCCAGCGCACACCACCCTCTCAAAGATGTGTTCCTGGGACTCTTTCAAGACTTGCCAAGTTGCTTGCATTAGTTAGTGTGAATGTGGTCATGCAGTGGTCTTGCTCTTTCCATCTAGCTAAAGGTTTAAAGACTTGTCAGAATTGTTGAGGCTGGACTTACACATCTTGTTTTTCTCAGTACTTCTGTCAAGTTTTTCTGTTGGCAGACAAATTACAAGATAATGGTAGTTGTGTTCCTCATTTCAGCTGAATAGGTTCTTCTTCTCTTCCCTTTTAGTAACACAGCACCTGCAAGTCACTAATGAAGCTAGAGCAGTACCCTCTTTGAAATGAAGGGTGACATCCTGGCTACAGAACTGAAAATAGGAGCAAAGATTTTTGTCTTTGAAATTTGTTTTTCTTAATGTTCAAAAAGGGCTGATATCATTGGGTAGACATGGGTTCAAATTACTTTATTTGTAATACTAATATTACTATTACTTAATAGTATTTAATTAAGTAATTAATTAATTAATAATACTAATATTACTATTACTTTATCCATTTTTTTAAAATTATTCGTCATGTATTCAAAATGAATAGCATTTGTGTGATACTGAGTGACTGGATTCTGGGTAGTACTCGTAGATGACAGAAGGGTTGGTGTATTGGACATGAGCGTGAGAAGCAGTCTCACGTGTTGCCTGTGTAAAACTTACTGCAAATGTGAGCCTAGCTCTGTTTTTATAGAGCAGCTCTTAATAACAGTGTTTGAAATGAGACTTCTGCACTCTTACGTGTGCAGTTGCCCTTCACAAGTGCTAAAATGTTCACTTGGTGGCTTTCAGGTTGAGTTTCCTAACAACATGATGTCACACAGCAAAAGACAGCTATTTCTTTACTAGACAGAGAAACTCCTTCAATTTATTACAAAAGATGTTGGCATTTTTAAGTAATAGCTCTTCATTCTGAAGGCCTGAGACAGTGCTTGAAATAGTTTTGTCTTTTTTTTTTTTTCTTAAAACATTGACAGTATTAATTATTCAATTTGGATACCAGTGAAGATTACCTGCTTTAGTTTTGAATGAAATTCCTTTTAACTCAATGACTGAAAGCTGTGAAGTTGATACAGGACTAGCAGGGTTCATTTTTAACTTTCAGTTATATAATGCTAGAATTGAGGCACTTGCAGGTGCTGACAAGGGATTTTTTTGTATATCACAATTAAATTAATATTTAGAAAGAATAACCAAAACAGAAGAACCTTGTGAGAAAAGTTTTGCTGTGCTTACTGCTTGGAGTGCCTTGTTTTATTCAAACACCTGCATGGGTATTTTGTATTTTCCTTTGTTATGCCAAGTCTGTGTTAGCATTTCATACTGTAGTTACTTAAATTTGTGGGGGCAGGTTCTCAGCTTTTGCTGCATAGAGCAGTCAGTCTCTCAAGTATAGAACTGATGAGCACGTAAACCTACCTGTGACCACTAGCATGTATCTCTAGGTCAGTACTGAGGCAATATAGAGGCTATGGAGAAACACTTTCAGCTCTCATTTTGTACCTGATTTGTATACAGAACAGTAAATTCAGTGCTTGATTCTCACTTACATTAATGTGTTAAATAAAGCCCACTTCAAGCCTCTTTTAAGCTACCAAAATAGTGGGAGATCCAGAACAGAAAGAGGCAGTGTAGCTCTTCTGCTTTCATTACTCAGTCTACAGACACATTCTTTGGAATATATGTATCCCAAATATATATATCCCAAAAGCAACAAATTATCAGGAGGCACAACCCAGAATACCCAGCTATTATTTTATGCTTTTTTTCTTGCCATTCTACGGTAATTTCCACCCTCTCTCTTTTTTCTTACTCGGTATGGTATTTCTACTATATAAGCCAGAAACATGAATTTGACATTTTTCCTGTTCCTGAGTTTTTCCTTCAGTGTTTGCTTTGCACAGAGATACTGTTTCCCCCTAGGAGAACAGGAAGTACTTCAGGAGAACTTCAGTTGTTCATCTTTTCCTAACACTTATTGTACATTAGTAGAAGTAAATGGTGGTGAACAATTGACAAGTGAGCTTTGTCTGATAAATCATTAGCTGTAATTGCTAACTCTGATACCTGCTTGAGTGAGGATTGGACCAGATGACCTCCAGAGATCCCTTCGAACCTCAATTGCTCTGTGATCCTCCACGTGTGTGGTAATTAACTGATGTGGTACAAATGTAACAGCCCCCTTTCTGCTAGCATCCCTTCTAGTACCCATTCTGACATTCCCAATACTCCTTCCTGACTTCTCATATGATATTTTCGGGCACAGTTGATTTTTAATGTCTTGCTTTGATAATTCCATAATAAAATGAAAATCATAGACTGGCCAGTATGATCAAAGTGCAAGTCACTATTTTCGGAGGAACTGTGGCATTTCTTGGAATTAGCAATGTGTTAGCAAGAGTTCAGCTGATAATCACCTCCAAAGTGGTAACAGGACACTTAAAAGGTCACAGAATCTAGCACTGGGTTTATTCATTAGTTACTGTTCTCTTTGTTCCACATTTTATCTACACTGCATTCTGTAGTGCTTTTATGCAGTTGTGACGAATAACTGAAACAAAAGAAGAAGTTGCAATACACCCTGGTATTCTTTGTGCTTTCTTTTACTATATGTGAAGGACTGATGAAGTGTCTGTTTAACTTCATCTGCTGTTCCTCAGCCCTTCTGAGTTCTCATTAGATCTGCAAAATATGGAGGTATTCTTGCCATAGAGCAGGAGGTCAGATGCTGCATAATGCCCTGCTTGGCTATCAATCTAAAACAATTGCTGTCTCCTAACAGCAAGCATGCCCACCAGTGAAACTGAGTCAGTGAACACAGAGAATGTGAGTGGAGAAGGAGAGAACTCAGCATGCTGTGGGAGCTTATGGTGAGTACACATTGATGGTTCAGCCATCAATATTCTACACCATCAGATAATTTACTTAGTTTTAAATGATTTCCTTTATTTCACTTAGAATATTTGTAGAGTTTTTAGAATGGTGTTACAGAAAATAAATAATAGATAGTAACATTTTAGCATTCACAAAGCATTTTGGGAAGATTATTGTTATGTATATGTAATTTCAGTTTATTGATTTGAAAAATTCCATCATTCCAAAGAGATTGAACTTGTGTTAGCTAATTTTTCTGCACTCTTAAAATTTTATTTTTCTTTTCTTTTAGTAAAACCATCTCAAAATCCAAGTTCAGGTCAGTATTTTCCTCTCTTTTTTAATTAGTTTATTTTCTTGATACACTTTATACATCGTTAAGGTCTAATATGCTTGTTCTTTATTTATTGTACTTTAAATTTTACTGTTTGAAAATGCCAAATCTTGATCTAATTTTCAGTCTTCTGGCCTGATTCTCACTCCAGCCTCAGGAATGTTGTTCTGCAATAAAATTACTCTGTGTCTCAGGGCAAAGTAAAATCAGGACATAATTTGTCAGCAGTATTTGTTTGACTATGAACTTTTTTGCTTTTGGATAAAATTAGAAAATACTTTTAATTGTATGCCTTACCTGCCATGTCGCATGTGAAATCTGAAGTTAGGCTTTGGAAATATATTTCTGATGAGTCAGATGGGAACTTGGTTAAGGGTAGTATATCCTAGAAAGTTATAGCAATTACCTGCCAGTTTGTATCAACCACATGTTATTCTAACATATATATACATATGTAAATATGATCTATTTGTAATCTTCTAGGTGGATTTGAGATGTTTTGATACTAGAGCTGCTGCTTTTCTATTCTAGTAGTTAAGGCAACGGTTCCTGCACAGATTTTAGTGCCCAAAATTTATCTTAAGCATCAGTCTTTACATCTCTGTGAGCTAACTAGTGAAAACACAAGGTACTCCTAATTCAAAGATACAAGAATTACACATGTGGTTTGAACAAAAGAGTACAGTTTATGAAGTGTCATGTTATTCTGAAACACCACAGATAAAAAATAATCTGAAACTGAATATTGCTAGTTTTATATAGATCTACTAGCAATATAGAAAATATAAATTGATTGCAGATAACCAAGCTAAACTTCATAGGCCGTGGTGACTGACTTGATGGGTTACTGAGTTCAGTCATGGTGCAAGTCTTGACTTGCCATTTCAAGTTGGTTTCACATTTGTAACTGGGACCTAATGACCACCTAAACACGAATATTTGAGCAAACAAAAGTGATATTCAGAACATGTTTGTGAGAATAATGGTTTTCTTATGAGTAGTTATGAAGAAAAAGCAATACATTATTTAATGAGAACATAAATGCTGAATGATTTGGCTTGTTGCAACAAATTGTATCAGTTGAAATTGTCCTTTGTGGTTTGAATACTTATACAACTGCTATATTTTGTGAAAAATGCTTCATAATTTCATAAAACAGTATTATGTCGTTGCAAATTTATGCAAATGAATTTTTTCTTCAAAATAAAAGGCTACGTTTCAATTATTCCCCTGTCATGATGTTAGTGCTTTGTAACTGCGAGGAATGGTTGCTAAAAAATAGAAGACTATGAGAGAAATTCATATAATGTATTTTCTGATTTTGTACATTCCCAAGTTCTTTTGTCACAGCAAACCATCTACTTATTATTTCTACTTATTTCTTTAGTTATTCCAGTCTACTGAAAGTAGACCATTACTGTTTTTCCCCTTTTTGAATTTTTGCTTCATTTCTTTATTTTTTTAAATATGCTCATGTCATTCAAGCACTCGTACAAGTGCGTGCCATTGCACACTCTTCAGGAGCATTATCATGTGTGTCCCATTTAGTTGGAGCATTTTGTCACTGATTTCACAGGCCCTGGGGAAGAAAAGTCCCATTGGCTTTAGAGAGCGATGACTCACAGACAGTGAGGCTGCTCTTGGCTCGTATGAGTAGAGAGATTCAAACAATATTATCTTTATCACATTTGCTTAAAAGATTGTTCTGTAAGTCTAAGAAAAGCTGTTCTGCCTACCTGGTAAGTGAGCCCTCCCATTGCTGGCTGTGGACTCTTGAGCCAAGGACTGGCAAGATAAGAGTGTTCTTGAATGCAGTGTCGCTTTAGGTCAGGACAGGGTATAGTTTCTTTAAAGAGTTAGAATACTGCAGAGGTCTGAAACATCTTTCTACCAATCAAAACATGTATTTATTTCCAGTGCTACGAGTTTAAGGTATGCAAAGAAAATGTTAATGTCTGAATGCATTGACAACTCAGATGTTTTTATGGCAGCATATTGTATGTAGATTCTGTTTACTGAGAGAAATTTAAAGCATTTCTAACTTTACTAACTAACTTTACTAACTTTAATAGTCAATAATTATCTCCTAATTCAGGCACTGGATGTGATAACCAGTATACCTAGTTATATGTAACAAATTTAAAAAGCTATTTAGTGTCATTTTTATTCCTGTCTGCCTAGTTTAATTTAAAGTCTACATTTTGAGATTAAATTAATCTCAATTCTGTTTCTTTTGCTTTATGGACTTTTCTTTACTACTATTAATTTTATGGGGCCTGGGAAGACAGGTTACTTGATTGCCTTGTTACACAATGAAGTATTGAATCCAATTTAATATAATTGTCATTCCCGAAGATGTGGTTTACTTTTAAAAACACTCAACAAAATCTAAAAGAGGAATAAGAAACTAGCACTCCCTAATCTGCAACTGATAATAATTTGCACAAGTAACTGAATTACTTTATGTTTTATGTCAGTGCACCTACTCACATGTGTATACTTGCAGTATACTTCTTCAGAGATGAAGCCCTCCTTAAGTTGGCATGCATTTTCTGTATAATAAAAATTTCCTTTTATTTGAACTTTCAGTCGGCGCTGGCGTCGCTGGAATCGATTTAATCGAAGAAAATGTAGAGCTGCAGTAAAATCTGTCACATTTTATTGGCTTGTTATTGTCTTGGTCTTTCTGAACACGTTAACTATCTCATCAGAACATTATAACCAACCTGACTGGCTGACCCAGATCCAAGGTACAGACAAAAATTATTTGTCCTGTTTGTAACTGTGGATACTTGCATTCTGTATATCCTTCATATTTTGTCATTTTGTTTGTTGCTGTCCTGAAGATATTCAGCCCACCCAAAAGGCAATACAAGAAATGATTGACTGTATTAGATTTCCATTTCCATAACATAGCTGAATTGCATACCAGCAAAAGAATGGACAATACTAAATTGCAAATAACTGTACTTTTGTTGTTAGATCATGAAAGGTGAGGAAGAAAATGGTAATTGGCACAGCACTCTATGAGCTGCGTTGTTCAATTTTTGGTGTGGACTCAAGTTGTGAGTTGAGCAGCCATGAACTACCCAACATGTTGGAAAAACGAATAGTACTTAGGTTGGCAAGAAGGTTGGCATCCTTGTGTCACTGATGTCAAGTTAAGCAACAAATACTGTCCAAAGTAAAAAAAAAAAAAAAAAAAAAAAAAAAGTGAAATTAATGAAACCATTCATTTCTTCCTTTTTAAGCAATAGGCCTTATAGAAAGTATAATATTAAGATGTTAAAATGAAAATGGAAGCTATGAGACAACTCAGAAATATCATGCTTTTTTTTTTTTTTTTTTTTTAATATTTTGTTCCAGATATCGCAAATAAAGTTCTTCTGGCTTTGTTCACCTGTGAAATGTTAGTAAAGATGTACAGCTTGGGTCTACAGGCTTATTTTGTTTCTCTTTTTAACCGCTTTGATTGCTTCGTTGTTTGTGGTGGCATTGTTGAAACCATTTTGGTGGAGTTGGAAATTATGTCACCCCTTGGAATTTCAGTGTTTCGCTGTGTTCGTCTCCTGCGTATTTTTAAAGTAACAAGGTAAGATTAACTAATACTGCTAACTTTAGGGATAGCTGAAGGGTGATCAGCAATTCTTTTGTAATACTTCATCATGCACTGCTCTTTTACTGTTCTTTTGGTTGTTTTTTTTTTTTTCTTTTTTGTTTGTTTGGTTTTGTTATGGTTTTTTTTTCTTTTTTTTTTTTTTCTTTTTTTTTGGTGTGTGTTAACACACGCATTTTAATTTATAGGCACTGGGCATCCCTGAGCAACTTGGTAGCATCCTTGTTAAACTCAATGAAGTCCATTGCTTCACTGTTGCTTCTGCTTTTCCTCTTCATCATAATCTTCTCGTTGCTTGGAATGCAGCTGTTTGGAGGCAAATTTAATTTTGATGAAACTCAAACAAAACGGAGCACCTTCGATAATTTTCCACAAGCTCTTTTAACTGTATTCCAGGTAACTGTCTTTCATCCCCTATGAAACATTTTATCTTTGATGATCAGCAGAACTGTTTAAGTGATCATGTTGCCTGAAAGCAAAATCACAAATACTATTTATTCAGTTTACTTCAAGTAGCATTCTGCTCTTGAATTCAGTACTCTGGTAATTCTGCACCATTTGTACCATTTGTTTCATGTCTTATTTGATCTATCTATGGAGAATAGCTATCATATTACTTCACAAAATTAAATCTCTTTTGTCCATCAAATTTACACTTAGAAAAAGAGGTGGCACGTTGTCTTATTTTTATTAATTTGTTTCCTTTAACTTCATTAACTATATAAAAGTTCAGCTTTTCCCTATGGAAAAATTGAGATGCATTGTTAGAGGGCATATTTGCATATAGGTTTATATCAGTTACTATGATATAGAAATAATCTTAAGGAGACACTACCAGGTTTATTACAATTCTAAAGATTAGAGATCAGGCTAATCAGTTCCATCTTTCTAACCATTTCCATGTTCAGCTTTGCAGACGTTGCGCATTACCACAGTGTTTGGTTTCAGACATTGTAGGGGGATGTTTAAGGCAGGCACTGTAAGACTCAACACTGTATCTGCTTCCTACCTCCTCACTAGCAGTTTTTGTATACAGAAAGTTAGCTTTATTGTGTATTTTGAGCACAGGAAACATAGTTTTCTATTGTTCTTTTTGATGATGAGTTACTAATAATATATTTGCTTCTCAGATTCTAACAGGTGAAGACTGGAATGCTGTTATGTATGATGGCATAATGGCGTATGGTGGTCCATCATCTTCAGGCATGATAGTCTGCATATATTTCATTATCCTCTTCATCTGCGGTAACTGTATCCTTTGTGCTTCATGGAATACATCTCCAAATAGAACTGTGTGCCAGGGTGTAACCATGCCAGGGGCACAAGCAAGATTTCTCCAGAAAAGAGTAAGTTGCAGTGGATGTGCATGCTCATTCTGCTCATGCTCAGTCCTTTGAATTGACTTTATAGAGCAATTCTCTTTTTTACATTTCCTGATGAATGAGATTCCAGGGATATCTAAGTGCATCTCCAACCACCACAGTGGCAGGAACAAGAAAAAAATAAATTTCATTCTTCCTTCAATGGAAAAACAACCTTATTCTACCTGCTTGTCTCTATTTGACATCTCTCCTTCTCAAAATGAATGGATGTAGTTTGATCTCTATGACAGTAATTTCCTGTTCATCCTTTTGATGCTTTGTATAGATCTGTTAGGTCTGACACACACCGACAATGGAGCCAGTGATCCACTGTATACTACAAAGACCAGATGAGAGAAATTGACAAGGAGAAATATTGAGTCAGCTAGGATTAAGTCTTCTGAAGCATTCCCCTTCCCTGACTTCAGTATGATGGAATAACCCTTGGTCCCATACAGCAACAGAAACTAGTGTCATTCTCCTAAATTCTTAAAAGGTCAGGAGATAATAAAAAGGCAAAAACATTCTATTTTCTGTACTACACTGTGCTTATATGGGTATTTGTGCGTAACTGATACAGACTGAAGTACAAAATTTGATATAGAGTTTCATAGACACAGAAAACAGAGCATTATAGAAATAAATTTTTCAAAATGCCCAAACATTCTTGACTTTCAAAAGACAATGTTTTGTATTTGAAGCATGCTCAGGCTAACATGAAGTTAAGTTTCATTTTATTTAAAAACAAACAAACAGCATGTGTCCCATTATTTTAAAATCAGTGATCCTGCTGGATCTTGGCTGGTTTTACACTGAGTATTATTCTAGTCTGTTAAGTGAGTGTTGTTTGCACTACATTCCAATGTCACCTGTCTCTATACTTAAGGTTGGGAACATGGGATTTATCTCTCTTGCATTGTCAGCGTTTATACTGATAATACTGATAAACAAAGTGTTGTAAGGCATAATGTCCTTAAAATGATTTGAAATAGATATCTTACTAAATGTCTTCTTGGCCATTGCTGTGGATAACTTGGCAGATGCTGAAAGTCTAAATACTGCCCAGAAAGAAGAAGCAGAAGAAAAGGAAAGGAAAAAGAATGCAAGGTAAAATAGCTCAGGCATGATCAATGAGCAAGAGAAGGGAGGAGGAGAGAAATAAGTTTTTTCCTGTAATTCTTTCTTGCGTAAGTGGCCTCACTATTTGCAAAATTTATTGGACTTGGGAAACAAAGGACAGCATTTACTTTGACGTTGAAGTAAGACCCAGTTAGAATGATTTGAGATAAAAGTTGGCTAGTGATTGGGAAAATAGGATGACCTAAGGAGAGGATGATAAGCCAACTGATGTTTAAACATCACAATGGTAGGATTTATTGTACAATTAGAACAGGAATGTATCTGTTCTTGCCAGAGAAAAAGACCATTTGGAATCAGTTCTGTAAGCCTTATCCAGGCAATAAGATCTTTCCACTAGATTAGTACTGCTTGTTGAAATCAGTGCAAGTTATTTGAGTCCAAGAGCACATTTTATCCATCTTGAAAGGAGTAATGATCATGCATTGAATTTTTTAGTGATTAACTTCTGCAGTTAAATTCAAAATGGTAATGTTTGAAATGGATCAAATGTGTTCAAATGCAGTAGATTTTATTACTTTGATGACTGCTTCTGTGCAACTCACTTTAAATATCACTTAAATTTTTGGCTGTATGTTTTTATGTATACTCAACTTTTAAAAGTATGCTTACAATTCATTTTAAATCTCCTGTCCTTATATGATTTGCATTGTAATTGTTTTTTGCTTGTTTGTATTTTCTAGAAAAGAGAGTCTGGAAAATAAAAAAAGTGAGAAGTCAGAAGGTGACCAAAAGAAACCCAAGGATAGTAAGGTGTTTATTTTTTAAAATATATCTTTTTAGGAAGGAATTATTTTTCAGGCCTGCTATTCTTTATGTGATTTCTTTTATGAAATCATCATCAGTACATTTTTTTCCAGAGAAAGGAAGCAGTTCTGATGCTTGGCATCTTTGCAGAATCTGTCAGCCCTGAAAATGCTTTTGATTTTAATATCCAAAGAAGAGAAGGTCAAATTTGTCATTCCTGTAGGATCTCTGAATGTATTTTGCCTGGTAAATCCAGTGGAAGAAATTAGTAGAAGATGAATTCTTAGCTGAACTTTCAACCATTACTAGTGATTTTTACCAAACCTGTTGGTCATATTGTGATTGTAATTTGCACAGCTAGAAGAATACGGATATTATAGAAAAATTACATTTTAAATATATATATTAAAATGTCAGTTCTGCTCTCTTCTCAGGGTTATCCCATCTTAAAAAATCAGTCTAAATATGGGCATGACTTTCTTGACTTCAGAGTCTTACTTGTTCTGCCTTCTGTTAAACTCTGTATGCAAAGCTCTACTGAAAACTATTTTCTCTTCTTTCATGGCCATAGGTGACAATTGCTGAATATGGAGAAGGAGAGGATGAAGATAAAGATCCTTATCCACCCTGTGATGTACCAGGTATGTGAATACCAGTCCAAAGAGAAAAACATTTAAATTTGTTAGCTAAAATATCATAGTCTGCTCTCTCTGAACACTGAATCAGCTCCTTTGAAGTCCATGAGACTGCACTCTGTTATCAGTGGATAAATGGGCCTCTAAGTTGTTAAGTACAACATTTTTCTTTAGGTCTCTTAAGAGTATAAGCATAAGGGTTAATACTGTGAGCCTGAAGGCTCTTGTGCTAATAGTAACCTGGATGTGAAGGCTAATTCTAAAATGTTTGGCAGTAAAAAGACTTCCCAGGACTGAAGGTGTTCAGTCACTACTATCTCAGTATCTTCCAGTCCAGCAAGCACCTCTATCTAAAAATCTATTCTGATTGTTTCAAAAAAATTGATCCTTTTTATTTTTAGTCAAACAAATGTTTAATTTATAGTAGGTGAAGATGAAGAAGATGAGGAGGATGAACCTGAGGTACCAGCAGGCCCACGTCCCCGTAGAATATCAGAATTAAATATGAAGGAGAAGATAACACCGATCCCTGAAGGGAGTGCCTTCTTCATTTTCAGCAGCACCAATCCGTAAATATCGTTCTGGAATATTCTCCTTTAGCTCCTCCAGTGGTGAAGGAGTAGATCTCCCTGCACTGAGTGTACAGATAGAACAGCAATATCTGCAGCAAGATAGGAATTGGTTTCTAAGTGACTTAATAAATAAAAACAATTTGTTAAATGCATTGATTAGCTTCCCATTATCAAAGATTATAGCATTTTTAATGTATTGACTATGAACTCTGCATAGGTCTGAAAAGTATCTTTTAATGTCTGCTATCCAGCTGTTCTCTTAGTCACTGGATATAAAAGATCTGAACGTGAACTATGAGGATTTTTGCATGAGGTAGAATTCCTAGAAACCATGCGAAGAATGGCATGTTTTTGTAGCAGTGAGAGTGAGGAATGAGGAAAAAATGTAAGACAAGAGGCAGGAAGGAGGCATGTATCCTCTCAGTTGACAGTGTTTTTCCAGATTAAAACTAAAACTGACAAATTACTTAAAAAGTCAGAATCAGGAGTAGTTAGATTTTGGAGGAAATTGAAATCTTTCACCACTCAATCTAACTCCAGAGCATTGCAGATTCTATATATTGATGAGGAAAGCAAGCTTCAGCAGTCAATAAAAGTTGTTATTGATTGTTAGATGGAAGTGAACAAGGGAATGGAATTCAGTTCCTACAAGACTGAAGGTAGCTGATTCATTCAGGTGTAGCAATTTCAGGGGCAGTTATAGCAGGGCTTTTGAAAGTTATCTGTACAGGAGAACCTTGTTTACTCCAAGGTAGAGGTCTTCATGGGTAAGATTAAATGATGATACAAGCAAGATATTTTGGGCTTGTATCTTATTGATTATGTGGATTATCTAATACTCAGAATTTTTTGACAAGCTAGAAAGATATCTATCTAAACTGGTAATTTTAAGAACACGTGATGAATGCATGTACACTAGACTTGTTGAACATGTCAATTTCCTTTTGTTCTCAAGTAATTCTGTATGGTTTTTCAGGGCAAAATCTCCGTCTTGCTTAACTGCTTAACTGTACTCAAATCATCTACTTAAAAGAACAAATTTCCTCAGAGAAACTGATGATTCTTCAAGAAGAATATTTCAAACAACTTTAGTGTTAGTGAGTTATGAACAAAATTCTGCCATTTTGCCAAGTTTAATTCTGGACCAACTCCAGTGAAATGCTCAGTAGCCCTATAGCTCAGTGACCTTGGGCTCAGTGACTGGAATCCCACTTCATATTTGTCTGAATGCGAGCAGCTCTATAATCTTCAGCACACACTGGTCCTATAATTCTGCAAAATAAAATCTTTGAGGGAAATTATTATTTGATCGCAGTCTTCAAGTAACACAAGATCTCTAAACTTAAACACGTCTCAGCAAATTAATATTTTCAACAATTTTTACAACAAGTAACAGTTGGGATCTGAACAACCTTAATATTTGGCATTTGACATTGAAATCTATCTACATCACAGTGGTATAAACACTGGAATTTATAATGACATTCCTAATCCAGGATGTTTTCTTCCTTATTCTTTTGATAAGTGCACCTTCACAACTGGAGAACTGGATTTTGAATTTATTTAAGTTTTTACATAAGAGGGAGCAATAGCTTCAGCATTTACACCATGTTTTAACTGCTGATGGTTTCCCAGATCTGTCATTTTTGGCAGAGTAATAGAAAACATGTTGTATATTAGCCATCTGGTGAATTCTATTTGCACATGTGGTACATTTTTGTATCTCTTCTGCAGAATTCGAGTGGGATGCCACAGGCTCATCAATCACCACATCTTTACCAATCTCATCCTTGTCTTCATCATGCTGAGCAGTGTTTCCCTAGCAGCAGAAGATCCGATCCGCAGCCACTCATTTCGAAATAATGTAAGCCTGTCAGTTTTGTATCTAGAGATAAATATATTCTCATAGAACAATAAACCTTTAGGATTAGTGCCTCGTTTTTAATTTTCAAGTGAAGAAATGCTCCTTTTCCTTTTCCAAGTCAAACATTTGCAATTTTTTTGTTGTAAAAAACATAAATCTTTCAAAGGCAAGTAGGTTTATGAATGGAGCATCGTAGGTAGTACAACTATTTTGCATTGAGGGTGGAGAAAGCTTCTCAAGTTATCATGAGTTGTGCATGCTTCTGATTAGTTATGATTGAACTGCTTTGTGGGGATTTGGAACTGTCAGATCTCCCCTGTCTTACATATATGTTGATCTACAGGTTAGCCATGGAGTTAGAGGAAAACCTCTTACTAGAAAGATGGGCCTTCTGGATCAGTTGATGTTCCTGTACTGGTTAATGCTTTGAAAAAGTTAATGCTTGAAAATTGAACTCATAATGTCAGAAACCAAACCACCAAACCAAACAAGCAGGGCGCCAATAGGAAGACCTTTCAAAATCAATTAAAAAAAAAAAAAAAAAAGAATAATTAAAACTCTAAACTTAGTTTCAAGGTGTTTGACAATCTAACTTGTGATTTTAAAGGTTTGGGAATGGCCACAATGTGACAGTAGGCTAAACGCTAATCTTCTGTATCTGAGGAATTAAATCTGCTTAAGATTCCTTCTGCAGCTTTGAAACAAATCTCACTACTGCCCCAGGTGTTGTGCTCACATTTGCATTGCAAAGCAGTTGCACACTGCACAAACTAGGTTCCTTTTAGATGAAACTAAAACAAGAGTTACACTTCAGCACATAAACTCAGTGCAAAAACTTTTGATTTTTCAAACATTGAATTCCTCTTATCCTCAACTAGTGCTCTAGCTTCTGGAGGCTGAAACAGTTGTTATGGAACTAAAAAACTAACAGATGTCCTTCAACCTCTAATGGGACTTGAGTTTATGTAATGAGGAGGGTAGGCACATATCAAGGAAAAATGAAAATATTGGTTCTCAATACTGTTGCTGCTTTGCTCTTGTATCCCTGCACTATTGTAGGTGCCTCTGAGCTCTTCTTTGTGCTGTTGACGTTCTCTGAACATTTTTTTTTTCAGTACCATTCTCAAAAAACAAAATGCTAACACTTTTTCCAAGGATAAAATTAGATAAAAACAAAAAGGCACTCTCCATGGAATCTATAGAGCAACTGTGTGCCTCCCATATCTGTAAAACTGGACAAATGCAATTTTATGAATAGATCATGGTAATGGATAAGAAAAACAGCTGGTGAGCCATACTGAAATTGTTACTAAAGGGCTGATACTTATTTTTGTAACTAGACCAGTGGTAGGAAGATACAACTCCAGAGTGGTGGGAATCGAAGGGATTATTCCTCTTTGGGGCACAGGAAGATAAGATGTTTGAGTAATTTTGAGAAAACATTGCCCTCATGTTGTAAATATTCACAAACACACCAAAATTGCACGTTTTTCTTGTAATTAGCTTGAATGATGGCGTGTGTTGCCTTCAGCTGGGCAGCTTGGCAAGGGAAGGAACTACACTCTACTGTAGAGAGAGTTTAGCATTGACTTTGTGAATTGGTATTTGGAAGTCTCAAAAAGTTACTGAAAAGTGTGATTTGAAGAGTTGGCTGTTGTATTTCTACAAGAGTAGCCTCTGCTTATTCCAGTTGGCACTCAAGTTCAGTAGCATGGCTTTCTGGTGACTGTTAGTTCATGTTATCTTTTCTGCAAATATGATTGCTTCTACTCAGTCCTGTGCTTTTTATGTTGGATATTCCATGTTGGCTTGTTAATGAAGATCATGTTGTTTGTAGCTGTGCTAGCATGGTAAAATTCCATGATAAAGGACAGCACATTGGATCAAGTCACACTGCCAAACATGAGAGCTGAACATCCTGATGAATCTCAAGTTATCTGATAAAATTCATGACAGTAAAAGCATGAAAACACAAGTTTAAGAAGCAAGAATTCAAAAAAACAAAATTCTTTACTAATTTTTTTTTGAACAGCTTTTTTATCTGACTCTTTTTTTCAGCCACAGCAAGGAATGGAAGGACGGAAATGGAACATGGGAAGAAAAAATTTTTCTTTTGGTTTTATAGGAATATGTCCATTGTGTTTGTCTCTTTATTTTATTTCTCTTTCTCATTTTCTTAGCTGTTGCACCACAGGAAACATGTCTCTGTGCTCACCTGTTTTCTAGGCGAACTGCTGGATCCTTGAAACTAAACTAACACAGTGCTGCAGTGTATGTCTGTGACTAAGTTGGTTGCTGGCAATACTTCCACCTTGAAAGGGTGAAATCTCAGTTCCATTGAAATATGTATGCACTATTCCTATTGACAACTGTGAAATCAGTGTTACATCTATGATATTTTTAAAAGTTTGCATGTCACTAAATTTCCAGTGTGTGTTCCAAATTTCCTGCAAATAAAGAACTGCTGTGTTTTCCAAGTAAAAATAAAGAAATAAATAAAAAGCTGCAGTGCTGGTTTTAATTAGTTTAGTTATTCATTAATGTGCTTTCACATACTCTATCTCAGTCTATCTGGGAACAACAACATCATAATGACTTACTAATAACAAACATACACTACTACTGAACATTTCTTGCATAAGATTATGCATCTCTGTGAAAGCCTGCAGCAGGTTCCTGTGAAAGCCAATAGGGGAAGGTCTGAAAGAACTGAAAGTCTCAGGGTCTGAGTGGTAAAATCTCACATCTAAACATGGTGGCTTGTGATAATTTTTTAAGTAAATATAAACTGTTGCACAATTGCTGGAATTTTAAACTATATTGGCTTAATTCCCAATCTACCTGTTTCTATAAATTCAGGTGTTGTTGTACATGTGGTATAAACTGTAAAAACTTATTAATAGTTGAATTTCTTACTGTGGCACGTATTATACCTTGCAGATACTTGGTTACTTTGACTATGCTTTCACAGCCATCTTTACTGTTGAAATCCTGTTAAAGGTAATGCATTGTTATTGATCCTTGTTAGCTCAAAAGCAGCTTTAGCAATAATGTTTGTAACTTTTTGTTTACCTTCCAGATCCTAGGGTATGCAGATTATGTCTTCACTAGTATGTTTACATTTGAGATCATTTTGAAGGTAACAGGTTTTCAAAGGAAGTTTGTTTAAAAGGATTTTCCTTGTGTGTCACCTGCCAAGAAAAGGCACTTGAAGTGTTCTTCGCCTTTTCTCTAAGCGATCAAAGCTAAACTTTTTTTCAATCAGAGGAATTTTTAATTTGACAATTTCTCATAGTTTTGATTGGTTATTTTTTTACCATTGGATGCATGTAGAAGATGATATTTTTATCATTGCATCAATTTAGTAATTCATTTTTTACCCTTTTTAAACTTACAGTTGTCAGAAAAGGGAAAAATAATTCACTGCGCATGAGCTTTTCCTTCTCCCTGCTCTGGCATTTCCAAAAGAGTTGATCAGTCTTGTAAGGAGGGAGCATGTAATTTCTCATTTTTCTTGCTGAACTATACTCACAGAGCTAAAATAGATAACTATTTTCTTGCAATGGGACTTGCAAGATATCTTGCATTTATCTATCTATACACTAAGATACGTTTCATTTATCTTATCTTGGGCATACATTTAAATACACAGAAAGGCATAAATATGCTTGCTTAAATGTATTACCCATGCATGAGTTCAAAAATGGCATTTTAATGTACAGTTTGTGTACTGATTATTAAGATTATCTATTGGGGTTACTCAGAATGTACATGGAGCTTACTCTGGCAAAGAAGCTCTATAACTGAGGGTTGGATTCACATGTAGGAAACTGTTGAACAAAATAATTCTTTTCTTTTTTGAAAATTTGTGAAACATTTTTTCCAGAAACTTACGTATGGTTTTTCAAAGTTAACTCAGTGCGTATTCAGTCTGACTTTTTCTTTGAGTAACCCCGATTCATACGCTGGTACACTAAAAATCTGTACATAAACTTTGCATTTCTAGTTGAGGAGTAAGCTTAACAAAATCTCTTCTCCCAGCTTTTGCTCATATTGCTGTGCATATTCTTCACTATGCAACTTGTTTAATAATAATTGCTGCAATATTTGGGCTGTTTACAAGATAAGCTGTGTTGTAAATAGTGAACTATTTTTATGTTTGCAAATATTCTCAGACTTCAATTTAACCCCTTCTCATTTTCAGCAGTGAGGAGCTTGCTAAAAAATTGGTTGATTTTATAATACTTGTATTAAAAAAAAAAAAGTCCCAATTTTTCACATCAAGAGAAAGGCCAAACTAAAGGAAAGGAAAGAGCACTGAAAAGTCTCATAGCATTCAATCAAAGCAGTTCCAAACTCTGAATTTGAGAAACCATACTAAATATGTTAGCACCATTTGTACAACAGAAAAGATGGTAGACCAGCTACATGCTCTGAACAGCAGGTTGTGTAGCTCCTGCAGTTCCAATTTACCTCTGTACAGACAGAGGAGTTACAAAGAATGGCATATACAAACGTAACTAGATGTGCTAAGAAGAGAAATATTCTCACTGACTGCAAAAGATTCTGACATTAAGTTATTCGAGGGAAGTAGGAAGCACTAGAGCATGAACTTCTGAAATCTGGCATTGTTAAGTAATAAAAGGAAACAAGAAGCCCCATCGTAGAAGAACATTTGATGCTCCTGACTGCACTAACTGCAGGAAACTCTGCCTTGCAGTGTACTCACATGTCTTTATAGAGGAAAATAAATAGTACCATAAAAAATTCAGTGGACAGTCAGCAAATGGCACATTCATGTACAATGCCTGCTTTACTAACATGTCTCAGACACTGGCTTTGCTTGCTCCTGGCTCGAGCCCTCTGCCTTTCCCCTGTTGCTTTCTGTGCTGTGCTTTTTCACACAGCAGCTGTGTGAGTTCTGTAGGATGCAAATTCAAGACTAGTTCTATAGGAACAATAGCAGTTCTTAATTTCCAGCCAAAAAGTATGTGAAACTGAAACAAAGATAACTAGGAGCAATATTATCAAGTGCTAAAAAGAAGCATTAAAAGAACTCACAACACATGGAGAGTTCTCCCTGTGCTCTGTTTTACTGGCTGCTCAGCAGACCTAAGGATTTACACTTTATGTGGTGTTGAGGTTATGAGGGAGGTTATGAATACCATTGCAAATCTGCAATATCTGTTTAAAGCATTTAAGAATTCTTATGTAACCCCTACATAGCTTTCAAATCCAGCTTACCATCCTGTTTGCAGTACTTGGGGAGTCTGAATGTGTCAAACCAAAGGCCAGGTTGGGGCTTTGTGCTTTTAACTTGCCCCAGCTGTGCTAATCCCTTCCATCTAAACTAGTCCCCACTGGTGTAGCAAGAGGAAGAGAGCAACAGGACTGGTGCTCACTGCCTTGCATTTGCCCTAGGACTTGCTATGGTCTTGACCTGTGCAAAGGGTGGAATAATTTTGCTGGGATTTATACTGATGGAAGTCTGGGTCTCCATATAAAGACAGGATGATGAGTACTTTGCCTGCATTTTTATGTCAAAATGTCTTAACTTTTGTGAGTCTTTACATTAAGCACAATTAATTGATTGCATACTAGAATGTGAATGAGTATCTGTAGGTTGATGTAGGCTTTTATTCAAAGTTATTTTAGTTCTTAATTCCCACTGATTTTAATTAGTTTAGTCATACTCTGTGCTACTGAAAGTGAAAGAGGTGTGCATTTATTGAAAATTTTATAATATAATGTATTAGTTCTCTGCAGGTCATAATAAAGCTCTAGGATTGTTATTCTAATTTTGAGGAACATTTAGTGTATTGAACACAACTAGAGAAAGCTTCTTCCAAGCAAAAGGCATCCTTTGCAGCTAATGTGTAACTCAGTGAAGCTGAAGAATTTCTGATGCAGAAGGCCTGCAAGTACATCCACACAAGAAGTGACGCCCTGAGCTGTGAGATGCCCATCAGTGGCTCTCCTCTGTTCTGTGGAACAGTTTTGAAAGATGCAGTGGTGTGCTGCAAGAGGAGAGGAAATCTTTTCTCTCCATGGTGGTGGATAGAACAGAACAGAATGGAAAATAATGGGTTTAAAATCCACAGATGTTTTCCTTACCTGTAGAAAGCAATAAGTAGCTGACAGTACTCAGCTCTTTTTAAGAGGTACTTAAGGCTGAAGAAATTACAGCCTTAAATAGTGCCTGAACTGAAAACTGGGTGTTTTTCAGAAGTATTTTAATTTGAAGTCCAGTTTCAGCATTTTCAATTGTAATCCATAAAAATCCATAAAACATATTTGCAAAATTCAACTCAAGTGCAGATTCTGTGCTTCTTATTGGATCAGGAGGTTTCTTCTGAGATTTTTTTAACTAGTATTCCCTCTGAGTTATACCAAGGGTCGAATTAATAAATTCAGGGGCCAAACTCAGCTTTGGGGTACCTGAAAAGATCTGCCCAGTGTCTGCAGCCGTAATTAATAGAACCTCTGTCACTGGCTCCTAATGAGTCTTGCAGGCAGTGTAAGCAGGCTCCTTCACAAGATACTTACTGTGTTCCTTTAATTGTCATCAAGGCTTAGAAAGCAAAAAATGAAGAGAAAGCCCAATAGGGAGAGCAATGTTCGATTGCTTTCCCTGCAGAAAGCAATGCTCAGGGATTGCAGTTTATGCCTAGTACATAAGAATCATAGAATCATAAAACTGTTTGCGTTGAAAGTGTCCTGCCAAGGTCAGTTAGCCCAACTGCCCTGCGATTAGTAGGGTCATCTACAGCTTTATCACTGCAGTCTATGGACTGCTCCACTGCCCAGAGGAATCAGAATCCCCAGTACTGCAAACGTGCTGTACAAAACCTTCCAAGGTACTCACTGATGGCCTCAACTCATCTCCTGTGTGGAGGAGGCAGCAAAGTAACTGCCTGGTGGCAGCTTTGCATGGCTTCGGTACCAGATTTTACTCATGGGATTTTGCAGTACATTTTCAGCTCCTTCAATTCTCAAAACAATAGGAACAATGAGGAGTCATAATCTGGACCTTACAGTTTTGTAAGCATGGAAGGTTTATGGTTCTTGTAGTCACTTTTCTATCGAAAGCCCAGCCTCTTCAGTGAAATCCACTCAGCCTAATCAGTTACATACAAAAACAACATTTGTTGGCATCAGAAGCAATTGACACGTTTGCTCATGTTTCCTGAGCAGAGTTGTTGTTATTTAATTAAAAGTTACTAAACGTATGTAGTGTTTTTTTAAATTTCAGTTGTTTTTAGAAGGTGATACTGTTGTATGCATTCACACTCTAGGCAGGCGTCTTGTAAACAGCCTAAATGTCAATGTGAATAGATTGAGATAGAGATTAAACATAAAACAATTCTGTTTTTAGATGACAGCTTTTGGAGCATTCCTCCATAAAGGGTCCTTCTGCAGAAATTACTTTAATTTGCTGGATTTGCTGGTTGTGGGTGTTTCTCTGGTGTCATTTGGTATTCAGTAAGTATTACAATCTGAACAATTTATTTTTTGCTCTGGGGTTCTCTACTGAAATCAGTCTTGCAGCTCCTTTTGTTCTGCCGTTTTGTGTGGGTGCAGTCAAGGCTGGGAACAGGAGGAGGTGATGCTTTATATGGGGAGTTGTAATTCAATACTAATAGAGATTGGAAGCAAATCACTGCTTCCCCCCATTGCCAAGAGTACGAGGAGGAACACCACAGCACTCTGTTGTGTAGCAAGGAATTCCTGGAGCTCCTGGAGGTTTATGTGCCCTCCTTTGTGTTAATGCGACATACCCAGCCTAATTCTATGAGCTTGCTCTTTCGGTATTGTCCTACTGGGATACATAACCTAACTGGATTTGAAGGGGAGAGAAGTTGTAGCTTAATCAGTAAGTGGTAACGAGGGATGTTTTTTTTCCTTTGGATCAGGCAGAACATAATAACAGAGTCAGAAGGTGCTTATTGATTCTCTAAGCGAGCAGCTGTGCCTTATTTAAATCATCCATGAATCCTTCACTGACCTAGAAATGAGCAAGGGCTGGCTGTTAGTCAGCCCCCTCCCAGTTGTGTTCTGCTTGTGTTACAATGCTTATGAAAGATTTTAGTTTTGCAGTGTGCTCTTTAATGGACTGTCTGCTGTTATCGCTGCTGAAAGCAAATGTGATTCTATTGAGATCTTTTCAAATCCAGTTGGTTGGAAATGAAGGTATTCATCGACTTGCAGGACTTGCACAAGGTTTTTGAATGAGGTGTCAGCATTCGAAAAAGAAAGTACTCTGGGGAGTAATTTGCTCCTGACCAACCTTAATTGTGTTTGTGTCAGATGAGCCTCCAAGCTGTTAATTCCCAAGTTGCTCCAGAAATCAAAATGATTCTTACAGTATTTATGTTATTCTTTTCTAATATTAACAATATATCAATGAAGGAGTGCTTCAAAAAATCTTGTATACAATGTTGTGATGCTTTTTTTGAATTTTCACCTATAAAGAAGTCGTGAGAACATTGTTGTTCTTAGAAATGAAATCGATTACCTTGAAAGTAACAAACTTTTATTTTTTCTCCAGATCAAGTGCTATCTCAGTTGTGAAGATCCTCAGAGTTTTGAGAGTCTTGAGGCCCCTAAGGGCTATAAACAGAGCAAAAGGACTTAAGGTTTATATTTTTAACTTTTTCTAAGTTACGTTTCTGTTGACCTGATTCCTCAATTCTGGTTCAGGTTAAATAGTCTAACAATAAAAATTTCCTGGAAAAGGTCACATAGATCAGTTCCTGATTCTTAAGCATGTTGGGCCAGATTCTGCCCATGGTTCCCCAGTACTTTATATGTGGAGGAAAACCAGTGCCACAGAGAGCAGAATTTGATCATGGTGCTTGTTGTGAACCAACATGTCACAGAAATGGCTCCATTGCCATTCTACAGTGCGTGTGTACATTTTAATCTATACATGTTAATGGGTCTGTCTCAACACACTTATGGACAAATTTTGGAAATGAGCGTAGCTATGATAGAAGGTAAAATACTGTCAGTGCAAAAACAGTAGCTTTAAAAGGTGATCAAAATGTGATAAAGTAAGCTTTTATTCTTGTGGTAGGTGTGCTAGGTTTAAAATATTTTTTTTTCTTTCTTTCCAGCACGTTGTTCAGTGTGTCTTTGTGGCTATTAGAACTATTGGTAATATCATGATTGTTACAACTCTGCTGCAGTTCATGTTTGCTTGTATTGGAGTGCAGCTCTTCAAGGTGAGCAGACTCAAAAGTAGTACTGCAGCAAGAATAGCAAAACTGAGTTGAATTCGTGGTGTCTTGCTGCTTGGTGGGTTGGTCTCATTTGGAAGCAGTCATAGTGTAAATGCATTTATTGTGTATATTCTCCATTTTATTACTGTGTTTTGTTTTATATGTAGGGAAAATTCTACAAGTGCACTGATGAGGCAAAACAGAATCCAGAGGAATGCCGGTGAGAGCTCTTTTAAACTAAGAAAGTGACACATATGTTGAGTAGTATAAACTTACCAGATAAGGGCAGACTTGTGATAGGTGATTTAAGTTTGTATAAATTGGAATTACCATCTTGAGACCCAGAAGGAAAGTCTAAAACATAAAGGCAGTCAAGACAGGTTAGCAAGGAAATAAAACAAGTTTATGATGGAGTAAAATAAATTATTTTGAATAAATAATTGTATAACTTGAGGGCTAATTAAATATTTTATTAATGGCAGTGTTTCCTTTCCTTTCCCAAAGGGGGATATACATTGTTTATAAAGATGGAGATGTTGATAATCCAATGGTCAAAGAGAGGGTCTGGCAAAATAGCGATTTCAACTTCGACAATGTTCTGTCTGCTATGATGGCTCTTTTCACCGTGTCCACTTTTGAAGGCTGGCCTGCGTGAGTGAATGCTTCATAACATTAATATTAAGACATGTTTTCCAGAAAAATTATCTATCATTTACTAAGTGTTTTGGGGTAACAAAACAGTCTTACACAGTGGTGCAGAAATGTATTAGTAAAGGAAGGAAATAAACCTACTATCCTTCTGAATCTGTGCATTTTTTTTCTGGTATTTCTTCATTCACTCCTGTCAGTAATGGGAAAAGTTCTCGTTTTCACATTCCTATATTTACAAGAAATAAATGAGGGTGGATTTTTAAGTACAACTTAAATTTTGGGTAATTTCCTTTACAAGGAACTCAAAATATGTAGTGCAAAGTAATTATATACCAGTAATTGCAATTCTCCATCTCTGTAGTCTGTAGGTGGGTAATGTTGCATTCAGGAATTCAGCAAAATGGGATTTCAGTCTTTATTTTGTGATTCCAGTGTGGTTCAGGGTATGGAATATACCACTGTTGAGAACACATTGATAGTACTTGGCTTCTTTCTGTCTCTGAAATCAATTTAAAGTGACAAATACAGTATAGGATAACTTGAAAGTACTGTATGATCTCAGAATATATTATTTTTGTGTGTGCTTGTTCAAATCAGTGAAACCTTGTACATTTAAATTGATTGCTTCCTAATCTTTCAGTTACTTTTGCTACAGCAAGCTACTCTTTTAGCACTAGAGTAACAATTCTCTTTGATCTTTACACATTAAGGCTAATAATACTAATATTAAAATTTTAGAACTTTGAGTAAAACTTCTACTATAGTTCTAAGCAACTATACACAGTGTAGAAAAACCTGAGAAGAACAAGCTGCCTTTGGCAATGTGCCTAAGTACGTAAAGTCTTACAGGACAGCTGTATGTGAAAAATACAATAATACAACCAGTTGGTCATTGTCTTGATTGTACTGAACAAAGAAAATAACATTATTTCTGCTATTTTGGTTACGCTTGTAAGTACTATTTATTCAGAGTGAAGTTGATAATAAATAGTAAGGTATTTCTCAAATCTGTCCTATGAGTTTGCATATTTTACTGTCTTTTGCCATTTTAATGCTAATGAAGATTTTTTCCCCCCGCCAGGCTGCTGTACAAAGCCATTGATTCCAATGGCGAGAATGTAGGACCTGTATACAACTACAGAGTGGAGATCTCAATTTTTTTCATCATCTATATCATCATTATTGCTTTCTTTATGATGAACATATTTGTTGGTTTTGTCATTGTTACATTCCAAGAACAGGGAGAACAAGAATACAAGAACTGTGAGCTGGACAAAAATCAGGTTAAAATACATAATGAACTCTTAATTTTTATAAGTATCCTTTTTTTTTATTTATTCACCAATAACTTCCTTTCTGCTTTAGGCCAGAGGGGGGCATCAAACACATCTCTTAGTAATAAAATAATTTTTAAAAGTAGCCTGAGTAAATTAGCATCAATTGGTACTCAAGTCACTCTGTGGTACTCAAGTCACTCTGTATTCCTCTTCCTGTAAGCCAAACGTCTCAGTCTTTTTGTTGTGGAGGTTGCTATGTGATGGTTGCTAGTGTCTTAGTGTCTCGCTTCTTGGTGTCACGTTAAGAGGAATTCAAGCATTTAACAGTTTATCCATAGGCAGAAGTAGGTTTTGCAGTAACAACGGATAGTAAAAGTTGTGTTCTGAATAAACTGAAAATATTCGAAGTGTTCAAAATATTCTACTCTACTTTTTTCCTTTATTTAAGAAAAGTAAATAAAGCACATGTGATGCTCATATTCCCCTTTTATTATTTAATCTTTTCACTCAGAAACTTGCCAGTGATCATTCATGGTTTATTGGCTACCCTTGTTCCACTGCAGCACTCTTCATCCAACATAGTTAAGCATGAAACTCTGGGGAGCATTCGTAATGCATTTTGTGCCCCAACAGCCAGCTTTTATAGGCATTCTTCAAAAGGCAAGGAGAAGGCCCAACTTATATGGAGATTTAGGTGCTAAGACCTGGATGTGAATCCATGGTGTTTCTGCCTATCAGTTTTTCTCAACTAATAGGAATAACACCCACTGGTGTTTATTTTGCAGACAGTAGGATTTTATGCTATGCAGTTACAGTAATGATTGAAAACTTAGTAAAGACTAAGTGCAACTTAAAGGCTAATTAAAAGTCAGCATTACTGTTAGATGAGAATCTTTAAAAATGAATTCTGCATAGTATGTTAATATTACGATAGTTGGGTAACAATATGATGATATGTGTATCAGTACACTTAATGCTATAAACAATACATGTATGTATACACACATGTGGTCTGTGGTATATTAGTATGCTGTGTGAAAGTGAAATGCTTTAGAATTTTCATCTTTGATTCTTTGCATGTAGCTGAGTAGTGTATGTACCTAGGTACAGTTGTAAATAACAAAGTGAGCGTTGGTAAGCTACTTGATTAATTTATAAGTACTTAAAAATGTATGTAAAATAGATACACTGCTTCTTTCTGCTTTTAACAGTTTGCACTCATCACTAATTATGTTCCCATTCATTTGACTTGGCTATAATCTGACAATTTTTGATGTATTTGCTTTTGCAGCGTCAGTGTGTGGAATATGCCTTGAAGGCACGTCCTCTTCGTAGATACATTCCAAAAAATCCTTACCAGTACAAGTTCTGGTATGTGGTGAATTCTACTGGATTTGAATACATCATGTTTGTCCTCATCATGCTGAACACACTTTGCCTGGCTATGCAGGTAGGAAAAGCAGAAGCTCTTTTGAAGCCACTGATATGAATTGGAAAGAAGGGTGTAGAAGATGCACTGCCTTTTGTTTATAGCAATTGTTTGTTAATTAGAAAAGAATCATAGTACTCTTCTGTGATGTGTGCTGATCTGTGCATCAGTTCTCTGAAGCTAAGTGGTTTGAAAGAGCTTGATATTTGTGGTGGTCTCCCTAACCCAATGGAACTCATTGATCTATACTTGGTACTTGTAACTTCATGAAATTCATAAAGGTTTATTACCAAGACAGTCCATGTGCAGGAAAATCTGAAAAGAATAGCCTATTTTTGTTAGCAAGCATTTCTCTAATCCTCTTAGATTCTTTTATCTAATATATTCCTGTACACAATGTCTTTAAGCAATGCTTCTCAACTTTATAATTCCTGTACTTATTCTGTCTTTGTTTCATATATGTACTACCCTATATTTCCACCACCTATGTCTGTATATTTTTAGAAGTTTTAAACTTATATGGAGCAAGTCCAAAATTGTATAATATTGCAAACATGTTTTCATGTATTTGCTATATATCTGTACATATATGGTGTATTTCTTTGTATTTTTGCACAGGCTTTTTTTTTTTGTCAGTATATGTTTACTTTTTCTTCTCTTCCTGCACTATTATATCCACTGCTTTTCGTTAGTTGATACACTTATCTACTTTTCCAAGTTGTTCTAATTTGTTTCTTTCTTTCCCTTGGTACTTTAGAGTTTGATAAGAAAAATAATCTTTCAAATCCAATTTATATACCCATCCTACTTACTTTTTGTTGTAGAGTTGCCTGGGTGCTGTATGCTTTTAAAAATATGATACAGTATATTTTGCTGTGACTAACATACTACAGGCTTTCTAAGCAGGTGTGACATGAGATTATGTTATTTAAAAACAACCTTCTAAGATTCCAAAAAAATTGCTTTTGTCTACTATTCCTTTTTTTGTGGGAGCAGTATTCTCCTCAAATCTTTCTCTAAAGGTCACCAGATGTAGAGGAATACCAGATTTGTTCCACTCATTGCCTGCGTGGAATAGATGAAATCCATTTTTGGAGAGATATTCAGCTATTCTCATATGATATAGTTGTGCGTCACAAACACTACAGGAAAATATTTTCTTCTGCTGCAGTGTTGCCAGCTTTTATTATGTTGCCTTACTTTCACTTAGTATTTTAAAACTTTTACGTTTAAATGTGTCATATTTTTCCTCCACAGCACTATGGACAGTCTAAGCTCTTTAATGATGCAATGGACATTATGAATATGGTTTTCACGGGAGTGTTCACTGTTGAAATGGTTTTGAAGCTGATTGCATTCAAACCCAAGGTAAGTTTTACACATGGTTTAATTAGGGCATCACCACAAGAATTAAGTGTAATGTAAGTTTCACACTAGCTTTGTAATTTTCAAGTAACAAAAAGAACCTATATGTTTCCCACAGTTATCAATCAGTTAAATCATAATAGAAATGTTAATCTAATAATACGTGCATACATAAATCTAGGAAATGAAATACAGATGTCAGAGCAAACATTACAAGGTGATTGATGACATCTGAAACATTCTGAGGTAACAAAGCTATTATTTTCTAAATTAGACAAATCATTTCAAGTAACAAGCATTACCACTTCTCCTAATTCCTGGTACCACATTCATAACCTTCAACAAAGTTGACCTCCATTAAAGATTTCTATGTTATATTTCTTTTTCAAAATGCAAAATTGTTCCTTCAGTTTTTAAAATATAGCCATGGACTACAAGCATAACAAAAATAATTTGAGTATTCAGTAGCCTTTTAAGGTTTTAATGTTTTCAGTTATGTATACACACCATTTGGTAGAGGGTCCTACAGGAGGCATCTGAGATTCCTTGCTTTAAAGGGACACTGTCAAAATGAATAATGTAGACATATTGTTGAAAGTAGATTCACAAGACATACTGATAACTGTTATTAATTTTTAAGAGAAGATGAAAATTGAATTGTGGTAGTTCATGCAGTCTTATTTGTTCTGTTCTCATACCCTATTTATGGCAGTGCAAAAGACAAACTAAACTAAATTTTGTTTTCAGTACAGTGAAATCAGTATTTTTGGGGGGCTTCTGCCTCTGCATGTAAGTGAAGTAGTATGATCACTCACTAGATGTGAAATTTGAAAACAAACACTTGAGGTTCCTGATCTCAGCATCTGAGGCTATATATATATTTTTTTCATCTTGCACTGCCCTTCTTTTAAAGTAATTAGAATATTTGAATCTGTAAATTGAATGCAGACTGTGCACTTCCTTTGATTTAAGTAGTGTACTGAATGACTCCAGTCTGTGAGGACAATCTTATCTGTGCTTATTTAGCTCTGACAGTTACAGCAACATAGCCATGGCAGCCGAGATTCTAGTGTGCAATAGATGCACACCTTTCCAGCACTTAGATTAGATAGACTCCTTTCCAGCACTTCAGGAGTGTTTATTCAGCATCATCTGGCCATGAGCTGTATGGTGTCACCCAAGTTACTTGATTTATGGTTAGCTTATCTTTGCCTGCATGGAAGTAAACAAATCATACATCACTTGAGGTCTGGTTGAGATATGGAGTGTGGAGTTCTGGGTGAGTTTACTCACTCTCTCATAGTCATTCTCTGCACTGTCTAGACTGTTACACATTTCTAGTGAATTTATATGTACTTTTTTGTCATCTGTGTTATTTAAACACCGAGGATATCACAGTAAAACTAACACTATCTGAAGCCCTAGAGGGATAGTTACGTGGTTCACAGAGCATGCTGATTGCATTTCCTGGTTTGTATTTCCTGTTGTATATCACTGTTTCACACTGGCATTTCAGAAGACTTCGCTGCGTTTTGTCATCTGCTCTTAGAACGAAGATTGTGAATCCTTCTGTGGTTCCTCGTGAACCTGCGCCTTTAGTCAGAAATAGCAGCTAATGCCAAATCGATTGGTCTGATCATGGGTGTATAAATCACAGTTCTTCATCTGTATTATGAACTTCCCACTCATTGAATGCGGTGTCTTAACAGTGGTCTCTAAAATTCGGTACAGTTTGGATTCTAACTGTTGCAATGTGCTTTCTGTCTGATTGGATGCTTTACTGTAACAGCTCCCTGGATCTGAAAACTGAGAGTTTGAAGGGAAGACATTTCCTGAATTTCATTCCCTCATAGAAGACCTTAAATTTGTTAATTACCAGGATGAGGTCAAAAATCCATGATATTAATCACTTTTCAGAGACTAATTAGCACAGAAGGAAGGAGATGACTTATTTTTAAGGTTGTTCCTGATATTTTTCTTTTAAGATTGTGACTTTTAAAATCAAATAATTTATACCTAAACACTGACTGGCAACATCTACCTCACAGTTCATTAATAACTTAAAATGAGTTAACAGTCTTAAAAAGAATCTAAACTTTAATCTAGATACATACTTTAAACAACAATGAATTGTTTTAACTAATGTTAAAATGTTTTAATGATCAGAACGATCTGAAACCAAGCCTATAATTTTCCTTTAGGATTTTTGGGAAAAAACTGGTTCACTTCCTCTGCGTTTACATCACCATTGGATTCCTTTGTCTACTCTGACAGAGTGGACAACATTATTTACTACTTTGATGCACTGTAGAAATAATTTCAAAGTTGCTCCATTACTCAGTGTGTAAATATAAGAAAGATGAGAACATGTTAGTTATTATCTAATCTGCTTGACAGTGTCCCCTTAATAACACTGACAAAAATCCTGTAAAAAGTGTAAGCTTTGCTTTTGCTGTTCATGCAAACTTAGTGCAATTATAAATAATTGATACTCCTACTGTGGTAATTGTGTTGTGTAAAACCGAGGTACTGCAGATTGCCTTCTGGCTCTGAAATATATGAAATTTGGATAAATAATAGATGGTAAAGGTGATGCTGAGTGTCTGGCACGCTTGCTGACTGGGAAATTGGAACACAGAGAACTTTACAGAAAGAGACCCTGAACTTCTTAAAAGAGTGCTGTAATGACTAAAATATTTATGTAGTTGCTCAACAGAAACCTGTTTTTTGTATTAATTCTCTATGCCTACGTATTCCCTAGAATTTGTCACTTATCCTTCAGCATTTCTCAATGAATACTTTTTCAAAGTGTAAGGTAAACGAGTAGGCATATTTTTCTTCATGTTGTTCTCCACAGATGCTAGAATCTGGTCAGTACATTGTGAAACAAAATATGTCAATGAAATCTAAAACAATGCATCAACACACACTGTATGTGTAGCTTCATTATAGCCAACCGTTACTTAAATTTGTAATGATTTTCATTTTACATCAGATTTTTGTAAGAAAAAAGGAAAGATGGCTAGTAAGTGAACTGATTTTGGGTTATTGCAGTGGTGAAAACAACTTATTTGCATGATGTTTATTTGCTGTGACTTGTCCATTCCTCCCTTTTCCAAAACCATCTTTATTTTCTCTTAGTTTTTTGTTCGTATGCTTTTGCTTTACATATTACTTTGAACAATATTTGTCTATACTGATGGAAAAGGTTTCATAAAATAAATGTTTAAAGTATTTTAGCTGTATTGAATAAAAAATGTGAATTTGTTATTTAAGTGCTTTATATTGTAGCGTGTCTAGTAAAGTCACTTTTTCAATAGTTGAAGGACCTTTTTTGGTTGCTGGTGTTGTAGAGGAAGATGGATAGCACACCTTGGGATTGCACTGATGATTGTTTGGCTGTTTACCAATAGTTTCTTACAGAAGTAATTACACGAATAACAAGCATGATATGTCTTTTAAATGAGATAAGTAAGGAATACAAATGAGCAGGAAAAATACCATGAGAGAACAGCTTCCATTCTTTCCTTCATTAGCTGGTCTCTCCTAATCTTTTCAGGATTATAAATCGGTATTGTTGAGGTGGTTGAACGTGAACTTTAACAGGACATTAGGAATGATTTTGGTGGACTGAAGTGGCGAAGGAGGAGTGGTAGGGAGTTGTAGAGGAACTCTCCAAAGTGGATGTGTTTATTCAGAAGGCATAATCCATGAAGATGGTTTTTTTTGCCTCGAGACTGGAATTTATTATTGAAGCCAGAGAGGGAAGGCATGTGGTGCAAAGGGTTGCAGTGATATTCCTCTTACTTTCCTTAAATAAGGGAATAATTATAGCAATTCTCTTTATGAAGAGCTAAAATTTCAAATAGAGTAGTATTAACAAGTACAGTAGTAGAGAGTAGCATTAGGAACATAAGATTAGTGCTTGCTCTCATCAAATACTCTGTAGAGCTGTCTTACTCTGCAGCAGCTCTTTTATAGTCTCCAAGAGCAGATCTTCACATTAGATTTTTTGAATAATTATGCAGTCAGGTGTAACTTTTAATCTTAATACTTGCTAGAAATTCTGACAGTTTAAAATGTTGAAAAGATTAAAAATCCACCTAACTTTGTTTTTCTGTGCTAAAGCCATGTAACAACTAACTACTCAACTAAAACATTATTTTATAGCAAGTAATGCAGTAAAAAATGAAACTAGACATCAGGTAAGGTCACCATACTTATTTTCAACCTCTTTCTAAATCAATTATGTAGCACTGCAATGGCAATTAAGTTACTATTTTTAAATGAATTGTCTGGAAAGCAGAATGCACATGTACCATGTGTACATTGCAGCCTTTGCAATATCAAGCCTTAGCCATTGTGGGCTTATAAATCACTATCAGAATGAGAAGAAAAGATGGTTTTGGTAACATTTGCAATTTGGAATTTCTGTTATAATTATGGAAAACTCATCTGAAACCTACATGTCTTGTATCCATAGTATTACTTTCAACACTGTAATGCATCTCGTTCCCAGTGACAGATTAATCCTGAAACCCAGCTCAAGGTTTCTTCTTAAATATCTTTTTGCTCAAACATGGAGTTTTGATTCCAGTAAATTGGAGTTCATATTGGTTGATAGTGTTTTGCAGCAGTGAGCTACTAACATATACATAGAAGAATATATTTCAAGGCATAAGATGTCAGAAGAGTGATTAAGTGATTAATGACAGTTAATTTGTAACAACCTGTCCAACTTGTTAGGGTTCCTCTATAAAAGCTTATTTATGAATAGAAAATTTAGTTATGCAGTGTGCATGCACAGTTTTACTTGAAGGATGATTATGCATTAATAACCAGGGATGACACTTAAAATATTTTCTACTAGTTGCTTAGATAGGGCTATCACAAAGTCGTTATTGCTAGGGAGTTCTCAATGGGCCTGGTCCTGTAGAATTCTTATTGAAGGTGTACTGTCATGTATTTTAGTTTATATATATTAGGCTTCTTCAGCCTTGCTGTTGAATCCCAAATGAGATTTGGTTGATGGCTTGCTTGCCAAAGTTGTGCTTATACGATGGTGTGTTATGCATGTGTAGCGCGTGTGTGTGTCTGTACATGTATATATATTAAAAATGTGTTTGTGTATATATATATATACACACCCACACACGTGCACATGTGTTGCTTTTCCTTCAGTAGGCAATATTGTTTGTTTTGTTTTGTTTTCTCATTAGACCACGGGTTTTGTTTAACTGATTTCTGTTTATGCAAAACTAAACAGAAGTATGCAAATATTTGACATTTCATGTGTAATCACAAACGTTTGCACCCTGCCTGCTCTGTTCAGGGCTATTTTAGTGATGCCTGGAATACGTTTGACTCCCTCATCGTTATTGGCAGCATAGTAGACGTCGTTCTCAGTGAAGCTGATGTGAGTATACCCCAGCTTACTTTTCCCGGTCCCTACTTCTCTTTCTCTGTCTCCCCACTATTTCCATCATCTGGACAAGTCACAGATTTTGATCTGATGTTTCTAAAGTTTGAATACAGACCAGTTATAGGTCAATTATGTTGATATGGGAAATAAATAGCCTTTTTTTTCTACCAATTTTTTTTAGCTAAGAAAAGGGAAAGATTGTATAGTGGTACATCAGAGAAGCCTAGAGTGTTTCTGTGTTATAACACTGTCCTTTTCTTCTCTTTTTCTGTTTGTGTTTTTCTCTTGCTCTCTTTCTGCTGAATGCTTGTCCTAACAGCACTATTTCACTGATGCATGGAACACTTTTGATGCCTTAATTGTTGTTGGTAGCGTCGTTGATATTGCTATAACAGAAGTTAATGTAAGTAGCAACTGTTCATGCACTAAAAAGTAATTGCTGTCCTCAAGAAATACAGGAAATGTGACTTTTATACCCCCAAATCCTTTTTCACAAAAATATGTTTTATCCTGGAATTGAAGACCAAAATATTGACAAACATGTTTATACAAGCTGTTATTGTAGAACTATAAGGCTGTACAACTGAACATGTACGCAGTATAATGAGGCGTAGAGTGATGTTTTCCCATATATGTTCAGAAAATATTTTAAAACATTTTATTTATAGAAAAGCAATTAAGCCTTTACTACTATTTCATTTGAAGCCAGTAGTTTTCTTGTGTAGTTTGACTGAGATAATTCAAGCATCTATACGTTGCTTTAATGTCCCAGTTTGACAAGTAACCGTTTATTCCATGTGAGGTTTGGCCTTGTAAAGTGATTTTATCATTTGTATCTTAAGAGGTAGTGGGAAAAAAGTAGGTAAAGACTTCCAAGAGATGGAAAATAAAGGGTTTTTGATTTATTTTTTTTTTTTTTTTTTCCCAATACTACAGCAAATGCTTTGAAATCCAAATTACTTCTAAGAGAATTTGAAAACTCTCTTTTTTTAACAGAGTTTTGATTAAAGGCCATTGTAAGTATAGGTATTTTAACAGAAATATAGGGAAATGTTGATTTTTGCCTACTTTCTGTATGAGTTGCTGATTTTAACAAGGAAAGCTGTAAAAAAGAAAAAAGATATTTGAAACATAAAAAAAAACAAAAACCACTAAGCTGTTCTGGAGCAGTGGTCTCCATATTTACATGTTTCTGTAGTTGAGTTTTCAGAGGAAAGTGCCTCTGCTTTCTAGCACTTGTTATGAACTCACATAGGGAGACCATAGATGGTGAGACTTGGATCCAACTCAGCAGCTGAAAATACTTACTGAGCACACACTCATCAGGTGCAGTTAATGTAGTCCATGTGCTGCAGATCCTCTCTGCTCCTCATTCTCAGAATGAAATTATCCTCAAATGCCCATGAGGGTGCAGCATTCACTTATTCCTGTGTGTCAAAGAATAGATGGATCAGAGAAAGCCATAAATTTAAATAGTTTCTTGATATTAATTGAAGATTGCATATTTCTCTACATCAGCCTCAGTTTATGAGCTGGCTCCTAAGTTTCCTTTTCTCTTAACATAGGTTTAGTAACCTACATGCTAGAGATTTTTTTATTTTTCAGTGGGGACATTAAATTAAGTAAGAAGTATGTAAAATCTTTCAAAAAACTTTGAAGTTTCTATTAATGCTCTTAAGTGAATATCTCTAATAACTTGCACATAATATGATTTCCCATATAACATAATTAGCAATATCTCTATCTAATATTGTAGAGAAGAAGGGCAAAAAAATTTTGATATACTCACAGCCTCAGTGGGGGCCATTGTCCAGTAGGTATTAACCCCTATGTATTGAGTATTCTGAACAAATTTTTTAAAATACTCTAACATTAATCAACAGCATTATACAACTATAAAACACAAGTTTTAATTTAGCTGATAAGTATTCAAAGAGGAAATATGTGCCATGTGTATTTTTTTCTTGTATCTGTGGACTGAAGGAACCTGTGCTGTCAGTGAGAGTCCAATAGCACAGAATGGTGTTGTCCCAGAGACATTTCTAAGTAGAATTGCAGCTCATGGCTCAGATTTTTAAAAGCTGACTTGGATTTATTTTTTCCAGAAACATTTGAATTTAGACTTTGAGCTGAAGTAATTGCATATGGCCTGCTATCTCAATTCATAGTACTACTGACATAAGTATAATATGTGGGACATAAAAATGCTATTAATTTAAAGTAGCTTTCTCTAACGTCTGCAAAATGTACTTAACTGTGCAGCCACTGAAAAATAGTTTGTGTGTACTTTTGCAATTAGAGGTGATGCCCCTGTGTTTAGCCCTGTGTTTGGCACTGCATGGACAGTGTTAATTTGGCAGCATTGCTTATAACTAATCACTGCTGAGCTCTCAGTGGAGATCACGTATTGATCTTCAGCTACAGCACACACCACAGCAAGAACTGGCACTGCATTTCTTAGTTTTTCATGCTATGCTTAGTAAAGAAAAGGCTCATCTTTCATGTCTCCCAGTACTGCTCAGCAGGCTGTTTGTGTACTAAGTGTTGTCTGTTTCTGGTCTTTCACTTTTTTATGCTTTGTTTGTGCAACTGATGAATGTATTTCAATTTCGATATATTTCTGGGCTTGATTTCCCATTTTCAACATGAGTGCAGTGGACATTTTGAAAGTTTTTATGACTTTATTGTTTTTATTCTATTCATTTTTTCCTACTTCATTAGTTTTGGGTAAATCTGTATAATCCAAATTCAGTATTTTAGAATGATTTTCTTAATATTTTCTTCGGAAATGAACCATTCCACCCACTAACAGTGATCCTGGGAAATCCACAGCTCTGCTAGGATGTGCACAGGACTTTGTTTTCAATGATAATGCAAGTACTGATGGAATGGCACCTATGACTATTCCAAGTATAGACAATACTTTGAGGGAGCTCAGCCTTGTTTGAGTGAGTGGTCTGCTCGTGCTGACTGCTAGCACTGATGTGAAAACAGATTGCACTGCAGTTGCAATTGGATGAGTGCAACCCTCTTAGTTGATCAGTGTAAATGAGGAGTTGAAAGTACCTAAAATATAGAAAGACTCAAGATGGATTAAATATTCTTTTAGGGATGAATATATCATTTTGTCATGTGGTGGAATCAAATTGACCTTGTTCCAATATTTTGGCTGTGTACATTTAGACTAATTCCAAAGGCCAGCAATTTTTAATATGTTTATATCTAACCTGAGGTTTTCAAGTCAGTGGGTAGAACTTCTGTATATTACCTTGATTTTGGTATTCAATTTTGGAAATTAAATGTCTCCGCCTTGTTTTGTTGTTCCTATTTTTTATTTTTTTTTTAAGTATATGATGCCTTGAGGCTGATTCTTCTGATCCAGTCCCATTCAAACACTAACCAGGAAATTACTGAGCTTTGAATATTCTCAGTGCCCATGAAAATCAGTGTATTTAACATGTTCAGCAATTTACAGGATTACTCAGCATCCTCAAGGTCTGGATCAGTGACCAGTTCCAAAAAGGAACCACCTCAGAGCAACATATATTTTGGCTACATTTATTTTCTATGATTTTTCTTTTGACTCTGTCATTTAATATCTCTTTGTTTAAACAGTTCTTTTTTGACCCTAATTGGTTTTCATGTTCATTTTATTTTTAGAAATTTTTAGAGGCAAGTATATTTAAGTAAACGTGTATATACGGCATAGCAATACAAAATTTAAAAACACTACTAAAACCTATGTAATTACTTTGGCTTTTTTGTAATCTGTTGTTTTTAAAAGTTTCACGTGACACACGTAATCTTGTGTGGTCATAAAAATGGTTCCCTTCAAATTAGAAACAAAAAAGAAAAAGTGGTGGTTGTGACACACAGTAAGTGGCCAGCCCTCTCTTGGAGTTGAAGATACTCAAGAACATGAGAGAGAAATGGAAATAAATTTGGAATTAATTATGAAGTTCTTTACTGAAATTCAGTCGTGTTTCAACCAGACCAGATTGTGACAAAATTATCTGCAGCTCATATTTGGTAGTTCAGAAACCATTTGGATGACCAGTACTGGATGACTTAGAGGCATGATCACATTGAAATAAAGTAGTAAATACAGAGGTTTTAATTCACATTTTTAAAATTTTCTTTTCCTTTACCATTCATGTGCTGCCAAAATGTCATGAAAGGAGCGGGGAGTTCACTTTACCATTCATCTGTGCAACCAATTGGGGAATAATATTATGCATGAATAAAATTCAGGTTCTTTGCTCAACGTGAGAGCACTGCTATCTTCTTCCTGATCCCCTCAGGAAAATCTATTCGTTTTGAGCTCAGCCTTGTAAACATGTGAGACTCATTCAGTGCTTACTCTACAGTTAACAACTAACAGTGGTTAATAGCAATATGATCAAAAAGTCTGTCACAGAACTTGAATCGGATATTTTGTCATTTGGCAGGAAGGAACCAACCTGTTATCATCATTTTAGCACTGTGCAGTGCATAGCACTGGCTTGCAGATGGTGGGTCACTTTGTTAGGCTGCTAGTAGAGCTGAGATGGCTGGTGCTTACTCCTTCATAATTTATATCCACTTCCCTAAGATGTTCTGGAATCCAAGTTTGAACAAAAGCACTGCAGCTCAGTTTGAATCCCACTTTATCCATCAGTATCATACTTCAGATCTTGTGCTTTGCTGTTAATTAATAATAAGTAATTTATATTTGTTTAATACAGTGGAAATATTTTTTAGGTTTTTGTAAACAAATCTCTTTAAACCTAAGGGGTTTGCTTTAATTAGCATCAAGTGATGTGTAACCTACTCTGTGTTGCAGTATTTAATTTGGAAGTAGAAGTAAATTTCAAAGTTGCTTCCATAAAGATGTATTAATACTGATAATTTAAATACTGTGCCATGGGATATTTATTAGACAGCCATGAGAATAATATCCTCTGTCAGCAGTGGATGTTAGTTATGAATTTAATATCTTTAACAAAGGATGACGCATACTTTTTAATCTACTTTGAGTCACGTTGATTCCAAATTTTTACTAACTGATGTGTATGAGCATTTGATTCAACAGGGAATTTACCAAGCACTAAGGCTGTGAAGAAAATTACTTAATAGCAAATTTGATTCCTAGTAATGACTGTTTGAATGGATCCTGTTTATACACATGTGCACACATATTTTACATGTCTCTAAAGATATTTTGGCAACCTGAATGCTTTCCTGTGTATGTTGATGTCAACACACATATTTGTCATTTGGATGTTTCCTGCAGTAGTTGCAATCATGATTGCATCATCAATATGTGTAAAATTGTTTAGCATACTCTAGTACACTTTTGCACAATAAGGAACAAGAGGCATTTGATCAAAATTGTGTACTAATGTTCACTGTTTTGCACCTTGTTTATTTTTTTTTTCTTAAACACAGAACTACGGTTTGCTTCCAATGCATGACACAATCAGTTTCACATCAGTCACAGATTTTACACTGAGGCTTTTCCAAGGCTAGGATGGTTATATGGAAATATAGTTGCAATATGAAGAGTAGAAAGATGAGTTACTTTTTAGGAAATGTGCCAGATTTTTAATAAGCAGCAGTAAATGTGAGGTTAGCAGGCTGCAAACATTTTCATCTTTTGGTTTATCACTGGTTAGTCTTTTTTGAGGGTGAGCATTGTCTGGAGAAGAAAAATGCTGTATCTTCATATATCTTCAACTAAGATATATGTGTGTGTATATATGTGCATACACATGACTGATTAATGGCCTATTTGAAGAATTTAAGAATCGACGTAAAAGCACATAAAGATGAGGTGCTTTGCTGAAGCAGTCTCGGTGCAGTTGGCACATGGCTGACAGCATAGACAATAATTATGCTAGTCTCTGTTCTCTCTGTTCAGTTCTAATACTTCTACATAAAAATAATGTGCCACCTACTTGTGTGTGTACGTGTCAAGTAATATTACTGAAATTGTGAATAGGATTGTGTGTTTAGGTTTGTCTTTTCCTCATCTGTAGGAAGCAGACAGTCTTTGTTGTCAATGTGTCTATTACTGCAAATTGTGTTAATTTTAGTTTCCAAGATCTTAGTGTAATTGATGCCAAATACACACACCCAAATGTTAACTCTCAGATGAACATTTCCTTTATAAATAAATACAAATACTGCTTTCTTTCTGCTCTATCACTTTATTAAATCAGTTGAACTTTTTATTGTGAGCCAAGCTGCTGTAATATCAGAGGGAAATCCCAGAGGGGATAAGAAATCAGATGCACTCACTTTAAAATATCAATACCTAGGACGCTTGGCCAATAATGGGCAGAAGTTGAATGTTCTCATCTCCAGTAGAAGAAACTCCTCAGGGACCAGGAGTATGTTTTTATTCTTGGTTTCCTACATCTATCCCCGTTCCAGCATTTTTGCACAATTTACCTTTTGTTGAAAAAGGTTTTTCCTGGCCTGCTCTTGCCACTTGTGTATGACAGCTGAGCAGTGGCCAACAGCAGCGGGTCAGCCATTGCTTCAGGCTGTCAGGAATGCATAGGCCAAAGAAGCAGAGGAATAGGAATAGGAATGTACACAGATATATTCAATTTCCTTCTGTCAACAAGATAAATAAAGGACTGTTAAATTTGTTGTTCCTGAGTACCTTTGGTAACGCAGTTTTCATACAGTTTTGGTAATGTGATCTTTGTCTGCATTTTAAAAACTGGTTATTAAGTACATATTAAATGAGTAATACACAGAAAAAGGTTGTTTTTTTTTTAACAGATTCTTTCTTTTGTGAATTTATTTCAAAACAAAATCAAGAGATCTTAACAATGATTTTCAGGTTGTTTTTTTTTTTTTTTTTTTTAAAGAAACTACATAAATTCTGTAGGATTAATGTCTTCTTATCATGTTGTTGTATATCTCATTATGCATGGCAATACTTCTCCTAATTTATTTGGAGCCCAATTCTTCTCCTATAAAAGCTGGTTGGAAATGCACCCAAATGCAAAATCCAGCATTTTGTTTCATTATTTTAGTGCAAGCTTCTGAAGGTACAATAATTTGATCCGCTTTTTTTTTTCTGTGAAACACTTTATTTAATTTTTGATAACACAAAATAATGCATGTAAATTAATTTGATTGCCAATAAAGGCTGTATACCTCAGCACGAGTCAGCCACCAGCGGTTAAGATGAAATGTCAGGTCTCAGATGCATGAAATGTCAGGTGCAGAAGTTATAATGAAACCCTTTTTCTTTAAAAGTTTCAGATGAAGAAATTATTTCTGCACCAGAAGTCAGTAGCAATGTGTACCCCAGTACAGGCTTGTGATTGCTATAGGTAGACAGCTTTGTGAGATTGTTTAAGCATTCTGTGATATTTTGGCATTTGTGATGTTTGTGATTATTACTCATGAATTTCAATTTTGATGATTTTATTTAAAATTGCTGAAATATGCAGGGAATTTCTAATGCAGCAACTCTTTCATTGTTAGCGTTTTGTCGCTGCTTATAGAAAGGTTTACAAAGCTTAGAGGTGATCACTGATTTTACAAATTCTCTCCTTACTGAAGTGTAACAATGAGATTTGGGCTTTCGTTAACATTCATGCATTGTTTTAGTGTTGATCCCTAAAACAGTTTTAAAACTGTTTCAGAAAATACTGAAATTCTGGCAGAATGATAATGTTTTAATATGTATTGCCTTTAGTTGAACAAATGGGTATTTTTTCACTCATTAGTGCCTTTTGAAGTCTTTATCGTATGCTTGGCCAAAAAAAAAAAAAAAAAAAAAAAATATAGATACAGCAATTAGTCTTTTAATATGTACCACTAATGATTTGGCTTCAGTAAAGTACTACCAATTCTTAGGGCTTTTTTTTTAAACTATCACAGAATGACTTGGGTTGGAAGGAACCATGAACCCATCCAGATCCAACGTCCCTGCTGCTCAGGGCTGGATCAGGCTGCTCAGGGCCCCACCCAGAGTGGCCTTGAATGCCTTCAGGGATGGGGCATCTGCAGTTTCTCTGGGCAAAGAGGCATACACTTGTGTGTATACTGCCTGTATTTTCAGAAGAATCATCTCCTTTCTGTTTCCTTTCTCCCTCTGGATCTCACTCCAGCTAATAGCAAGGCTTGAGATTTAACTCAGTGGCATTGAGAGTGTTCTCGATGTATGTGCAGTGTGTTGGAAGCAGCACTGAGAAGGCATCGTGGTTACTGCCACTACATGTAACCTCAGTTGTTGAAAAATGTCACTTTGAAAAGATGTACTTTTGGGGCAAGAGAGAAAGTCCCATCACTTGGATCTAACCTCCAGGAATCCATTCATTCTAGTGCTGTGAAGTTTTGAAGACTTTTCCATTCGGTCTGAAAGAAGCTGCAATGAGTGTCAGTGCACAAACAAGCATAGACACTTGGCCCACGAAGCTTTTCTAGCTGCTTTACTTCAGTGTCTGGCCATGTAGGGTACTGGGGCAGTTTCTCCAAAGACTGTCAGAAACATTATAAAAAGAGAAGTTTTGGCTCTGATCAAGAAGTTGACGTGTCTCTCTCCTGTCTGTAACTCATTAATTGGTGAACTTTGCTTTGAAGAAACTCCTGATTTGATATAAAACCCAATTCATTGAATATGGTTAGATTCCAGCGATGGAATAATTAACTTTCAAAAAAAGCGCAGCAGAGAACTTGAAAAGCTGATTTGACCCCAAAGCTTTGGTTTTGAGTTGTATTTAAGGCTTACTGCTACATTTTTACACAACCTGCGGAAACTGAGTGCTAATTTGTTTGGCTTACATGGGGACAGTTTTTAATTTTGTATTCAGTTCATATTGACTCTCTTAAACATGTCTTAAAGTAGCAGATTTAGCATGAGCCAGTCAATGTAAAATGCTAAATTGAAGGTTTTACTGAAGGCATTATTGTTCTGTTATGGCAGAATATAGAGTTGAAAGATGTTCATTTACATTTAGAAATGAAAAATGTCCTTCTGTTTATGGTGAAGCTGCTTTTTTGATCTCTTACTTGATTTTAATATTTAATGTTCTTAATTTTTTAAAGCCAAAGCCAACTGAAACAGTCACAACTGATGAGTCTGGGGTAAGATTAGTAAAGTGACCCCAGTGGTTTTACCTCTACTTGAGTTTATTCTTTTTACCATGTCTCTATTTTCCACCAATTTTTTCTGTATTTTTCATGACTGTCCTATTACAAAGGTGTATGCAGTGGTTTACATTCATTGTCAGTGTATTATTGAAGTCTACTACAATCAAACCCAATATGATCCCTATTAACAAACCAGAAAACTTGGAAATGCATGTGATGTGTGAAGCATTTCTACAGGTCCTGTGTTTTTAGCATGTAACTTCATGTAACTTTTCCTTTCATATCATTCTTATCAAGGTGAAAAGGCCCTCAAGATACATTTTCCAATCTTACCTCTTCCACCTCTGCATTTGATGTTGTTTTTCTGAAAGTGTTGCATGTCTGTGTTTGTATTTGGTTTGACTTCTTCATGATGCTCTTCAGAACTCCGAAGACAGCGCGAGAATCTCCATCACTTTTTTCCGTCTTTTCCGAGTGATGAGGTTGGTGAAGCTGCTTAGCAGAGGAGAAGGAATCAGAACTTTATTGTGGACATTTATTAAGTCATTTCAGGTTAGCAAAATTTATTTACATTTGCTTTATAACCATTTTGTATACCAGTTTTTATGATGCGATACATTGAGGAGTGCAAATAACATTTCTTTTGAAATTCGTTCTGTCCATGACTGCACAAAGAAATATGTTTACATATTAATGCTACCAGAAACTTCACCTTCTGCTTCCTTCTGTGAGTCCAAGGATCATTCACTGTCATAAAGGTTTGCTGCCACAGTGAGATTTCTATAGTATTTCATAGAAAGCATTAGATATGCCTTAAAAAGGAATTTTTTTGTGAAATTAAAAGATTATTTGATTTGATGCACACTGATCTTATACTTTCACACATTTTATTAGGTGACTAAAAAAGAGGAATTTAATCTTTTCTTAGAAAGAACTGATTTCATACATAGATATTTGAAACCTTGCCCCTGAAAACTGTGATGAACATGAAGTTAATGTAATTCAATGGGATGCTGGCAGAATCAGTAATGTAAATAAAATTTAAAACTGCTGAAGTTGGGTTTTTCTCCTGGATTACTGACAGAAGGAATTTAAAATACAACAAAGCTCATATTCATTGCATATGACAGATTATTAAGAGATGGTAACATTTCAAGCATGCACCTAGGAAGAAGAATGTTGGAAGAGCCTGTGGTGTACAGAGAAATTATTTTTGTGAATTGAAATGGAAATTATGGTGTGATATTATTAAAATACAATTCACCTGTCCCTTTTCTAGGCTCTGCCTTATGTTGCTCTTCTGATAGCTATGCTGTTCTTCATCTATGCTGTCATTGGAATGCAGGTAATTTTAGGTGTTTTTAGCACTCAACAAAAGCACAGTGCTGGCTACCCCGAGGCCTATTTACCAGGGTGCTTTCTGAAATGTTCTCTTGACAGTGGTGCTATTTATTTGACAGAGCTTTTAAATTAATGTAGACATCTTTTGTTGACTGTGATTTCGACAGTCCAAAAAAGATAGAAGAGCTGGGTGTGTGCTTATAGTATCTTGCTTTGCTGAGAGGTGACCTTCCTCTTTCATTTACTGTGTAGCTTATTGCTATGCATAAATGCATGAAAAAAATACATGGCTTTTTAATGTAGATTTGCTTTTGGAGTAAGGCATTACAATAAAAAAGATTTTCTTTTGATCCCAAAGTGGTAAGGTTCCCAAACCAAGGGACCTGCATGTATGCAGAGCACAGCAACATTAATCTCTCCTAATTAAATAACGACTTCCACTGTACTGCAAGAGGATTTCAATTAATTATTTTGGAGAGAAAGAGTGCTTTTTTTGACCAAGGAATTACAGTTTAATTTTGGAGAACATTTTCACCTCTGGCTGGGACAAGGTGCTCAGACTCCATTCTTTGACTTCCATCTTTACATCTGTCTACCTAGATTGGAGATTTTCAGGACAGCAATCATTGCTTACAACAAGTTTGCACAGTACCTATTGTAATGGGGTTTCAATCCCATCAAAGGACTATAGGTGCCAAATCAAAGCAAATACATAGTCATCTACAATACAAGAGGAAATATGGATGTGATAATGATATAATGATGCCAAATTAAAATTAAGAATTATCTTTTATGGATGGATTATTTACTAAGTCTACATTATCAGGAAAGATATAAGGACATTAGAGAAAGTACATGTGTGTTTTACGTATGTACTGAAGCTGGTCTAGACTATAGGGACCACAGTTTCTGAGAGTATGGGCCATTAAGATGAAAGTAAAATCTTGTTTTTCTGTAGGTGTTTGGAAAAGTGGCCATGAGAGACAACAATCAAATAAACAGAAACAACAATTTTCAAACTTTCCCCCAAGCTGTGCTGCTTCTCTTCAGGTGAGTAAACCTGAACTCTGACTTGGTGCATCACATTTTGGTGGTCCAGGAAAAATGTCCATAGAACTTGTTCTGTGGATTTGCTCTAAATGTGTTTCTAAGTTAGAAACAATTCCGTCAGCACATATTGTATGCAACTGTATGCTGAGCATCCACTGGATTCTAATCAGGTGCTATAGGCCTGAAGTCATTACAGCTCTTGTGAAACAGCTCATTCATGGAGGAGTTGTCTTCCAGTGGAGCCTGAATAAAGTCAGTCCTGATGGCACTTGTGCAGGTGTTGGGAAAAGAAAAAATGACTTTGCTCTTGTTTTATTCTTAGGAAGGCCAATCAAGCTAGACAGTTTGAAAAGAAAAAATGAAAGGCTGTTGCAAAGATGAAAAAAATAAACTGTTCTTTGCATTTTATGGAGAGATGGTGAGTGGTGGGTGTAATTTGCAGAAGGAGGCATCAGATAAGCAGTAGGTGAAAAGTTCTGATGGTACAGGTAGCTAAATTCTTGATATAGGTGATCCTGGGGAATTATGGAATCTCCATCACTAGAGAGGTTAAGAGCAGAATAAACCTGTGTTGGGAGTTCTGAAAATGCCCTGGAGCAAGTGGAGGAAATGATGTGGATCATAGAATCATAGAATCATAGAATCACCAAGGTTGGAAAAGACCTAAAAGATCACCCAGTCCAACCATTCACCTATTCCCAATAGCTCCTACTAAACCATGTCCCTCAACACAACATCCAGACTTTCCTTGAACACCCCCAGGGTCGGTGATTCCACCACCTCCCTGGGCAGTCCATTCCAGTGCCTGACCACCCTTTCTGAAAAGTAATACTTCCTCATGTCCAGCCTGAATCTCCCCTGCCGTAGCTTGAAAAGGTCCTTGATCAGGTATGCCTCTAGAGGTGTTGATCTTGATCTTGTGACTCTGGTGCCTGTGAGTCTGTATCTCTACTTGGCTCCTGCATTTTCTACCCTGTTCTAAAAAGAAGGTTCTCTTTTACAGCAGACAAGTTTGACAAGAAGATCAAGAGATAACAGACATAAATCAGAGCTAACAGAGATATGAAAGCCATGTCCTAATAAGTAGATATATCAGCATGTCATAACGTGGAGCACAGAAGTAGTACAGCTAATAGTGCTAAGCAGGACTGATTGTACTGGAGATAGACCAGTGGACAGAGTTCTGTGATCCGTTTGTTTGGATCATTCTGAATTTATAAGGTGGATGCTGGAGAACAGGGAAAAGGAGAAAGAGGGCACCTGCATTCCACCACACAGCTCTGTCACTGCTTGGTTTCATTCAGGCCTTCTGCTTTGCACGTTACCTGACTCGACCGAAATGATGTGACATTTCTTCCATACTCACTGTAGGTCTCAGACAAAACTGAATTAGCGTGTGGGATAAGAGGAAGGAGTTCTCCATATGCATATCACAATGAAGATCAATGCTTTATAGACAGATTTATACTTTTGTGCACAACAGCTGCCCTGCGATAGCTATTTAACTTGTAAATCACGGCTTGGGGTGCAAAATTGTCACATGCAAGCCTTTCTGGTGCATGAGTGTGCTCTGTTAGGTCTAAGCTTCTCATTTTTGAAATCTATCCTATAATTTTTAATTAGTTCCTACTCTGAGGTATTTATGATCTGTTTTCACATTTCTACATGTACATCTCCAGGCATTTTGTTGGAACTTAACAAATTAATACATCTTTAGTTCATGTGATCAATTAATACTTCAATTCTCTTTGTGATTTTATAAAGGTGTGCAACTGGAGAAGCTTGGCAGGAAATCATGCTGGCATGTTTGCCTGGAAAACGCTGTGATCCCGAATCTGATTATAATCCAGGGGAAGAATACACATGTGGAAGCAATTTTGCCATCATTTACTTTATCAGTTTTTATATGCTTTGTGCATTTTTGGTGAGTTCAGCTGGTGATTATTATCAGAAATAAGTTTTGACTTCTTGAATTTCTTCTGAAGTAAAACAGCAGTGAAGTCAGAGAACGATGTAGAATCCCATATCTAAAATATTTTTGCAAGGATTTATTTTTCATACATGCCCCTAGATCCTGTATCCTATGCTGCACACCAGCAAATTCTCATGTACAAAATATCCTTGTGACCTCAGGCCTCCCTGTAAGCCAGAAGTGGTTGCTTGCACATTTGAAAGCTAAGGTGATCATCTTTTCACCAGCTATTATGTCATGTCTGTTTTCGGTAATGCCATTAAGTGTCATTAGTAATGAAACTGCAGTTCATTTGACTTAGTAATGCTATATCAGTATTATTTAAACTTCACAGAATTTGTATGTGTCTCTGCAGGTGTGTTCCAACTGTGGCACAAGATTTAAACTATAAACTTTCTTCCTAATCCATGGCATAATTAATTATTTGTTCTACAGTAGTCTCTGAAATACGTTTTTCCCCATTGCAGGTGCCTTGGCTGGTTGATTTGTTATGTTCACAGTTCTGTTCTCCTGGCGAAAGGAGATTGATTGAACAGACTCCTGAACCACTGTAAACATAACTGTTCAGTGTCATCTCTTATGTTAATGAAACATATGCAGAAATCTCACTGGCGTGTCACTGAATCGTATGAATACAAATATGCAATGTGTCACTCAAATGTTGTATTCTTTGGTCTGGCCAGTCAAGGAAGAGAAACAAAAGCATTAAGCAGCCTATGTCAAAGATTGAGTACTGCACAGCAGAATCATACTCTTCTCATCTGGTTGCATGATAGAGTTCCAATTGGGCAGTTAAATTTTCAGCAAGTATTTTCTGTGATATTTAGTGGTATTTGCCAAAAATCATTATTTGTAAGATAAATTTATTTAACTGCTTGAATTCTGCACCTCCTACCTTTCACAATTATTTATTGAAAATATTTGCGCTTCAAAAAATTAAATGTAGACATGTGTTCTTAATTGCTTTTTAGATAATAAACTTATTTGTGGCTGTCATTATGGATAACTTTGACTATTTGACACGTGACTGGTCCATTCTGGGTCCTCATCATTTGGATGAGTTCAAAAGGATATGGTCAGAATATGATCCTGAAGCAAAGTAAGTTAAACCATTTATCTGGTAGAACTTATCTGTTAAAAATAAGAATGCTCTGCTTGAAAGCAGAGCACAGTATATACTTTGAGAACGTATGTATATTTGGTAATTGATGTGTGTTGGTTCTAGGGGAAGGATAAAGCATCTTGATGTGGTTACGTTACTGAGACGCATTCAGCCACCACTTGGTTTTGGCAAATTATGCCCTCACCGAGTGGCCTGCAAGGTAGGTTCTGCTTTTTTCTTTGTAGGTTTCTTTCACTGTTTAAACATCCATTTGTTCAACTCTACCAAACACTTGTGTCTGTACAGTAATTCTGTTTATTCACAAGATCTCCACTCTAGTTTTCCCAGTTTTCTGCAGGCTTGACTTAAACCAGCGATACCAGTGTCATTTCTGTCATTGTAATCATTTGAATTTATTGCCAACATAAAATTCTTGACAGAGCACCAAAATAAAAGGAGTTGGTCTGTATGTTTGTCATTAGTCTGATATTGTGATATATAGTCTGATTATTGTGACATATATGAACTAATTCAACCCAACATTGATGGTGACCCAGTAACGTTTCTGGTTTCTTTTAGATCCGAGGGAGAAAGTGGTACTTTACTTTAGTTCACAATTTAGTTTTCATAAAGTATTTGTCCAGGTGCATTCATGGAACATTTGGCTTCTCATGAAACATAGAATTGACATTGAAGGGAAGAGAAGGCATGATGATAAGCCTTGCAGAAATGAATAATATCCAAATAATATGCAGAAATGAGTGAGAAAACTGAAAATTAACAGAAATTTAAAATAAAGTAAAATTTGTTAGGCACAATGTGTAATTTGTATTACAATTGCATTTTAATATAGAAGTTGAAAAGCTACTCGAAGTTGCTTTATTATATTATTTAAGGAATTCAAAACTACGGGTGTTCTAGTTTTAGCAGTTTCAGTAGGAATCAGATTGCACCTTAAAGGATCCTCACAACAGCACTGTGCTTTGAATTTACTGTATTTGTATTATTGTATTATTGTATTATGAATAGCCAAGCTGGTATATGAAACACTAGGGTCAAAAGAAGTGCCAAAACCCATGAAAACTATTGGGTGTTCTAGCTTTGGCAGAAGCATCCAAGTCCCTAGTATCAGAAATAGGTGATAGCGGTGTTTATCACAGACATCTGGGATAGAAGGCTCAGTGTTTTTTGAAGAGTTCCATAATGTTGTATCTCTCAGTAGTGTTATTTGATTCTGTTTTGATTCACTTTTCAGAAGTGAAAGTTACAGAAGGTATTTTTTCTTTTTTTCTAACAAAGTGTTTTTTTTCCTTCACAGAGGTTAGTAGCCATGAATATGCCACTAAATAGTGATGGAACCGTCATGTTCAATGCTACTTTGTTTGCTTTGGTTAGGACTGCTCTAAAGATAAAAACAGAAGGTAAGGTTCCTATCTGCCAAGCCCTTATTGCACTTGTCAGAAAGTGCAATGAGGAAAAACAAGAAATTATTACTTTTGTTGAACATGAGTAAGGCTCCTTAAGTCTCAGTGGGTTTGCTTTGGTTTTTATTCTGCTCTGTTGTAATGATTTGTTAGAAAATAAAGGGAGGCCAAAGCCTAAGCAGTCTTAGAAATTATGGCATGCTTTTACTTGGTCATTTAAAAACAAGTAGCAGTTATGTAACAGGAGTTGTACTGCTAAGAATGAATGAGTTCCCCTTTCTACTCAACCAAGATGCTTCCTCCTCACTGCTCTTTAACTTAATACCTTGGATCCCACATTAGTGCAACTGTGGCGTTTGCAGCCTTGAAGGTGACATCCCCAGGTTGGTGGAGACTCGTTATGATGGAGCTGAATGGGTTTCTGTAATTTGCATCAGAGGGAAAAGCCCTGAAAGTGTGTTATGTTTAAGGGAATTTTGCCTTTCGTTTTATATATTTTGACATTATTTTACTTTCATTTCTTCCTGTTTCACGTCTTCTGCTGTTCTCAGTAGAATTTGAGTTCCATTGCCAACAGTACACAAATTAAGCCTCCTCAAGCAACACTGTGGCTAAGAATAGCACTGCAAAAGATGCTCAGCTGAACCTGCAAGCCTGCAAAGTTGAGAAATTACTGTGAATAGACCCCCCCCCCCCCCCCCAGAAAAAAAAAAAAAAAAGCTCAGCTTTGGATAAGGAAAGGTGAGGCTTGCAGAGTTGTCATGTGCTGCACAATTTATGCAGAAATATTAAGGAGTGACAGAGTAGAGCCAGAGTAGATCTACAGAGTAGATCTGTTGACCCTTAGAAGTTCATCCTCTTACACCTTTTCTTCTCTTTAATTATTGTAGTGTTCTTATCTGCTACTCCATGGAGCTTAGGCTGCTGCTCGCAGTCTTTATCAGTCTTTATACAGATACAGCTAATTAATATCCAAAGGATCATTAATTGCAGCTAATTTAAATATAATTGCCATCCTCTATGTCTCTATTTTGTTGCCACAGGTAACCTAGAGCAAGCAAATGAAGAACTTAGAGCAGTTATAAAGAAAATATGGAAGAAAACTAGCATGAAATTACTCGACCAAGTTGTCCCTCCGGCTGGCGGTCAGTGTGATAAATTTTGCTATATGCTCTTTTTTCTTTTTGGCTTTTGTAGATTGGTAGGAATTAAAGAAATAAGATCAGTAAAACTTGATAATGTCATTAAAGGACAACAAACAATAATAGCAAAATAATACAGACTGCTATATCCTGTTACGTTAGATAAAAAATGTAGGACAAATTAATACAACTTCCTTAGATCAAAAAGAAAGAGGAAAATATATTTAATGTTTATTTTCTTGCTTGACAAAAGAACAAAAAAACAAAAAAACCCAATCTAATTAGACCTAAATTTAGTCTTAATTTCAAGTCATTCAGTGGAATAACCTAAAGTAAGTTTTATTTCAATGCATTCAGCAAAATAATATGTATTTTTTACTAATTAAACTTGACAATGTACACTGCATTTTAGCTGATGTCCTTGTATGTGTTGAATACTTCTGGGAGGAAACTAAAAAAATTTTAATTGCAAGACTAAAAATATTTTTTCTGCTGAACTGATAAAGCACGAGGCTAAATTATCTCAGTTACATTAGCTTAAACCAGAGCAGTTCCACAGCCAACACATAATGGAACTGGTTCAGATTTAGGCCAGTATGACTGAGGTATGAATATGGCCCACATAAAAAATATCTAAATGATCATACCAATGTGTTTACAAGAGGTATGAGGCACGTATATTGTTTCTACGTGCAGTGAGATGACATCAAATATTTGTTATATTTGTTTTAAATATATATATTGCAATATATATATTTAGAGTTTTTCAATATATACATTTTTACCAATATGCTATAATATAGATTTAGGTGACATTATACTTGCTTTTTCAAGTTTTAAAGGTGCAGGATCTGTTGCACTGTCCATTCATACGCAGTATAGATGTGTCTGGACGTCCAGTATACCAATCCACTGTAATCACCTGGTATTTTTTGTAGTTTATTGTACTTTTATAGTGTTACAGCAGCTTTCAAGACTGATCAGACTCAGGTTTGGAAGCAGACTCAAGATCCAGGCCCGATGGTGGTGGAGGCTGATCCCTTTCTGAAGGTGACACTCTCAGTCTCTAGGGGAGGGGGAGCATGCTGGCTGCCCCGCTGTTCAGCATGACCCCAGAAGCAGCATTAGCTTGGTCGCTGCAGGGAGCCACGTGCTACTGGTGTGGTGGCTGCCAGCTGGTAGTGGGGATGAAGACAAAGATCTAGCAAATTTGACGATCCAAAGGGGAACTGATACTGCACATTTAAAACAATTTTTTTGTGTTCTACTCTGTTGTTTTCGGCTTTACACCTAGTTGCTTGCATGGCATAGATGAATTGCTTTGTTATTGTTGTAACTATGTGCTTGAGCTTTTTCTGCAGCCTCTGTTCCTTTCAACTATGAGTCTTTCCGAATATTCTGAAGCAATTCTGTTTTAGGGTGGTGGCATGGAATTGGTGTTGCCTCTTGCCAACTTTATTCCCCTACATTTTTTATTGAAATAGAGATGCATGCTTCAGAATAGCGAGCTGTGCCTGCCTAAACCAATCTGATAAAGAATCTTTAAAGATCACATTCCCAGAACTAATCTCACACAGCAACTCACTGTTAACTTCAGTTTCATCTCATTGCTGAATATAAGCTGTATATTAACTTTCAGCTATACTAAAATCCGTTGCTAATATTCCTTCCACAAATTTAGCTCTTCAGTGTAGGTAGAAGGCAGAAAATCTAGGTCACAGACTGCATGATAAAAACCTGTACGGCTTCTACAGTATAAACAAGGACATTTTGGGAAGTTGTAGAATCATTAAGGTTGGAAAAGACCACTAAGAACATCTAGTCCAACCATCAAAGTCCTTAAGATTCACCAATTTTCAATTTCATTTTGACTTCATTTCTCTGCACTAAGACTTACACAATAATTGAAAATAGCATAACCTATCTACACACACACACACACAAAGAGGAATACAGCTATTTTACATTCATATGCCATAGGAGTGTAAAATAGCTTAGTATACAGAAAAAAAATGTTTTTATCAAAGCTTAATATTCGGTAGAAAAATTGCATATGACAGCAACACCAGTGACAGCTGATAAATAACAGTCTGCCAAGAGACAGGTTTCCAATACAAATCAACAAAGCATCCAAATTCACTGTGCTAGAATCGCATCTACTAACAAGTATTGGGCTGTTCATGATATTTTTCTCAAATACTACTTTTGCTGGTATTACTGAGTGCTAGATCCTTTATGTGCCTGTGATCATGCCTCCTGAACACAAAGAGAACAGATCAACTATTTGCAGAGCAGAATGAAAGCAACCCACAAAGAATCTTTTTTCTTTTTTTTTTTTGCTTAATTATAAATAGATGCACCAGAAATGGGCAACCAGCTAAGTGCTGGTACTGGCTGAATAACTCATTAATATAATTTAATTAAACTGTTAAGAGTTAGCAACAGATTTTCAGGAAAACTGAAGCTGCTTTGCAAGAGCATAGAATGAAAGTCAAAAGCCTGAATGTATAAATGTATTTAGGAGACTACGGAGTATGAGAAAGACATACCACCCGCTAAAGATTCACCTGCTTTCTATTCTTTAAATTCCCCAGTCTCCACCTGCAAGCCCATTTAATCCTGCCTAATACTTTTTGCCCGCAATAACTTCCTACTGAAATGATTCCTTTTGCTGTCTCCAGTTGTAGCTATAGATCTGTTGATACTGTGGTCAGTTACGCTTAGCTGCCTCCCTCCCTGTCCATATCTGGCTCTGTGTGTCAAGGATGGCTCCCCTTGGCCAAGCTTCAGTTCTTGTGTGCACGTGTCTGCAATACAACTGACTGTGCCTGTGAAGTACACATGCATCTTGTTTGTACATACAGACTTTGGCATGCACGATTCAGGAAACTGGTAATGCATTCAACTAATATGTTTATTAAAAAAATTGGTGTGTGTCCACAGCAATTAATAGGGCCCTTCATTTGTGCATACTGAGACTTCGGAGGTATGGTTGTCTCAGGTACAGTCAGTAATCATAGCCTGTCTTGAGACATGCTCTAAGTGCAACCTGTGGTAGTGTATGTTTTATCGAGTCTGTCACTTCTATGTGCGTGTTCTTTCTAGGAGCCATTTGCTATATCACTTCCTCAAAGAGTTCTGTTCAAATAGTTGAAACAAAATAACACAAAGGATGGGGAAAGGCTCATCTGGGGAATTTGACCAAGGATGCATTGCAGAAATGAATGGATTCAGCTAAGCTAAGGAAGGCAAGTTTAGATCAGATACTTTATAAGAGACCTCTTCTGAATACAAAAGACCACTAGGCTCCAGAGAAGCCTCCAACAGACATTGCAGATGAGCATCAAAACAAATGCTCACACAAAAGATTAAAAATTAGATTTGGGGAGTCAGTAAAAAAGCTTTTCTACTGTTGAGACTGAATCGAGACACTGGGGAGCTTTTCTTGTGAGCTTGTGGAGTCCTTACTTCCCACTGGAAGGAAGGGAAGCTCTTGAAGAGATTTCTGTCTTTGGCAGAACAGACACACTAATGTGCAAAGACATTTCCCGTGACAGGCTGGTCTTCCAGCCCAAGACATTTCAAGGCAATTACTATAATTTGTTTTGCTCTGATACCTTTAAAAAATAAAACGTTGGGAGAATACATCCCTGGTGCAATTTTCCTCAAATTAAAGCTCTGTCACATGCATATAGCCTACATCATAAATTCTAGTGAAATATGTCCAGAGAACTCTGGAGGGAGCTTGTTTTGAATGCTGAGGATTCACTTTGTCACAGAGGCACAAATAAGTTTTAGCAGTTTTACATACAAATTGGATTTCGCCCATCCTTTTTATTGACTTGAAAGCAGGTCATAAAAAGTAGAAAGTTAATAATGTTTAAATTAGTGAAAACTGTGATAATACAGGTAAAAATACTGTTAATAATTATTAGTGAGATACATTGGGACAGATTATTGATAAAGCTAAAACATGAGAATGTTTTATTCAAACACTAATGTATGATGTTACAGTAAATGTTAGTCACTTTAAAAAAATCATTTGAGGGGGGAAAATCTTGCTTAACAAGATGTGTTCATAGGTAAGAAATAAAGGCAAACAAAGCAAATGAAGATACCTCTCAGGTCTGTACTAAATCTTCATTAGAGAGAAAAAACAATTGAGATAAAACTTGAAAAAAAAAAAAAAAAGTAATAAGATTTTTCTTCTAACAAAGATATGTTAAAATATGTATGAGCACATTAGATTTCCTGTGTGCAACCAAGCAAGTCATGACAGTGTAACCCAGATCCCAAAGTATGTAAGCACCCTTGTGTGGTGAGTGGGGTGACTGGGACTTACTGTCAGGATGTGGGCCCTGCCAGGGGCTTCCTTTCTGTAGAGCTCTACCCTGCTAGTTGCAAATAGCTGTCTTTATATATTGCCAAAATATGGAGGGTAGGCAACACAGCAGTAAGAGAAACAGCTAGCTTCATGCCATGTAGCTCTGGGGGAAAGAAGTGTGTGAGAACAAAAGCAATGTTTTTGAATAGAAAACTATTCCTAGTTTTCTGGCAAGCGTATTACATGTCAGGAGATCAAACTCACACAGCTGAATGATTGAATGGAACATGCTACAAACTAGGAGATTTTGGTATTGTAAGGTACCGTTGAACTTTGGAAACTTTGAAATTTGGATTCTTTTCACAATAGTGACTCTAGAAAATGTTTGTTTTTTTTTTTTTTTTACTGCACCTACTGTCTGTGTATCTATTGAACTGCACAAAATTAATTGACATGAATTATTTTCCTGTCTATCAGCGTTTCAGAAGTGGTACAACACAATAATATGGGGAAGCACCATGTGTGTTTCATATTCATTTTTATCACCACCTGACTTGGAGGTGGCAAGGGACCAAATCTTCACTTAAGCAAGAAAAAATGTGTGAAATTGTAAAGACAGTGAGATTTCAGTCTAGAGTCAGCTTTCTTGGGTGACAGCGAGAGAGCAAAAGATACAGCCCAACTTGTTTATCTGGGATACACAGCCAATTCCAAGTGGAAGATGTTAAGAAAGTACATAGCAAAGCAACCTATAAGGTTGTCAAAGTCCTCATGTAATTACAAAAATAGCATATTAATACACTGATCAAGAAAATTTGTAGCAGCAGGAATAAAAAATGAGATATTGTAAGCAGGACTTTTTTGTATAGACTAACTCTTGTGTAAGTCACAGAAACTCTTGTTTTAATTTGTTTATTTCAACTAATGAAAGACAATATTTCAGTTGCTATGCACATACAAACGTGCTGATGGTTTTTTAGAAACTTACGTGAACTAACCCCCAGGTACGTGAGACTTGGTAAAGTGTTGTATTTTCTTCTTTATTAAGGATGAGTCCACTTAACTGACTGAGCATAACTTGCTTGCTAAAACATTGCTTTAAGCTAGCTAGAGGTCCCATTACTGTAAGGTGAAAGTGTAGTGCCTATTGCACCCGTCACATTTCTTCCCCCAAATCAGATATGAGTGTACAGGCTATTGCCAAATGTGCTGACCTGGGAGAGATCTGTCTGGTCTGTTCATTTAGATGATGAGGTAACCGTGGGGAAGTTCTATGCCACCTTCCTGATACAGGACTACTTTAGGAAATTCAAGAAACGCAAAGAACAAGGACTGGTGGGGAAATATCCTGCGAAGAATACCACGATTGCTCTGCAGGTGATTTTGTTTTTACATTTTAACTAACCATTTTGTGAGCTTGACATACCAGGTAGATGAATGTTGATGGTTGTGCAGTGCTGCAAGGATTTTGTTTAGCTGGGACTCTTTGTTCGTCAGAAAAGTAAAACATAATCCAGCTTTTCTGTCTGTAACAAGGTAAGTGCAGTACTTTATTCTCTGTGGATTACTCAAATGGTAGCAACAGTTATAAGATTCCTCAACCAATAGAGTTGATGTAAAAACCAGATAAATGAATTTCTAAGCTACCATTTCCATAATTTGTTTTACTTGTCTTTTATTTCTTGTGTTTCTACCACATTGTAAGCCAGTTCTCAGAAAACATCCTGACAGGTGTCATAGTAAAGAAATTTTTGTATGCTGTTGTTTTGCTTCCTAATTCTCACTATTCTTTTATTTTTATTTTTTTTCCCACTCATGATTACTGGTGAAATTACTTCCTATCAGCAGTTTCAGTGTTTGGAACTTAACTTTCTATAGAATTAATGTCAGCATACTTTATTAATGCCATGTACTTCTGCCTGTCTCTTAAAACAAGCTATCAGATGGAAACCAGGACTGTAGACAGTGCTCTTTGACCTTCTCTCTCAGGAAGCCTGCAGCAAGCTGTCCATTGAGTATAAGTGATCTGGAGGTTATGATTTGAAAGATTCTATCTGGGTATACCCTTTGTGTTATAAACTTTGAAACAGAAAAATGGGAGGCTGTCCTCAAATAATTCCAGACATCATACACTGCATTATTTTTATTGGATTAGGACTTTATTTCTGTTACTGGGCCTTATGAAGAGAAGAAAAGCAACTAGTTTTGAAATGATAAGCAGTAACTCCTGTTAGCTATCTACTAACATTTTTGTTGCATTAAGTACACTCCAAGGGCATGAGTCACAAAATTCCTTAGGGTTGGATTGCTCACAGTGCCTTTCTTTTCCTGTTGACTGATATTTATGCATTAAGAAGGAATATAACTTTGCTCTGGTCTTACTTCTGTGGCAGTAGTTAAAGAGATGGCTTTCTGTGGTGATGGAAATGTGTATCGAGCCAAACAAGTCACGTTGCCAGTATAGATAAATGTTCAGTGAAGCACGAACAAGTTTAATTACTCTCATCTACTGTGCAGAGCAAATGATGAATTAATTTTAGCCTAACCTATGTAATATTTTCATCTAGATGTTACATTTATTTACACATAACTCTCTTTGTTAGGAGGTACAAATAAAAATTTCTCTTCGTATCACAAATAAACAAAACACTTATCTATTGAGCAGAACTTGGTTTGGGGAATATACTTCAGGTTATTTAACTACACTTTTTCTCATGATTTCTTTTTAAACTAATATCAACAATTAGCTTGGGAGAAAAAAGCCCTCTAGTAAGCATCAGCTGAGGGGTTAACGAGTTTTGCTCAAGTTCAATTTAATTGTCTGCTGCGTTGATGTTGCATTCACAGCAGGCTTAGCTAGAAGGGAGTCTGGGTTCGAGCAAAAGCCCAGAGTGTGGTTGTAGAGCAGAGCTCAGCCTCAGCACTGGAGGATGGACTCGATGGAGATGAGTAACACCGGGAAATCAAGACTGGGCTACTATGTTTCTTATGTTCACTGCTATAGTGTAGGTCTATTCAGCTGTTCTGCATGCTTGCTTTCTTACTACAGGAGTTGGGGATTTTTATTCTGTTCATATTAATTTAACCTTATTTTTATGTTGTATCAGTGCAGCTGTGGTGTTGGGATTTTTTGTTTGTTGTTTTCTTCTCTGTAAAAGAAGCAGGTAGTAAAAACATGTTCATTTTCTGAAAGTAAAATGGTTTTCTGAAGAGTTTCATAGTCACATGCTTTCAGCACTATGAAATTCTTAAGACATAGGAGTTAAGAATTCATGTTTGTGCTTTATTTCAGATCCAGTGAGTTTATATAGCAATATATGTAACTATCCATCATTTTTCTATAATCTATGAAGCAGAGCTTATAAGCATCACTTCCATTTCCTGATATCACTGCAAAATGCCTCAACTATGGAGCACTGTTTATTTTATAAGAAATACTGTGGTGATAGTGATTCTTATTCAAACTGTTACATTTCCTCATCTTAATGTAAGCTTAAACATCTTTATGCGTAGGCTGCTTCATACTTCAAGACAGATTTGCACTTGGTTCACTTTATAGGGAAAATCCTTTTTTGGTTGTTCTAATGTTTATGAACATTGGCATGCTTTTCTAAAAGTTCTGACTTTGGGCTCTTTCATCATACAAAATCTTCTTAGTGTAAAAGGAAGATCTAAAATGTAGAAAATTGATCTTAAAACTATTTGCTGGTAGTTAATCTTTTTGAAATATTTAACTTTTTTATGTTTCCATGTTTAACTTGACTTTTAAACACTTTTGTGTTTTGTTGCATGGTGCTTTTTTAAGGTGCACTCCCTCTGAATGACTAATTCATAGGTATAGTTATCAGTCATAGGACATTTTTTCCCACTGAGAGACTCCTACAGTTCTGTTACTTCAGCATTTAAAAGCACACATGTCATCTCAGTACTGTGCCACAGACAGAGGCATCATTAATGGTCTCTTGAGACGTGGTCTAGCACACAGTGTATTAGTGCTGAGTGCTTTGTGCTTCGTAGCATCTTGAAAGAATTGCAGGTGTTATTGTCTCATAAAGCACAGCTGCACAGAATTGTTGTGTTAATTTCAAGGCATCTGGTATATTTAGAAGAAAGTCTATTTAAAGCCACGCTTGGCTTTATTATGTAATTATGTTGCTCAGAGCACTGTGTGTCACCAGTTTGCTTTCCCACACAAATTAGGCAACAAAGGCATTAGAAATTAAATTTTGCAGAGAAAATGTCTGAATAAGAAAAGCACTTTTGCAAATGTCTTGTGAAGTCTTTAGAATAGAACTAGATGCAGTCAAACACGGTAGCATGCATCTCTTTTCTTCCTCCACTTCAAAGAAAAATAAACAAACCTGAGTAGAAACAACAGCTGCTTTCTTACAGAGCAGCATGAATAATTTAGTGTGCAGTTTTGATTGTTATCCCTTTACAACTAGTGGCTGAACATGACTTGCATGTGTTTTATCTGCTCTGTTATAGATCTTTCAATCTTCTCATGTCTTTGAAGACAAAGTTTGCTGAAAGCTGCAGCGTGAATGTACATAAATATTGACTTCCATATGCAAAAAAAAAAAAAAAAAAAAAAAAAGTATCCACTAAAAACATGCTTGTAGGTAAAAACAAAATGTTTTATCAGTACATACTTCCCTTGTGGTCTCTGCAGAAGACTTTTGAACTGGTTTAGAGGAGCAATATTCCTACTGCCAGATAAGTATTTTTGCATCAGTCCAACTTCAGCAGTAGTTGGTTGGCTCACGTCTCAAAGTATGGTCTTCTATCAGCGAGAGTGCAGCATGGGAATTTGTCTCACGATGCAGAACTCTCCTGGCACAAAAATTGTTCTTAGATTGCTTGGAATACTTTGTTGTACTCTGCTTAAAATAGGGCAATACATGGGAGTGGTCATTTTATTGACAGAGTTGGCAAAATTGTCGATGAATCTGTTAGTAGAAATAAGCTGAGGAACGTTTTAATTCTTCAAGCAAGTATTGCTTGCAGAACCTATGGCTTTGTTACTGAATGTCAGAGGAGAAAGCTGATTATTTTAGCTTAACCAGCAGATACATGTTTATGTACAGTGATCCAGGTTTTACTCTTTTACTGTTGGTTGTGTCACTGCAAAGGATCTGTCACAGGCAAATTAGTGATGCTGAAGAGAAATGAGATGATAAAAGCTGCCTGCTTTTATTTAGCCTTCTTTAAAAGGGAGTAATTCTCCAAGAAATAAACCAGAAGGAAGTGGGACGTGTAATTGAAATTACGTGACTACTGAATATGTTGCTGACAAACATATGCCTTTTCTCAGCATTCAGGCATACGTTTATGGGAAGTTGTCACTGTTTGTCTGACAGGGATATAAGCTGGGAGTTTTTGCCAGAGTTAAAATTTATAATGCTGCTGTCTTAGAGCGTTGTGTTCACAGAGAGGCACAGCTAGAAGGGAGACTGGGTTTGAGTGAAAGCCTGGACTTTTTGTGCAGCTGTAGAGCACAGCTCAGCCTCAGTGCAAGAGGATGGGCTCAGTGGAGATGCTGTAGCGTAGGTCTATTCACCTATTCTTCCGCATGCTTGTTTTCTTTAGGATTTCTGACATTGTATTCTGTTTATCCTACAGTTCATTTTAAAATGGCAGTGATTTGGAAATGCAAATGATGATATTACTAATGACTGAGTAACCAAAATAGTAAAGCCTTTGGTCTGCCTTGAAATCTGTACCTGGGAATGTTAATCTTACTTCCCTTTAGCACCTTACACAATTATGACATTAGCAAACTTGCTAAGCTTGGCTGTGCAGTTAGCATAAGAAGTAGGAGAATGTATTCACGAAAAGTACATTGTATATTAATTCTCCGGTAAGTGATTTTAGGTTTAGTTCAATTATATCTTATCTCTCAAAGTTCACCCTTGAGAAAGAGAATGTAATTGCCAAATTCAGGTAGGTAATGTGAGCACCTATTTCAGGAAGTGAGATACTGAAACTAGAACTGAAGAAGAGTGTATGGTAACGTCAGATATGAAGCTTTTTGCTTGATCCCTTTTCAGGTTCTGATTGCCCACACTGCCCAAACACCATTTTGCTCCCCAGCCAGCAAGCTCTTTCCATTTGGAGCTGAAGCCTGGCTGCAGCGTGCTGCCGGGGTCGCGTGAGTGGGACTGAGCCACGCGTGGTGTCCTCCACGGTCCTTCAGTTCTGTCTGCAGCAATGAAGCATGCAAAACTCCCCATGCATTTTCATGCCACGTTATTCCCCTTGGGAATAATGCACATCTTCATGCCCATTCCCCATGCAAATAACATGCGTTTGATACGTATCCGTATCAAAAGTACACAGCTAAATGATGAAATAGGCTTTTAATAGTGAGCAACAATTGTGCCAAGTGTAAGTCTCTCATTGGCAGTCCCAGCAGAGACCTCCTGCTACAAGTCGCTCATGATAGCAGACTGGAGAAAGAATTTGAATGAGTACGTGCTGAGCTCCCAGCTGCTGGAGCTAGATGGCTTTCTGTCTTAAAGTAAAGCTTTAAAACAGATTTCTGTGTATCACAGTGCAATGCAGATGGGCTGCAATTATTTCACTGCTTTCTTTACCATTTGAGCTCTGCTAAAACCGCTGCTGCTATAGCAAAGATCTCCTCATGTTTCCTGTGTGAACACAGGCTGCAAACATGTTTCTGACATTAAACATACATCCCATTGAAATACGCTATTATAGTTCTTGTCGATTGCTTATTGCTTTATTATAAGATGATGTAGGGTTCCATAAACATCAGAGGTCTTTTAGTCAGTACCTACTCTGCTAATAAGGATGTGATCACCTCCACAGGATTGGATTGTAGTTGACTACAGGCCTTTTATTTATAGTAGTAAAGAGGTATATGGGAGAATGCATCTTCTACAACTACCAGGATACAAAAACTTGATGACTGTTTTTAAAAGTAACTAAAGAATTTGCATTCCTAATATATTATGATATTGTCCTTAATTTAGGCAGGACTAAGGACACTTCATGATATCGGCCCTGAAATACGCCGAGCTATATCCTGTGACTTGCAAGATGATGAACCAGAGGAAAACAATCCAGACGAGGAGGAAGAAGTGTATAAAGTAATGTCAGAACACAGCTATGTGATTTTTTTGTTATGTAATATGAGTTTTATAGAATGAGCTTATCCCTGAATGTGGAAGAATAATAAAAACCTCAAGTCAGCAAAACATAAATATTTAATGAACATCAGTATATTTCATTTATATCTGGAAAAGTGGTATTACCAGGACACCTGCATCTCATCATAATCTTAGGAAGCAGTTCCTGTTGGGTGATTCTCCCACCCCTAATTCCTTCCTATTAATTCTTACTTATTCTTAAGCAGATTCTAAGAAAGATAGGAGCTTTGCACAGTGCCTGCAAAGCCAAATTGTGATAGTGTTAAGAAAACTGGACATACCTTAATTTCTGCTTTGGTGGAAGAGATGAAATTCTAGGCAGACAAGCCTCAACAGATGCAGAGGTGCATGTATATAAAAAAAACTAGAGTTACACTGCAGTTAACTAAAGATAAAGGCCAGTCTCAGTTTCCTGTGAGGGATATCAACAAAAATCAATCTGGGAAAAAGATTAATTTCAGGAGCTATCTGCACACCATTGTTAGCCAGCAAGAAAGCTTAATTAAGAAGTGGATGCAAAGGTGATCTTCTGCAGAAATTGTCATAAACCCCATAGTTTGCTTTTGTCCTTCATCAAAGAAGAGGATGTGGCATTGGGGACAGTGCTACAGTGACCAGCAGTGGATGTGTTTCTCTGCCAATCATCACAACGTCCTGTCTTCTCTAGATTGAGCTTCAAGACAGACTGCTGTCATCCAGGACCCACACCTGGCTAGACAGGGAGGCTACATAATCTGGGTTAGATGTAAAAGAGAGTTGCATGACATAGTCATAATTTTTCACTTCATTCTCTTTCTCACCATCCATTACACTCTCAGGGCTGATGAAGAGTTATTACTCTTTCTTGTACCTCTGCAAGAAGGAAGAACGGAACCACTGAAGCTTAATGCTGTCTACTTGAGATATGCTTGCAAGCTGTTGCATGGCACTCCATCCTGTCTGAGTGACGCCTGCTGCAAACCAGTGCTCCATGAGAATAGGAGAATTCCACCAAAACGTTCTTGAGAGTTGCACAGACATGTCCTTTTCTGAGGAATTTGGTGCATGTTCTTCGTGTATGGGAATCTGGGTTTCTCCTGTATAATGAAACATGGAGAAAGCTAGAAGTCACAGGTGTATGGAAAAAGAATACCGTTCACTGCATAATGTTGATTTGACTTTGAAATCCAAATATTGTCATTGTCACAATCACAACTCTGTCACTTCAGGAGATGCCATGTGAGGCATCATGAAATTAGAAAGAAAATTCACAGTGTATTTGAATTGTTACTTTGTGCGCGTGTAGGAAAAAAGTAAATAATCATCAGTCAAAAATATGTTCTACTAAGGTATCTGATTTTCTTTTTTCTTTCTCTTCCCCTAAAACAGAGGAATGGTGCCCTCTTTGGCAACCATATAAACCACATTAGCAGTGACAGACGAGATTCGTTTCAGCAGATCAACACCACGCACCGTCCCTTACATGTGCAGCGGCCTTCATTTCCATCTGCAAGCGATCCTGAGAAAAATGTATATCTTCAGACAGGAAATTCTGTGTACCACAATCATCATAACCACAACTCAGTAGGAAAACAAGTTCCAAACTCAACAAATGCCAATCTCAATAATGCCAATGTATCCAAAGTTGTTCATGGGAAACACGCTAATTTTGGAAGTCATGAGCATAGATCTGAAAATGGTTACCATTCATACTCTAAAGCTGACCATGAGAAGCGTAGAAGGCCAAGCAGTAGGAGGTAAATGTACACACGTATTTGCTTTTAAAGGAATTTTGAATGTTCAGTAAGAAAACTTGTGCCATGTGAAACTAATTTGTTATATTTAGCTTCATTTCAGTTCCTTATTGATTTATGAACTTAAAGTATGGCTGTAATATATGGGAAAAGTTTATAATTTTAATAAGGTTTGAAAATAGTCATTTTCTTAAAATAGAAGTTACTTTACAGGCATTGTAATCACACAGTTTTGAGAAATTCACTGGTGATTATAAAATATCTTTCTCCATAATTTCATGGCTTGCCTGGATAGAACCCGCTACTACGAAACATATATTAGGTGAGTTTACTTTTTTATGTTTACAAAATAGTTCCCAGTTTTAAAAATTAACCATCTAAGAATGCATACGCTGAGGAAAAAAAAAAAAAAAGGGAGTACTTCTAAGATGAATTTTCTACTGCTAATTTTGAGAGAGTATCCTTCTATTCTTCTGGTTAAATATGTCCAGGCAGGTTCGTGCTGTTTTTAACAGGCAAAGATCACACTTGATGGTAATCCTCGTTTAAAATTGAATTGCATAGGCTGGAAAGATAACGATGATAGCTTCTGTGAATATTGTTGTTTGAGATTGCATCTGAAGGGGCACTACACTTCTCTTGCTTTTATGTTGGAATATTTCCAAAGGCAAGATTTAAAAATTGGATATGGTGTTACATGAAATTCATTGCTAAGTGTACACTCTGTGGTAGCTTGAGGTGTCCAGATGTACACACCCAGTTTCAGTTTTTCCTGGATGACATCAGTGGGTTCTCTTTAATTTTTTTAGCTATTTCATAAACTTGAGACATTTGAGAGAGGTTTATTCTACCAAATATCCTGAATTTATATTTTGTAAAAATGTCTTTGTAAAAATGTCTTTGGCTTTGTGGGGCATCCGCACATTTTCATGTTTGTATCCCAAATATGCATTCCCCCGATCTTTTCACGTTTGTATCAGATCAATACTTCTGGGCAGTACTTCCTCAGAACATACTTAAAGTCACACTCTGCCTGCAAGAGTTGTCAGTGCTTGTCTTTTTTTCTTGAAAGCACCATAATCAGTCCCAAGTGTTTGCTTGCTGCTTACAGGTCTGACTCTGGTGATGGCCGTCGACCAACTATTTGCCGTGAAGAACGTGACATTCGAGACTATTGCAATGATGATCATTATTTGGGAGAGCAGGATTACTATAGTGGAGAAGAATACTATGAGGAAGACAGCATGTTGTCAGGAAGCAGGTGAGTGTGTTTGTTTAACCTGAGGAAGGGACTTCAGTAATTGATGTACTAATCCATGTAGGCTTCACCAAGTGCACTTGCACTGAAAATCCTCTAATAAATTTAATACTTCACAACCACTGATTAATGAAGTGATGGACAAGAAGGGTTGGTGTACCAAGGATCTTTGTGTTTGTCATCAAATGCTGAATCCAGCAGAAGTTTTTTACCAAATTTAAAGCAAAGCAGAAAGTTCATTTGACCTGAGTATAAACTAGTGCTGGTATTAACTCAACTAATATAGAATTGGGTATCTTTCTTTTGAAAATTCTCATTATATTACTTCATTAATCATCCTTATCTTGGCACCATTTTCTGTCTTGTTAAAACACACACTTAACACTCTCATGGTTGTCCTGGCCTTTATGTGCTGGGAACAGATGGTTTTTATGGTTTTTTCATACCCTTATGGAAACATCATAGATGGCATTTCAGTCAGCACGTTGGCATTTCTTCACGTTTGTATTACTGAACAATATGGAAACTTGTATTCATCTGAGGCTCTGTGCTGTAGCTGCAGGGTTAGCTTTATAACCCAATTCCTCTCAATTTTCTGACTCAATTATGCTTTTTCTGGCCCAAACCCAGAGAGGTAGCTTAGTTAATTGTAGCGTTTCTGTCAAGTAGAGTTTCGTTGTTCTTATTTTCAACTTGGCATTCAAATCTCAATTTTAGACTTAAGCAAATAAAGCCTTGATTTTCTTTTGATAATTTTAACTTCTTTGCTGCAATTTTCTTTACCTTGACTTCTTCAGGAATGGACCACTGTAGGTTTTTCTAACTTTAGAACTGTGCTTCCCAAGTTAGTTTGGCTTGACAAACACCACTGTGACATTGCTTCAGCAACGTCAGATCCAAACTCCACATTTGGGTTTAAAAAGTCTTGAGTAGTTTGTTGCCTGGTTATCTTCCTTAAAACAGCTTCTCTTCTGCTGAATTTGCTTCAACAAATTCTCAACAATATTCTCCACTTCTATTAATGTATTTTTTTAATGTTGAAATACCGCCCCAAAATAGAAGAATTTATTTCATAAACCAACATGCACTAGCACCACACATGCTTTATTCTCCTTGTATGCTATCTTTATTTGCCATATGAATTTTAACAAGATTGGCACTGATCGTGTTGGATTGATTGAAAGCTAAGATTTGCATGAAAGCTGAGGTTCACACAATTCTCAGGACACTCATTTTTTCTATGATAATTACAGCCAAATAATAACCTTGTACTATTTGATTTTTGACTTGAGAAGTTTCAGGAGTGTGAAAGGCTGAATTCTGTTTTCTGAATTTCTGTGCTCTACCCCCTGGGTTCAAAAAAAAAAATGGCAGGAGAAGAACAGAATTTTGTTTTTAGAGTTGTTTTTTAAGGAACATTCAGTTTAGCCTGTATTGGTAGGAATAACTTCGTTGTAGATATACTTCAATAAACATTTCATGACAACATGTTGTGTAATTATATTAGTAGAAAAATGTATGCTACCTCCATCTGTTTGTACACACAGCATAGATTTTAAAACTAAGTCATGTAATTATATAATGTAGTTATACCTGGTTTTGTTTGGTATCTTCTAGAAATCTAAACAGCTCAACATACAGAAACTCTGAAATAATCTTTTCTTTACTACTTGAATTCAGGCATGTATATGATTACCACTGTAGACATCACTGTCATGACTCAGATTTTGAAAGACCAAAAGGTTACCATCACCCACATGGGTTTTTTGAGGAAGATGATTCACAGACCTGTTATGATACGAAAAGATCTCCTAGGAGACGGCTGCTACCTCCAACACCAGCATGTACGTACATTAAGAACAATGCGTTTGCAAACCCAGAGTGATTTAAATTCATAAAAATATTTTCTAGTTTAAAAAGCTTATTTGTAACTTGGATTTCAATCTTGACATTTCATGATGAATATTGCCAGTAGATTTCTGAGAGATGCTCAATACCTACAGATCCTAACATACAAATCAGTCAAATATCCCTTACCTCACTGAGGCAATAGTATGAAACCAATCATTGTAATTGCTGATTTAATTGAACTCGTAAATGAAGGTAGAATGCAGCTTTAGTTATCTTTGAAACAGTCATCAGATGGGTTCAGTCTGGGCCTTCCTTATTCGCACCCACAGATGTGCAGCATTGCTGTTGTCTCATCTGCTGGCACCTCCCTTCCCCTTAACAGCCACACTTCTTAATGACACTGAGATTACTTCCATATAACTCCTGCTGTTTTAGTAAACACTAGAGATTGAAATTCAGTGATTTGCAGGGAAAACAGAGCCAAGAGCAAGCTTAATAGTGAGGGGTTGAGGGTTTTTTATTTATAAACTAGGGATTTGGTATTTCCTTTGGAAGTCTGACTCATTAGAATGAAGAATATAGAAGTATGGAGAAGAAAGAATAAACTCTTATTCTTTGTTATTCACAGCTCTGTACAGCGAAACTCTGAAGTTCAGTATAGAAACCAATCTGCAGAACTGGAAAACGTTTCTTTCATAAACATGACTGCTTTGCATTCTGCTGCTCATATTTCTGCCTAGGACTGTATTTGCTCATGTGATTAATCTATTTACTATAACTGCTTTCTTCTGTTAGCAAACTCTTTTTCTTATCAGTAGGATATATTTTTTTGTGTGATAGTTGTTGCACAGTGGAATTCTGGATACAACAGACTTCAAGGAAAACTGTTTCATTTTCCTAATCAGTTATGCTTTCTCCATAGCAAATAGACGATCTTCCTTCAATTTTGAATGCCTCCGCCGACAGAGTAGTCAGGATGATATTCCACTCTCTCCAAATTTCCACCATCGCACAGCTTTACCACTTCACTTAATGCAGCAGCAGGTAAATCCAGGACTTAACTAATAATGAATTACATCTTTTTATTTTCCATATCATACCTTAGACTTTCATTTTTGCTTGAAACAGTACTATAGGATTATGCATGAAGTACTAGGTGGTCATTTCTAGTGCATGAGGATACTACTGAATAATTCAGACCTTTTAATAAGCATGGGCAGTGTATGGTGAATATAAATAAATCCATATTCTGTCCTGTAGCTGAATTTGATTTTTCTGAATCAGGTTACTGTTTCCTGTTTACACGCTATATATGTCTACTTAGATGATCTAAACTAGGACTTGTGTCATGTGGTCTTGTTAATTGCTTTTTAATGTTTTTAATTACTTCATATTGAGTAGAACAGTTTAGTTTCATATAAGCAAACATATATGTGGCACAAATCTCCTATCTCCTGCTGCAGCCCCAGCCAGAGATTTTTAAACAATTCTGAATGATAAATAGGGCCCTCTTCCTCAGAGGCCAAAGAAAGCAAGGTACATAACCTAGCTATAATAAAAAAATACATTTTTATGCTATTTACTAATCTCAGTTCTGTTCCTCCTTTGCTTGACTCTAAGCAGCAGAAAATATTAACTTTGCGTAGCATCTGCCAAAAGATTTGGTTGGAGCTAACTGCTGAAATCAGAATTGAGTATGACTCAGAGTGTCTGAAATCACTAACTTTAAAAATTCTTCCCCATTCCAGGTCATGGCTGTTGCGGGTCTGGATTCCAGTAAAGCTCATAAACATTCACCAAGTCGTTCCACGCGTTCATGGGCTACTCCACCTGCAACCCCTCCCAACAGGGACCGTACCCCATATTACACACCTCTAATCCAAGTTGACAGGGCTGAATCTACAGAACATATGAATGGTAGCCTGCCTTCCTTGCACAGGAGCTCTTGGTACACAGATGACCCTGATATCTCCTACCGAACATTTACACCAGCCAATTTAACAGTACCCAATGACTTTAGGCATAAACACAGTGACAAACAGAGGAGTGCAGACAGTTTGGTAGAAGCGGTAAGTATTACAGAAACTTCTAAAGTCATCAAGAGTGTCTGCTTAGCATTTGTGTTAACATCACAATGCTTATCATTCAGTCTACACAATCTCTCTGAAAATGTGGTATTTTCACTTTCAGCTGAAACTGATCTCAAGTAAAGATAGGGAAACTTCTCAGTTGCTGTGTTGTAAAGGGTCAGAGGAATTCAAAATCACAGTGTCAGTGTCAGAGGGCTGAGAGGCAGGCTGGAAGAGATCAGCAGAAGGAAAGTTGGGAACATCAAGGTCCGGGTTTAAAATGGACTTTAAGCTTTCTAGCTAATGAGGATCAATTGTGAAATATCCTCTCACAAGAGCTGATGATGCTTACCTGTGTTTTCTCTGCTTTGTTTCCACTTATTTATATTATTTAATATGTATAAACAGCCATTTTTGCAGTAATCTGATCAAAGATGAGGAACTCTATGATAGCTGTGTACTGGCGAGAGAGTGAACAAAGACAACTGGATTGATTTGCAGGTGTACTAAAGAATGTTAGAAGTTCTTTTGTGTTAATAATATTAACATGTTGCATTTCAGACTATAGTAGTTGCTGTTCTTGCTTTCGTCTATTATTTCCTTTGACTGCTACAAGTTGAGCAATGTATTTCACTTTCCAAATGAGACTTCAGCATCCTTCTTCCACGTATTCTAAAATACCTAGAATGTATCTAGAACTCTGTTTCAGCAACTTATCCCAGTTTTCTCGTCTGGGATTTAGTAGCTGCTGTCTTATGTTTATCAGACTCCTCCTAAGTTTCTAACGACAACAACTGAATGTATTGCATTATCAGTTACAGTGCCATATAACTGTTACAGCGTAGTTTGAAGCTATTTGATTGTTGATTTGTGAGTTAGCATGGAGTTTCTAGTATTTTCCACAAATGAAAAATGTTTTTATGATATGTCTGTTCTTCCATAATTCTGCTTTATACCTCATTCTCTGCTCTCCATCTGCCAGGTACTTATATCTGAAGGCCTAGGAAGGTATGCAAAGGACCCTAAATTTGTTTCAGCTACAAAACATGAGATTGCTGATGCTTGTGACATGACTATCGATGAGATGGAAAGTGCGGCAAGTAATCTTCTCAATGGAAATATTAGCAATGGGACCAATGGGGATATGTTCCCCATTTTAAGCAGACAAGACTATGAACTTCAAGAATTTGGTCCTGGCTACAGTGACGAAGAACCAGAACCAGGACGATATGAAGAAGATTTAGCTGATGAAATGATATGCATTACAAGCTTATAGTATTTAGCAAGGGAAATGATTTTAAATAACAGAAAAAGTGCCTCATAGTTCAAAGATGCTAGGCACTAGTTGGGGTTAACCGATCAAGTTTTGTACAAGTGATGTCACGCCTCAAGGAAGCCATAACTAATAAACAGATTATCTCCGGGTTGCTGAAATGTGATCAGAGCTGCAGCACATCATCTCTTCCCACAGAATCTTCAGTTTCTCTGTAGGAATAAGGTTATTTTGGAAAGAAGCGGGTTCTGACAATCAGTTTTTTGAGGGCTAGAGTGGGATTCTGAGGTGTAATATCTTGCCTGTCCTTCAACTTTGTGCTGCTGTCCTTCATAGTAGAGTGGGAATTTGTCAGTGAAAATGTGTAAGTCCAGCACAACACGAGGTGAGTGATGACAACCAATAATGTCATTACCTCAGTACTCAAGAGCATATCAGCTATCCATTGCATATCTATTCTAATACTGTTTTCAAACCTGCCTCCCAATTTCTTTTCTTAATGCTCTTCTAAAACATGGTTTGTCATGCTCTACCTGTTAGAGATCATTGGAAAAAGAAGTTATATAAAGAATATTCTGTCATATGTAACATCAGTTTACATAGCAAAATATCATTCAGATAGTCTGTTTTATGACTATCACGTTAAGGGCAAAATATACTGGAATAATTGCATTCTTACTAATGCACTTGCAACCAGGTTAAAATAGAATTAGATAAGATAGTTTGCTAAAAATTATATAGTAGAAATTATTGTAAATGAATTGTAATATACAATCATTTGTATTTGTAAAGAGATGTTCTATATTTTGTAATTATTGTACCGTAATTGAACTGCAGCAATATTTATGGACCCTAATTATTGTAACTCTCCACAGAATTCTAGATATGAGTATTTTTACTTGGAATATATAGATCTATAGCATAAATATTTAAATAGAGCCACCTCTCATTGTAAATCTTTTTGGGATAAAGTGTCAAGTTTGAACTTGACAACACAGACTTTTTTTTTAACATTATGGTGTCAAATGAATCTCTCTGGGTAAGGGATGCACAGTTGACCATTTGCAGTCTTATACTTGGAAAGGTAAAAGATTTGAAATTATTTTAACATTTTGATTGAAAAGTAAGTTGTAATTTTATTTTTGTATTAATCCCATGCTACTGAAATATTAAAATTATTAAAAATTTGGCAAGTTCATGCCAGGATAGTACTCATGGGACAGTTTGTTTTGACAGAGTACATTGCCTATGTACCCTACTGTGATAGAAAGCATCTAGGGCAGAAACTATTTCATAGGTAAAGGAAAATGCTTTACTAAGTATTGCTTACTTTGCTCAGAAAAAGAAGAAATATGACTAAATGATTCTTCACAGAACCAAATAATAATAATAATAATAATTATATAAAAAGTATACAACTTCATTGCCTCTACCTTTCTGTTTTATGTGCATTATTTCAAAGATTTATTTTTATGCAATCAAAAGAGGGCTGAGATATTGTTCATAATGCAGTAAAACCCTGAAATGACTTTGAGGCTAATACAACCTTGGAGGAAAATCAAAAAATACTGAAAGCTACTGTCTATTTTGTTAGCACTGGATAAAAATGACTTGTTCTAACAAGTTGCATTATCAGGTTTTACCTGTAATTCATATGCTAGATAGCAATCCAGTTCACATTTTAACAAATGTGATGTTTAAAACATGTCAATAAACATTTTGTACATAATGACAATTTCCTATGAATAGCATACAGACTTCCTCTGGAATCATTCTTATTTCAAATGCCAGGATAAGAACTTAAAGGTTTGTAAATTCTTTCTTGACCTAAATCATTTTGTATTAAAACAAATGCAAAATGTTCTTCAAAATAAAACTGTGTAATAATTTTATTATACTTGGGACTCCTTTTACTAACAGTGTTTCACCAGGAAGCTCCAAAAGTGAAATTCTGTTTGTACCATTTGGAGAATGGGAAGGAACACATGGAATTTGATAACAGATCTACAGTGTTAGAGTGTGCAAGCTCTTTATGAATAATTGCTGTTAACCAGAAAGGAGAAAAGTGATTAGAGTATTTGTATGAACAAGGGCTGTATTCCTGCTGTAATCCACTCTAGGGGATTAATGCTCCCAGAGGTGTGAATGTATGGAAGCAATCAAACAAATCTGACTTAACATTGCTTAAGAAGTGAAATCTCTTGTGCCTGTCTGTCACTTGGGTGGGTTTCCCACTGTAGTCATTTTGTTACTAATCTCAACTTACAGGAGCAAAGTTTCCGATACCAAAATAAAGTTTTCAGATCTTATTTCAGAGAAATAGCAGTCAGAAGTTTTCACAGCTCCACCTCATTTCTGCAAAACACCTTTAAGGAAGCTGGAGATGGAACATTTAAAACAAAAACAAACAAACAAAAACCCTACAAGTAATTGCACAGATTTTTCTCATAGCACATCTAATGTAGCAGATTGCGCTGAACAAGACTTTTTTAATTAAGCATATGTCTGAACAGACAGAAAAAGATATGCTGAGTTCACTGTATTTTCTTGCTAGTAATATAGTTAGTCCTCAGTTTCAAATGGTCTGATGAGAAGGACACTCTTTGGGGCAGATATACTATTTTATGAGAATAATCCTTATGAACAGTGGAGGAAATTCAGCTACAAGCCATGTTCTATATTAATGGTTTAACTATACATAGAATAACTGTTCAATTTTATCACAGAAGCGTAAGGAAAAAAAGGTTAGCCCATATATATATGGTTACATGGTAACTGGCAGCCTTAGAATGAATCACAGAATTGTAGTCATCACTCCATTAAAAGAAATGAAAGTGATCTCAACAATTAATGCATTTATCATGATTTCCCAGATATGCTTACATGTGAACATGATGACAGAAAGCATTATGGTTGTCCATTAGCAAGGAGTTAAATACAACTAAGAGAAGTTATATTCACTTAAAGATTGTACATATAAAATATGTTCATATTTGAACATTATCCTTTGGAGGTTGGATGACAGAACAATATAGACTAAAAGAACACTGCAATAAGATGCTTGTGTTGTATCTGCAGTAACTTTTGAACTGTTACAAGATGCACAAATGCTTTTATTTTTTTCCCAACAATCCATGTCATGTAACTATTATTTTAATAAGATGTACTAATATGTTTCTGTTACAGAAAATGTCTGTTACAACAACCCCACTATTTACTTTCCCAGTTGCCTTACTTAGTTGCAGAGTAATTGAAATCATACACTTGAAAATTATTTTAAAGTATTTTAAGCTGGAGAAACATCAGAACATCACCGGAATGGTGTACACAATCTTGAGTGTCCTTAAATGAAACAAAATGCAGTTTTACAAATACAGCTATTTTCTGCTGCTTTTAATAGCACTTCTCATACTAAAGCAATTTGAACTGAGATTCAAGTACAGAAAGAAAGGAGTTTGGTCACTTTTCTTTCTTAATCTTATTGCCCCCTGCCAGAGACATCCAGCTGTCTCCAAAACACCCACAGCAAGCTGTTCCCATGGAAATGCTGCTGCTGGCACTCACAGTACCATTGCTGGTTGAAGCCAGGCTGGCAGGTCTAGGAATTTCCCAATTCTTACATCAAAAAACTCTGACAGTGAACTCTTTTTGAATACATAATGTACTATCATCTGCTTATCTACAGAAAAAATATCTGAATAGAAATGGAAATAATATTTGCTTAACCACTATATTATTTTGTTAAATAATGTCCTGTGATCCGCAATATTCATAAGGTGTGTAGGTGGCTGATATTTAACTTGCAGGCTCCCAGTGCTCCACAGAGCACATTAGAACATTTTTATCTGTTCTAAGCACCCTTAGCAGACTGAACTCTGCTAGGAGTAAGAACAATTGTAACAGAAATTCAATCCCAGCAGACACACAGAGTGCAGGAGAATCTAATGGCTGCTTGATGCTACCTAAAAATTATCCCAGGACAACATTTTCAAATACCTGAAGAATTTCCTTAGGACTACATCAAAGGAAATGCATGAAGGAGACATGAAGTTCTGTAGCGGTGAGGTCTAAATTAATGAGGCAGCTACAGCTGCGCAGCAGTGAAAAAAATCTTCAAATGTTTAGAATAACTTGCAAGGCTGTATGTTTAGAACTGTGAGAAAAGATGATGCTTCAGAACAAATGCCTGATTGTCTGATTACACAATGCAGCAACGCGTACCTTGATTGTTAAAAGCAGCAAGACATGTGAATGTAAGACACATGAAATTCTATATGTTTATCTAACCTCATCATTTCCTAATCTCTCAGAACTTGAAATAATGGCAGATGACAGCTCTGTGTGTGTTCAAGTTATGTAATATAGCAACTAGTTAATCCTCTGCAGTTGCATAATAACAATTCCCATGCTGCATGTCTGGATTGGAAATCCATGTTGTGAATCTGCAAACGCAGGAACTTCACTGTCACATCTTCCCAAATTGCTTCCTCTCTCAAGTGCACAGGACTGCAGTGAGTCTCATCACTGGTATTATTCTGAACATCCTTAATAGTTCATATCCTAAATGACACTAAGATACAGTGAGTTTCTTTAAATGAAGATCTCAGAAGAATAGCTGCTGAATAGAAGCTATTAGTTACTATAAAAGTGGTACATTATACATAATTCATGCTCTCCCTAAAGGCACAGTCATGGCAGGTGAATTGTCTTACTAATACAGCCAATCAATCACCTCTGACTTAAAATATTCTTTTTGTTCCCCACATTCCAGGCAAATATATATCGTACATAGAAAGGGTTTACCTGTTTCCTTTGGGAGTGATGTTCACTTCTATCCCCTTCCATCTTCAAATTTTTTATTTACTCTTTATACAGATACTCTGATCAATTAAGTCCTTTCTCTCAGCTAGCAGCAGGGCTTCCAACCATTACTTTGCAGCAGCACTAGGTAGAAAAATCTGCCCTAAACATCTGCAGTTGTCCCTCTAGCCAACATCTGAGTCAGCAGCTTTTTTGAAATTTGTTTTTTTTTTCAGTTTGCTCAAATGGTGTAAAATTCCACTTTTCCTGGGGAAAAAGAAAGGCATATTCTGTTCACAGGAACTACTGAGCAATCTGAAGGTATAGAAGCATTTGCTTTATAATTCAACAATTATTTAGTCTGAAATTAGCTTGGACTACTTAACAAATCCATAAAATTAAATGGATTTGGTTCCAGTTAATGAATTCCTTTTCTTTAGGTGTATTATTTTTGTTCCTTTGTTTTTCAGTTCAGCACCAGTAAGTTAGACACACACAGAAACAGCCATGAAGATCATGCATTTGTTTGACATATCTGAAGATAGTAAACAAAGATTTAAGCCCTAACTGAAGTATAGCATTGGTTTACTGAGTAAGTCATTTGCCTTTGAATTCAAGAAGATCTCTACTCATATCACTGATATCTTAGTTAATGTAGTTATTTTGAATGAACTTCCATTTTAAAGCTACCTCAGCTATAAATATTTTTAATTATTTTTGATTGGTAGTTGGGCACACTATTGAGTATATTTGCATGCACTCATCTTTGAGCAAAGATCAGTAACTTTATGGAAATTATTGGGCATGTGGATCCCTTACAATGGTACAAGATAAAGCAGCACAACTAAATGAGCTTAAATTGCAAACTGAATTCTACTGTTTCTTGAAAAAAATTAAAAAAAAAAAAAAAAAAGCAAGGGTAAAATCCAGCTTTCCAATATGCTTTTATAAATATCAGTTCTATTTCTGCATTTATTAGAAGAAAAGTTTTTGATAAATGTATTTTATGTCTTTTTTTCTAAGTTAAGAGTGCTAAGTATGGTAAAGTCCAACTTCTAGTAAAGATTTGTAAATTATGCATTCTTCCCATAAAAAACACATCTGACAAGCTCTGGACATGTTAAGTGTCTCTTCTGTGAATTCTGATACTACTACTTTGGCCTGTAAGTACATAAATGCTTGCATTTACTTTGCAGAATGTGGGAATTACTGAGTAGCTATAATCTTGGGTAATAATCTCAAAACAGTTAAAATTCTTCCTTTAAATAATAAGACATATCATAAAGACTTTCAAAATAACTCACACTGATCTCTTCCTGTCTAACTAAAATAAACTGCTTGAACCAACTGATTAAAATATATATATATATATATCTAACCTGGTATAACAGAATGGACCAAATTAATAGCTGCTTTACTGTGATGTGTATTTTTCTATGGTATTTATTTTGTTGGCCCTTCCAATTGAGATACAAACACACAGATGAAAAACTAAGTGGCAAAAATGTGAAAGGATGACAACAGTGTTTATCGTTGTTTCTCCAAGGTCTTGGGCTTATATACAGGAACGTTTTTCTCCTGAAGTGATGGGAGCCCCTTAATTATATCTGCAGCTTTCTCTGCTATCATAATAGTAGGGGCATTCAAGTTCCCACTGACTATACTGGGCATTATTGAGGCATCTACTACTCTCAAATTTTCAACACCAATTACTTTTGTTTGGGGATCAACTACAGCGGTGCTATCTGAAGGCTGACCCATTTTACAAGTGCAAGAAGGATGATAAGCACTATCAGACTTCTGTCTTATAAAGGCATCTATTTCTTTGTCAGACTGAACGTTGTTTCCTGGTTGAATTTCAGGTCCACGAAATTTTTCAAAAGCTTTCTGAGCAAAGATCTCTCTGGTCAACTTGACACACTGGCGGAATTCCCAAATATCTCTTTCTGCATGGAGAGAAAATAAGATGGCTCTAAGTATGCTCTACCATAGTAGAAAAAAAAGAAAAAAAAAAGAGAAGAGAAGAGAAGAGAAGAGAAGAGAAGAGAAGAGAAGAGAAGAGAAGAGAAGAGAAGAGAAGAGAAGAGAAGAGAAGAGAAGAGAAGAGAAGAGAAGAGAAGAGAAGAGAAGAGAAGAGAAGAGAAGAGAAGAGAAGAGAAAAGGCATAGGAGAAGTCTCTCATTTATTGCTAAAAGCCAAAGTAGAACATTTTGAACAAATCTCATAGATTTCTACTCAGTGTGCAGAATAGCTACATATATTGCATGCTCTCACAAGGGAATAGGTGAGCTATGAAAAGTTGCTCTTTATTTTGCTATACCCACTGTCTCTGACTGCATTCCCAGCAAGAAATTCTTATCTGCCAGTACAAAGAATTTTGGACAGTGGCCTCTTTGATAAAATCTGACAGTGCACTAACCTTCATTTCTGAACTGATTTCAAGTAGATGTGAAAATCTGCTACTGTATCAGGCAGGAAATAAGTTGTCAACAGAGGGTGAAGAAGCTGCTTTTACCTTCCGACATGTAGTTAGGCTCAATGATAGGATGGTCCTTTGGATCTGCACTCTTCAGCTTTAGCCAGCCAACACTTGCACTCCTCATGGGTCCTACATGGACCTGCAAACCCATTCTATACTCATGACAAAATCCCACCAGACATTTCCAAATTTAGAACATTCTATTTCTTTTTCAATTTAGACAGACTTTGCAAATTAAATATGATATTCCATAAGAAAGAGAGAATGTACCTGTCTTTTCAACTTACAGCTGTTTATTTCCAATTGAAAGTACAATTACTTTAGCAGTAGCACAGCACTATAATGCAATCAGATCAGATTACTATAACCACTGAAGAGATCAGCAAGAAGATGATGTATATTCAGGAACAGTTCCTTACCATTAGCACAGACTTTCGGATCAGAATGACATTTTAAAAAGAAGGTTGGATTTGTGCCAATAAATAAATGAGTGGCTTCATATATTCTAGCTTACACCTCTGCCTAAACTGCAGGGGAACAGAGAACACCTTGGTTTAGTTTTGCACATCTAGTACAAGTGTCCTAATGAACAGTACTATGGCACTTCAATAGTGCAATTGAGCACATTTACAGAGATAACAAAGCAGCATAATTTTAGTAGCAATATCAAATAATTATCACTTACTTTTTTCCCAATGTAGGAGGTTTAGTCAGTTCTTTATGCTGCAAAAGGTCTTTCACGGTGTAAAGCCAAATCACAATGACCACAATAAAAGATCAATCTACTTCCTATAGGGACTATAGAACATTACTGCAGTAGGTTCTTTAAAAACTCACCTGGTAAGCTTCCATCGTGGAAGCAACCCGACCGTGATCAATCACCTGAGAAGGGAGAAAGTGGAACTGAATGTCGGGGTGAGGAACTCCTGGCTGACTTCGGATAAACCCACCAGATTCTAAGTGGGCAGTGGCTCCCTCACCTAAGGAGTGAAAATGAGCAATAAAATGCCATTACAAGACCTCAGAAAAGCAAGAAACACATTTCTTTTTAACTTGTTTTACTATAGATAGTATGTTGGTTGCTCCAAAAGTAATGTCTCCTATTTATTTCAACAAGAAACTACAATGGATACAAAGTGAGCAGTAACACTACTTGATTGAGCAAATTTTCAGATACAAAACACTTTTTTTTTTCTTCCCAATATGTAGTCATCACCATTAGCAATACTTTTTTCACCAATGATGAACAAGACCCTGCATGCCATGCTTGTAAAAATCTGCACCAGCAGAGATGACCCATTGTTTCACAACTGCTATGATTGTACGATTGCTAGGAAAATGTTGCCCATGCAGCCCATCTTTCAGCAGCTTGAATGAAGTCAGAAGGTGCCAAATCTGGGTTATAAGGATAGCGTAGTAGGACAGTCCAGTCAAAATGGGTTAAGTGCTGCACTGTCATCAAACTGGTGTGGGGCTTGGCATTACTGTGTTGCAAGAGAAAATTGTCTTCCTCTCTGACCTGACTCTGGAAGTTCAAGTCTTCAGCTTATCCAACATCATAATCTAGCAGTCAGACATGTTTTTTCTGTGTTCCAGGAAATCCATAAATATCATCCAAAATACACTGCACACAACTTTACCCAATGAGAGCTGCATCCTGTTGCCACTTCATGAACTGTTGTTTGAACTCCACCTCATAGTGGTGACCCAGCATCTTGACACTGGTACTGATGTGATCCAGGAAACGTGATCCAGGAAACTTACCTTCAGCCATGTATTGTTTCAATGGGATCTGGCAAAATTGCATGCGGTCTTTCTTTTCCTGTGTGAGCATTCATGGGAACCCCACCTAGCACAAACTTTATGACATTCCAGTATTGCCACCACTGTTTTCAATGCTTTGAAATCAATATTCAGCTCTGTACACACATTCCTGGTTGTAGTCCAGATGAGCTGGTTGAATTGCTCTTTATTTCGTGGTGGGAACTGAGCATGGCCATCCAGAACATGGCTTATCTTTCACATTGTTGTTGCCACTGAATGCACCACATACCACCTCACTGTGCTAACATCCACTGTTCAGTCTCCATAAACATTCTGCAAGCATTCATGAAAGCCACTGAGTGTCGTTTTTTCCACATAGAGGAATTCGATTACATGTGTTTGCTTTCTTTCATTTTGTTAGACTGCCCCTTTGCCTCCATCTGTCACACAGCAACAAAATGTCACAGAATATTTGTGGGAAGGTTCAACTGCCATACCACCAATCTGCCTCTAACATCATGGGCCAACATCATAAAATAGGAGGCATTACTTTCAGAGCAGCCCTCACAATTCATTTATACAGTGAAAATTGCAAAGAATACAAACATTTCAGGAACAGCTTGCAGTGGAAACAGTATGTATCACTTTCACCTGCTTCTTAATCACTAGGTAAATGTAATTCTCTATAACTTTGGAAATTCCAATTATTTGATAGTGAGATGTTGCAGTTACCACAGGATAACTGGCAGAAGCCCTGCCTACAGTTTAACTGCAGAGGCAGATTCAGTATTGGGACTCTGCCAGATGTGGAGGGAACCAGCTGCAGCATCCTGATATCATTGCACTGCATGCTTCAAGAGAAGCAGCATAGCTATCCCATCAGTCACACGTAATAGGCAAAGACATCCACAGTGCCTACCCTGAAGGGGAAAGATGAAGAGACTACTATGTCCCTCATACTATGTTATTTTCAGATCCATTTAAAACCATGATTCATCCCTCCATGCCCATTACTTCCATGGTAAATGCCACACATACACAGCATAAGTCATCACCTTGGGCCAGTTACTGACATAATGATTCAGCAAGAGATGAAGGCTTTGAGTTTGGCCAAACTATTTTAATGATTTCAAGGATTACATTGATAGATTCTTTTTAAAGTCTGGGTTATTATAACATAAAGCTGGATTATTATGAAATGAGAGTGCCATTTTTAACAAAAGTTACTCTGAAGGATTCTGCCTGGAGCAACAAAATAAATTTTTTGTGACAAGAATTAGGAAAAATAGTTCAGTTCACAGCACATTTTTATCTAAGCAACATCTGTTTTTTAACAAAGCTTTTCTCAGTGCCACTAAGATTTAAAAGTTTATTTTCTTAAAAGGAGATCCAAGTGCATTAAATAACACTGTATAAAAACATCATTTGATATCTAAAACATAATAACCAGTAACTACTTTAAAATACTTTGATTTATAAAAAAAAGTAATCTTTCAGGCCCTTTGCAAACTCCAGTTAGTTTAAAAGATATGAAATAATTTTATATGAAGGATCCCAGATTTCAAAATTCACAGATAAAAAGCTTTAATATTTCTAAAGCAATCAGTGGCAGAATTGCATACTTTGTTTCATACCTGTATACTTCCATAGCCATTCTAGACCAATCCTCATCATGTTAACTGGCTTTTGTGCACTGTATAGAGTAATAGGTTTTGTGCACTTGTGCTGGACGTACACTTCTAAATGATCTTGAAGGTTCTGGCCTACTCCTGATTAAAAGATTTATAAGGGGGCAGGAAGGAGAAGAAAGGAAAAAGAAAGCAAAGTTATTTCAAGTAGAACAACTATATTCAAAATTTGCTACCAGAAAACAGCATAAATGGAAAGTAACCCAACCTCTTACAAGGGTAATGACAACTAGTACCAAGACTACGTGTCATATCATCAGCCCTTTGCTCATGTCATAATCAGGTTTTAAACAAACATAGCATAACTAGAACAACAATAGTAGTTGAATGGCAGACATATCATTTGTTCTAAAATTGCCAGATCTGACTGCTGAGTATTAGATTTTCATGTTAGATTTTCATGTTAGGATTAGATTTTCACATTAAAGACATTCATGTTGTTCTTTCCATATTTTAATACATACGACAGTGACAATTGATACAATCTCTTGTGGATCAAAACCCCTTGTCCAAAATTCTAAATTATTAGTACGCAGCTTTAGTTTAAAGCCACTTAGTAGCATTTTTCAGAAAGGCATTTTCCACTATCAAACGGTGGAGAAACTGTAGGGGGCCTCTGCTCAGTTCCAAAATCAATGTATGTTTCCACTGATTTGTAACGCTGTTGATTTCAGTCTATATTACCTGACATAAAGACAACCAAAATTAATGAATTTGTTCAATTTAATAGACTTGGAATTGAATCCTTAAGAAGAGACAAGATTGAAAGAAATAGTAAGATTACCAGGAAGGTGGCATACAACAGGGATCCCCAGTTCTTTTAAATCATCTGCATTGCCAATCCCAGACAACATAAGTAGCTGTGGAGAATTTATGGCACCTCCACTTAAAATAACTTCTTTACTGGCAAAAGCCTAAAATGAAATGAGCAGATAAGTTCTAATGTTATTAAGCTTGAACTAAATGCAAGTGAGCTTCAACTCAGATACGATTGTGACTGAGATTAGACACATATCCCTCACATTTTTCTTATTCTAAATGCATTACTATCTTGCTACAAGTTTCTTTAAGGAGGAATGATCAAGCTTTCAATATGAGCAGACAAGCTGTGACTTGATATTATGCAAGAGCATCACGTAATGTTTCAAGCTGGAACCTACACTTATATTATCTCTGTAAACTGGAGTGTGATGAAACACTGCTATTTCAGAAAAACAGCTCTGAAAATACTCTTATCTCTAAATAAATACAACTGAAGTATCACCTACTGTAAACAACTCACAAAGAATCATACAGTGGAAGCTGACATTTACAGAGTAAAGCATCACTTGTATTACATACCTACTTTGTTTTATTTATTTATTTATTTCTAAATTTTGCTATGAATAATATCTTTCATATTGGAAAATACAAATCTTTTACCTTTTCCCTTTGTCCATTTTTCACATACTCAACACCAATGGATTTTGTTCCTTGAAACAAGATCTTTGTTACAAGCGTCTTCTCAGTAACTGATAAATTGGGGCGAGATATAGCTGGGTGAAGGTAAGCACTAGCTGTGCTCCATCTTTTACCTGCAATATAAACTTAAATTTAAAATCAAAATAGTTGTACTAAGTTCTCTTCAAGATTTTTACCAATACCAATACCAGGATGTTTATATAATAAAAGCATTCTTCTGTAGTGTTCAAAGCATACTATTGGATATATACTAACTAGATATTTTATTTTAACTTCACAAAGACGTTATGAAAACCTCTTATCCCAAATTTACCTTTAACTCAAGATCTGCATGCCAAAACATTTTAAATGAAATACACTCTAGACTGACAGCAAGCTGCTGTGAAACTTGTAGTGGAAATTTAGAGTTTGGTAGCTGTTCATCAACCCAAAAAACCAAAAAGCAGTGCAGATTGTGTCTGTATTCTAAAATTATTTCAGTACTTCTGGTGGCTCAGAAACACAAATTTCTTAATGAAGCTTTATAATTTACCTTGGTGTATAGTCATGTCCATCCAGCCAAATCCTTCTTGTTGATAACCATTCATATCATCTGTGAAGGGATACCCAGCTTGCTGGGTTGCATCCAGGAATGCTTGATGAAGAGGATGGTTTGTTTTTCCCCTTGACACATAAAGAGGTCCTTCTCCACCTCGATACCGATCTGATCCCAGCTCGTGTGTCTGCGCTTTCTTAAAATAGGGCAAGCAGTGATCATAGTCCCATCCTATAGCCCCTTCTCTGCTCCATCGATTATAATCTTCTGCGTGCCCACGAATATATACCATTGCATTGAGAGAAGAGGAACCACCCCACACTCTTCCTCGGGGCCAGTACATAATTCTGTTATCCATATGCTTCTGTGAAGTTGTGTGATAATACCAGTTATATTTCTCATCACAGAGGTTATAAGTTAATGCAGCAGGCATATGAATCTTCCACAGTAGTCTTTTACTACCTAAAAGGGTGTCTTTAGGGCCTGCTTCCAAAAGCAGTACGGTACTGTGAGGGTCTTCAGTCAGCCTGTTGGCTAACACACACCCTGCTGATCCAGCTCCAACAATGACATAATTATAAGAGTTTGCCTTTTCAGAACTAAGCTGAGACAATGCACGTGAGATTTTTAATTGTTGCTCCTTGATGCCCCATGTGTTCCTTAATAGGTGCACTTTAAACAGAGCTCCTGTTATTTTGTGAATCTGATTCACAGGACTGCAATGTTTAATTCCATTGATTAAGTAGTAGGACATCTTAACTAATAACACTACTCTTGTAGACTTAAAAAAAAAAAAATCCAGTGTTTTGCCCTAGGAAAAACAAACAAACAGACAAAGTCCAAATTAAAATGTAATAATTAGTGCAGTGTAAGACCTCTAAAATGTCCATCATTTTCAGATACAAATGCTGTACTTTGCTCATTCTCACTATCCAAAAGTTTAACTAAATGCTAATAAGACAACAAACATTTACTCTGGAACTTGCTGTCTTTTTTAATGCACTACTGGCACCAGTTGAGTGGATGCTACTTGGTATTATAAGCAGTCCGACTTTGCTTTCCTTTGGGTTCATGAGATAAATACCTGAAGCACAGCTTGAAGTATTTATCTGTGAAGGATAGAAACCTCTGCTTACCTGGTAGTCTCTCTTTATCTGCCTTTAGTGGACAAGAATTTAAGAAAAACAACAATTGCATAAATTCCCCTAAAAATTTGAGTCAGTAGTATTGCATAGCCAATTTATAACCATGGAAAAGATTCAGCTGGAAATACAGAACTACAGTTTTTGAAGAATGTCTCCTAATGTAGGTAAAGGCAACACTTGTATGTCTGTGGCTTTTTCCCTTCTTATTGAAACCAGATCCTGCAGGAGAACTCTGAATACAACTATGATGTGATACTAGCAGATCCTGATGCTTGGTAGGAATAGCAATTATTTACCTTCAGAAAAGCCTGTCAGCCTTACAGACAACACAGGTTTAACTGTGTACTCAACAAGATTTTCATAGCTCATTTTTACATCGTAAGTACTGCTACTGCTGGCCAGTTTGAAATGTGTTTCTCTTGTTTTCTCTCTTTGAAACCACTACTCCCGTACAAACAATGACTAAAAACAGCTAGATATCCTAGGCTTGTAAAAACTAATTTTTCCCAGCCCGTGGCTCCTGAGAATTTGCTGGAGATTCCACAGACAGCAACATAGTTTTTGTGAGAGACCACTCAAGTTTGTGAAACCACACACAAGTCCAGGATCCAAGGCAAAATTAGATACAGTCTCTAACAAATTATAAGTCTTCCATAAGTAACCATATTTATTTACACTGTACTGTATGATATCAAACACATTTTTTTTTCCTCAGGGACAGTATGGGAATAAGCACAATCTTTTTCACTAAGAAAGCTTGTAACAGGCTGTACAAATCCTGAAATTTCTAGAATGTGAATGTGAATGTGAACACACATCTGTGTGTGGTAACAGTTTAGCCTAGCAGTTCACACACCTGATTCTCACATGGCTAATTCAAAGTGGATCCCAGCTGAAGGTAGGAGGGCATCTTTTACAGGTGGAGAATATTAAAAGGATTTCTGGAGGGGAAGAGAGTTTGGTGATTTCTTGTGTTGCAATAGAGAAAGATGGAAAGGTTTTATGTGTTTTGATTTGGTTATAATGAAGACGGTTACAGTTTGAAGAAGATGTGATTGACTTACAGAACTGGTAGGTTGTAGATTTTGTTGCTTTAGGAAAAGATGGATTTTACTACACTACAGGCTTAGGCCCTGCTAATCTGGGAAAGATGCTTTGTCCCTATATAACAAGGTATTTTTCTTTTTCTTTCTTTTCTTTGTATTTTGTGTGGGTGATTCATTATGAGACAACATTTTGAATTTCTTTCCTGAAGAAGCAGAATTCCTCTGATGTTGATCCTAAAGATGTTTACTAATTAGACAGGAAGAGTTTCCAGGATCTGGAACAAATATTAGCCTATTGATTTTGGCATAAAATCTATAACGCTATTATATATTATTGTGCCTCCTAACCAGACTGCTGGCTACCAGCCATGACCTACTTAGTTGTTGGTGATAAAAAGAGTAAACTGTGCAGAATCCCTGGAATCACATTCAGCTGGAGTTACTTTGTGTCACAGACCTGAAGGTAGCGCCTAGAGACTGTAGTTCTATGGTTTGCTACAGCACAAGCAACAGCTGTTGAGCTTCTGAAGATGTTAACTAAAACGACGTTCCAAAAGCAACATTGATGTTACAGTACTGTTTCTGTCCTGCCTTACTCTAGGACGCTAGTGCTGAAGTGTAAACCCTTTATAAAGCTAACTAGTTGAGAGGCTCTTACATTTGCATACACTGAAACTCACAGAGCAATTCAAGCTTATATTGAAAGGGTCATTGCTTTCTGAAACTAGAACATGATGATACTTTGCTCTCTAGTAATCTGTTCAGCTCTACATGCATATACAGTTTTATTGTTGTTTAAATTCTTTTACAGTCTTGGGGAAATTTGCAGGAGTTTTCTTTGAACAGAATAACATCAACAAACATATAAATAGGAAGATTTAAACAGCTCAATTTTAATGAAATGCTCTGTAGTTACCACCAACAAAAGTGTCTTTTAGGCCTTACTGGATATTATTGGAAGACTTTGTCTGTGTTCTTTCATATCGTGACCCTTCTGTGCTCATAATAAGAGGTTCGTTATCAGTTGGCAAAGAGCCCTGCAGAAATGCATAAAGCAACATAAAATATATTCATTTATTGCACCAGAGCTTGAGAATTTGAACTTACTTGAAAAAATTGTATCTATTTTACAGGTAAATATTGTTGAAAGAGCTTATGGACAGCATTCCTATGGGAATAAAGAGCAGGAGAACCTCAGCAGGAAAACTTTATTGCTACAATGTGAACACAGTATATTTGATCATACATTAGGTAGCTAAAAGTGGGAAGAGCTCTTAAGTGATTGGGGCTCCTCATTGAACACATTTATCAGTTCAGTATTTGGGGTTATGGTAAAAAGAGGTCTTTCTAAAGGATGATCAAGAAGTGACTATCTCTCTTTTAATTTATTTTTTCATGCAGCTTTTGAAAAAGGAGAGAGGGAGGAAAAAAGGAAAAGAAACTGCATAGGTTGTTTAATGATTAAATCAACTTGTTGGCAAAACTAGTTGAAGTGTGTCTGGGACCTAACTCCTAGAATTTTAGATTTACAGGACTCTCAGCCCACAACAAAGGGAAGAGACTATGTACCTTGCATGCAGAGCAGGGTATATTGGAAAATGGACTGTAACAAAGTGGCTGTAGGTGGATGGGGTGGCTTATCTAGGAAAAACTGCATATCTCTGGGCATTGTTACTATTAATGAATCAGAGATTTCCCATTCTCTGATAAAACTGGAAATAAAGCTGAACAAAGACAAGTACCAAACTGTTATGATAGCCACTGTATCAGCTAGGAGGCTGAATTACCAGCCAAGAAAGCAAGAATGAATGTTCTTTTGATGGTACTAAAGCGGTGGTTTGAATCTACTCCATCACATCTATACTTACATGTTAATTCATGCTTTCCTTTAAGTCATTTCTTTTTTGTTAATGAACTTATTAAAGTGGAATGGATGTAGCTGAGTACCATGGGAGATAATGAGACTCTTGACAAGAGTGTGTAAGAAGAGGTTGGTCAACAGTATTTAAGTGACTCTGAGAATCAGTGTGCAGGTGATACACTATTTTCTGTGCTTTAAAGCTTGAAGGTGCAGAGGTCAAATCTCAAGCCGTTTTGTTTCAATGTAAATCCAACATACTTAGCTGGATATGTACATTAGTATTAATGCACAGCTCTTATGTGACCCACGCACTCATCTGCACGTGGGTCTCCCGCCTGAACTCCAGCTCCTGCAGACACATTAAAGGCACAAGGAAACTCCCACTGGCTGACATTCCATTCCCGCTTCTGTTTTACCAGGGCCGAAATGACCGCATTTCCTCCGGTGGAGGCAAATATCCCTCGGCTGGAGATGCCTGGGAGCAGCGAGGCCTTTCCTGGCCATCACCCTGCGTGTGAAGGTGCAGAAGCAACGAACCCCCGAGGTAAAGCGCTGCGCGAAGTTCCCGCAGCTGGGAGCGCTCGGGCCGCTGCAGCTCGCCTTGCTGCACGCACGAACTTCTCCTCGTGCCCGGGGTCGGCACGGCCACGTCCTGAGGGCACGCGCAACCCCGCAGAGCTCCTTCCCAGCCTCGCAGTGAAGGCTGGCGGCGGGACGTGGCACCTCGGGGCCGTGTTTACCACAGAGCCGCCTGTGTGGGGGTCCGCCACCGGGGCCTCATTCCCACCCCCGCCGCCGCCCCGCTCCCTGTGTCTCCCTTTCCCGGCCCTTGTGTCGTGTCTTCCCGAGGCTCGGTGCCTCTCGGCCCCACTCACGCTGTTCCTGAGGCGGAGGCGGGCCGGGCGCCGTGAAACTCGGAGCCGGATCCCGTCACGCGGCCCCGACCCAGCGGCAGGGGGAGCGGCCTGTGTGGGAGGCGGTCTGCGGCTGTCCGCGGGAACTTGCGGCTCTTCGTGGAAGAAGTCCGTCGGGGGAACTCTGGGCTGTTTCGAAACACGACGAGCGGCTGCGGGGCGAAGTCCGCCTCCCGCGCCCTCGCAGGTTGTAGTGACACGGGTAGGAGCGAGGCGTACGGCGGGAGTTTGGAGGGCAGCGGAATCGCACTTCAAAGTGTCACCGAGCCGCCTGTGCCCGCACAGCCAGCAGAATCGCCGCTTATCAGCCTTTCCCTATGTTCCGTGGCCTTAAGGTGGGAATTCTGCAGTTTAAATAATGTCATCTTTTAATCTGTGAATTTGTGTTGTGGAAGTTTCCTCGGTTTCTGCGAGGTAGTGAATTTAGTTAGCTACTGGCAAAAAGTACTTTTAATAGACTAAATCCTTGTACATTTGGGCATGCAGATGTGCCATTAAGTACTACTGTTTCTAAACCTATTGGAACTTTCTGGTATTTTTGTCCCCTAACTTTGCAGGCATCAGTACCTGACCTCATACAACACCAGTGTCTCTTTCTAACCAATGCTTCTGACTTGCTCCCTTAGGAAGCACAAACACTGCTAGGTCATAAGCTGCCATCTGCAGGGTGTACAGTGCCTGCCACAGCCAGACCAGAAATCCATTTAATCAGTTAGTTATTAAACACATTAAGGCACCGCTCGGGAAGTTTGTGGAATCCAAATGTAACTGCCTATAAAAAAAAGAGACAGAAGTGAATTCTACATTAATTACTCTTGGGCTTGAATTTTTAATGCTGCTTTATGAGTGTGAAATGTATGAGGTACTTGAAAAAAAACATGGAAACAATACTGATATAAAATCAACAGAGATGACCAGCAAACTCTGGAGACAGTGTAAGAACTCTGGTTGTTCTCAGCAGTGCTGTACTCCACTGTTACGTTATTTCACTTGTATAGATGATATTCTTTGTTTTTGGTGTAGTTTTTAAACAAAATCTACTTGCTCAGCATGAGATTAATCAGCGATTATTAATTCTTTTGCATTACCTTTTAGAGAAATTACTCTTCCGGATGCAGACATGCAGACATATAGAAACGCTCTCTTCTTAATTAACTGGAGACAGCTTTTTCAACCAAGCAAGACTTGGTTCAAAGCGATTGTTGTTGTTTTTTCTTTTTCCCCAGAAATCCTCAGTCAATTCAGTTGGAATATTTTTGTTTTCTCCTTTCTGCTCTACTTGTGGTTGTATGCATTATTACTGTGGTTGCTGACATTGTTACAGAGGGAAGAACTCTCACTTCTTTTGAACTTCAGTATTCCAGTAACTACTATATTAATTGATGTTTTATGTTATATTAAGTGTTGTAATAGTATTAATATACTTTATAGCTGCAAATACGTATTTGAAGCTTGGTTTGAGGGTGATGGGAGCCTTTGTTACAGAAGATAAAACAAGAAATAGAACTTCTGTAACAAAGGATTACTTACAAGGAGGAAAAGCCTCTATGGCTGTTGGTGCTATGTAGAAGAAATCTAGTTCTAGGTTGTCGTGGGTGGAACAAAAACACTATACTGCCCTCATAAAAGAGAAGCTAGAATATATTTACTGACATGGTATAACGTAATATAATGTAGTGCTTTAACAGTGACTTAAGATTCAAGGTGGCTGAATACACTCCATTATTTACTATGCAGACGGTAGAGATAAACATACAGGAGGCCTTCCTATTGAGCCATGAGGTTGAGTGGACCCTTGCTTTCTAATCTCCTTGAACTATGGAGGTAAGGATCCTAGATGTGGCACTCCTAGTCCCAGGTTTTGTCAGTGGTTTATACCTAAGGGATTACATGCACAGTCAATTTAAGATTGAATCTTAGTGAAGCTAACAAAACCTAAAACAATTAGTCACTTACTGAGGATCTGTATTGGCAAGGGAGCTTGACATCAGAGTGTAAGGGACATATCTCTGTGCAGCTGTAACCTCAAGAGGTGCCCCTGCTCAAGGGAGAGATCCTGTCATGCAGCCAGCTGCTGTGCAGGAGAGCTCAAAGGGGCTCTTGGGCTGCTCACCATTTACGGAGTAAGATTGACTCATAGTCATAAATTGCTTTTTAGGTGCATGCTCAATTGTTTTTCAGCTGCTGAACCAGCTGTCTGCTATTGGGCTTATTTGTCCTTCTGTGCAAGGCCAGGTTGAAAGATGGGGCTGAGTGAAGGAAGGTGAGGGGGCAGAATTGGGGACACACATTTTATGTTATTACTTTTGAATAGGGACAAGGTAAATACCAAGGATAATGAAAAGCTAATAATTTTTTAATGATAAGAACAAGCAAGGAAAAAAATACTTCAGTTGAAAATGATGTTTTTCCACTGAATAATACAATTTACTATAGCAACTACAACAGCAACTGAAGTTTAGGTTCTCCCTCCTGTGGTTTCCGCAATAATGGCTTGTACAACAATTCCACCTTCTGGTAACAGTAGCACAGGAACTGTAATAAGACATTAATCCCACAGACTGCAGTCTTCCCAGTCTTGGCTTAATATCTACCATTTCAGCATTTGATACCTCGTATTCCCACACTGTGTAACTTTAATGTGGGTATATACATATGTATCTCCTATGTGATATAGAGAATCTGGAGATGGAGGTACACAATTCAATGCATACAACTCAAAATAGAATCGAGTATAGCAATACTGAAGTAATATGGACTCTGTAAGATTTTTGCACTGCTACTGGAAAAATCTCAGTTCAGTTTAATTTTATTAAATTGAATATCAGCAGAAGATCAGTAGATTTTTTTCCAGTGCCTTGGAAAAACAAGCCAAAAAAAAACCAAACACAAACAGTGGCATTTGAGGGAACTGAATTTTTAATTAACTGTGTAAACACATCATTTACCACACAAATGCAGCTCGCTCTCGTAACATTCTGACACCAAAACGCTGCCATTCTCGCTGATATATCCACAGCTCCTGAGTTGTGTCAAGACAGGCCAACACAGCACCTCCTTTCCATGCAATTAAGCGGGGATCCATATCCTAAATCCAAAAACAGGATTATACACAGTAAGAGTCTGATTCTCAAACCTTGCATTCTATTTATTCCAACGTTATTCATCTTGGAATCTTGGGGGTGAGAGGAAGAGAAAAAACTTCGAAAATTATGTAAGAGAAACTTTTTCATGATAAAGAGGTAAAAACATGGAAAGACTATCCAGGGTTTTTGAGGAAGTCAATTTTTTTAATTTGATTTAAATATGACTTTTAGGCATGCCCATGAAAATCTTGCCCTCAGCAAGCAGGCTTAAGGCTCTGAAAAATATGCACACTTGGATTTTTAGAGATTAAAACCAAATTAAAATTGCTTACTTATGTCATACTTTATTTTACATTGCTAATCAAAAATCAAACCAAAACAAAAAAACTGTTTTTTCAGCAAGGAATTGGGTTAACTTCAGGGACCCACACAGATACTTTGGAAATATGGCCTTTACATTCATGATCAATATCAGTAATGGTCTTGCTTTACCTCTAATTACCTAAATCTCGTATGTAGAAATACAACTAATCTGTGGTTTTGAGAGAATATATTTTATATAATCTTCTGAAGAACTCGACTGCGGTTGATTAACCATTTAGTTATCAGTTAATGGTATACCTTAGGTCTTGTGATGACTTCAACGTTCTCAATTACTCTTCTAAAAGAAGGGGGCATTTTGTTGAGAATTCGGTGTTGAAGGAACTCTTGAGCTTTATGAAACATAAGGCCTCCTCCCACCACTAAGATGGAGCTGTACATCTTCTTTTTTGTATCATCAGAGGCTGGAATGAATGGATGCATATAGAAATATATATTTTTAGTAGTTAGTGATTCTATTATAAGGAACTTAGTGCAAGTCAAATCAAATAGAAACTGAGAACTGCTTACTTTGAAAACTTTCCTGCTTCTTGGAGCTTCAAAAACAAGCTCAAGAAATCTAAAAATAAGTTGTAATAAGGAATAGTGCAGGTACCTCTAGAGCTGGTAAAATTAAGGGATATACGTGTTACTTTCCTAGAATATAGTAGTTAACATAAATCCGCACTGACAAGCATATTTCTCAGAATCATAATAATGTAATCCTTACCACAGCAATCAATACTATGAAGAATGGCTTTGTCAAGGCCTAAAGCTTTGCCTTCAAATTGAGAAACAACTGTTTTTCTGGACGTGTGTGCAGTTAAAGGTTCCTCTGAATCATTTCCAGGTATCATACAGTCACTTTGGGAGGATCCCAGTTCAACTTCTTGGGGGTACATCCTCTCTGAAATATCTGTAACTTGGCCTTTCATTTCTCCCTCAAAGGTACCAGGCTTTGACATGGATTTTCTATCAGCTGTAGCTTTTGAAGACTTAAAAATAAGGAAATAGTTTAACAGTCAATTTATGAAAAATAGAAAAAGCAGATTACAGAATAATACAATGGCTAAATATCACGTCTTTACCTTTCTGCACAGAAAGGCTAAAGGTTACATTACTACTTCGTATCAGTTTTATTTTGATTCTCACTTTCAAAGAGAGGGTTTTACTTTCAGATGTACCAATACATCAGATGTATCAATGCCATTAACATAAA